CACCCCGCCTCATTTACCTCATCTCTTTCTCTAGGCTACTCCGAGACCGACCCGAGACCGACCCGAGACCCGAGATCGACCCGAGCTCGACCCGAGATCGACCCGAGATAGACCCGAGATCGACCCGAGACTGACCCGAGATCGACTCGAGATCGACCCGAGATCGACCCGAGACCGACCCGAAATCGGCACGAGCGATCAACCCAACAATGCCCCAGAGCCCCCTCCGGGGGGACCCCCCCTCACCCCGAGTGTCCGTGTCCTTCGCGAGTCACCGATGGGGAGCGGGGGGGGGTGCGAGATGCACAGGGGAGGCTGGGGAGGGGGGGGTCCACTCTCAAGACTGCCGACCGCGGGGGGGTTTTGTCCCACAGGGTTTTACCCTCCGCGTTAGGATCGGCGCGGCGAGGGAATAGGTTCGAATTCGCCGCGCAACATTTCACCCCCACAGGACCCCGCCCACCCCCCCTCATGGTCCCACCTAGTACCCCAATGAGCCTTCGCACCCCCTCCTTGCGCAGTGTCCCCCACTATGTGTCGCCGTTATCGGGGCATGCTATCCTGTGTAGTCAGGGCAAGTGGGGGCGGGGGGCACTCCCCCTGGTCTGATACTGGGGTGTGACTGTCTCCAGTCTCGGAGGGGGGCTTGAAGCTAAGAATATTTTATTTTTTTTTGTTGTTCAGTGGTCAGCGCAAGCAGAAATGCCAAAAACCCCCGAGGGTTTCAGGTATTTTCGGGTATTACCCGCATTGGACGCTGGAGATCGTCGTGTGGGACGTGGGTCACTGGTAGGCCTTCCTTATTGTTGTTCAGCTGGCCTAACGTTAGCTACTGTTGGGGAGCCCAACTGTTGTTCTGTTGTTACTGTTAACACTAGCAACACTGTTCGGCTCTTAACGTCGACAGCTCTAGCTTTAACGTTGACAGCTTAGCTGTTTCCTCCGCAGCGAGGCGCATACCACACTAGCCCAACGCTGGTGCTCGCGCTCGTGAAGCGCTGATCTATCGACGGCGACCCGGCGACGGCGCCCACCCCAGCAGCGTCTCCCACCCCCACCGCGTCGCGTTGTCGCACATGTTGCAATCGAGTTTGTCCATGTCGCACTTCTCGCCAGGCAGTGACACGTATGTCGTGTTCGTGCGAGTCGCATTGTCGTATCGCGACGGACCCATGCGCAGCTGGCCGCGCGGATCGAGGCACGGCCAGAGGCTCTCGGGTCCGTAGACCGATGTGACGAGCACGTTGTCGCGGGCGTTTTGATACAGCTCGTGGTCGCACGCGCAATCGGTAAAATGGGCGATGCCGTGCAGGTCATACACGGCCCGACAATGGTCGTGCAAACGGCACGCGCTGTCGAGCGTCCCCGTCGCGCACGTGTTGTATCGTTGGGGATCGTATCCGCAACATCCGGTGCCGCACCAGTTGGTGCCCGGAAGGACCAGATCGCGCAACCAATCCATGCGACGCCTCCTGCTTGGGTGTCGGCGCAGTGCGCCCGGCGATCCGCGGGAATTTCGGCATCGACTCCTCACTTGAGCACTTGAGCACTGGATAGGGTCGATTCCGCATGGTACGGGACCCCTCGACTCCTCACACGAGAGCGAGGCCATCGCCAGCGCCAAAGCGGGCGAGCTCGTCGCATACGCCCGTGAAGTCCTCGTCGCCCTCGGCGCCCCGCCAGCCGGACCGACTGTCATCCTCTCGGACAACAAGGCGAACGAACGTCCTCGTCGCCAACAACGCCAAATCCGCCTCGCGCTCGCGCCACTTCCTGCTCCGCTACCACAACGCCTCCAACGCGCGGGCTCGCGCAGTGCATTGGGGGAACTGATCAATGCCGCCTCTGCGGGCCGAGCGCGAGCCCGCCCAGCAACATTGGGGGGGTGCGGTAGCCGGTAGGTAGACAATCTACCTCCCATCTAACCGCGCCTACCCTTTCTTGCATCTTGGGTAATGGGTAGACCTTTCACACCCACCGAGGTCATTACCTCTAACTAGTTCGTGCGTCCTGCTATTCGCCCGCCTGGTTTCGTTGCGTCCTCGCTTTGTGTGGAGTGTGGTCTAAATTGAGTGTATTGTTTGCTACATACATGCTAGCTAGACCCATGAGACCAGCCACGCCGCGCCCTCGCGCTCGGGCGCCTCCAGCGCCGCCCTCGGCCCCGCCGCTACGACCGACGGAGTCGGAGACGTCAACTCCGCAGTCACAGAAGGCGACGAGCGTCTTGCGCTCCATCGGACGCAGGTGCCCCGCGTCTCGGCTCTCGGTCTCGAGCGAGCGCGCAGCCGCAGGCCGCGGCAGGCGCACGAGTTTGGAAGGTCGGGCCTGCCGAAGACGGGCCATCCCAGCTCCCCCAGATCTGGGTCTCCAGTTGTCACACTCTCCGATACTCTCACAGTGTCAGTGACAGGTGGCGCCGCGAAGGGCAAGACAAGTACTACACACAGACGAAGAACGAGCCCACACGCGCGCCGCGGGCGCGTGAGCCCGGAGACACCCCGACCACGCCCGCGCGTGCGGCGCCACCCCTGTCCTCGCTATGCTGAGTGCTCCACTGACCGCTGTCCGCTGGAGTAGTAGTTTAGAAGCCAAATTGCAGGCCGGCGAGCGGCTCGGCCGTCCTGCGAACGCTCGAACGGAACGCGTCTCGCCACGCGGGAGGCAGTGTTCCTGCGCAGGAGCGGGACTCAAAACTCGATCAAAGGGAGGAGGAAGGGGCACGTGTGGGGCGGGCGTGGCGGCGGACGCACCGTCCGCCAGCCACGTGGTGTGCGCGGCGAGAGCGGCGCGGTCGTGCTCCGTGAGCCCGGGCAGGTTGAGGGGCAAGGGCTCGTGCGTGATGAAGCCGAGTGGCCCGCCTGCAGGGAAGGCTCGGAGAGGAGGGCTCGGAGAGGAAGGGTCGGAGAGGAAGGGTCGGAGGAAGGGTGAGGGAAGGGTCAAGGAGAGGTCAGGGAGAGGGAGAGGTCGAGGCCGAGCGGGCCGCGCCTGGCGTGAGCCTGGACCGCAAGCTTGCGCCGCGCTTCCCCTCCGGCTTCTGAAAGAAGATCGAAGCGCTCACCTTGACAGCAGTCGGGACTCCGTCGCGGGTAAGGGTCAGGGTTCGGTTAGGGCTAGGGTGAGGGTCAGCTCACCTTGACAGTCGGGATTCCGTCGCGGGGCGAGCCCGCCGTGAGGCGGAGGCGGCCGAAGCGCGGGCCCTTCTTCGACGAGTTTGCAGACGAGTTCGTGCGCGTCTTGAAGTGGCCGCGGAAGATCGTGGAGCAGCCGCGCGCCGACGCGTGGTTCGCGTGGCGCAAGTGGATGTGTTCGAGCGGCAGCTTGACCTAAAGGGCGGCTCGCCCGAGCTCCAGGTCCCAACCCCAACGCAGCGAAGCCGAGTGCTCGAGCGGCACGCTGGACCGCGCAAGCGTCGTCCTCCAGACGGGCAGGCCGCACGTCGTGCACTCCCGCCGCCCGGTACCCCTTCGCCACGTCGACCATCCACTTTGTCTTGAGGTCGCTCGAGACGCAGCCGATGCCTAGGGTTAGGGTTAGGGCTAGGTCGACCATCCACTTTGTCTTGAGGTCGCTACAGACGCAGCCGATGCCGCGGTTCGCGACCGCTTGCGTCGTGTCGCACACGATCTCATCCATCCGCCCCCAAATCCGCCACCCCGACGACGGCCCCGCCTCGAAGCTGGGCGGGCCGACGCGCAGAGGGGCCGCCTCGAGGCCGCCCCCGCCGCTGCTGTTCCCGGAGCACGCCTCCGCCGCGTAGTAGTCGACGCGGCAGAGGTACGCGACCGAGGCCGGCCCGCGGCAGCCTGCCGACGCCCCGCCTCCCGACGCCTCGACTCCCGACGCCTCGCCCGCCTCGCCGAGGTGCGCCTGCGAGGGGCGAGAGGCTAGGAAGAGGAGGCGCCGGTCTACGGCCCGCTGGCGCGTCGCTCTCTCGTTTGCTCCTCTGTCTGCTACAGCTCTGTCGGGGCGGGGCGAGTCGGGGCGAGTCCGAGAGGCGCGAGAGAGGGAGCTGGAGAGAGGCGCACCGCCAGCCTCAGCAGGGCTCCGGAGAGGGAGCGGCCCCACCGGAGCCTCCACGGTCGCCGCTGCGGAGCCGCGTCGAGCGGCGGGTCGCGCTGGAGGTGAGGCTGCGGCGCGCGGAAGGAGCGGGCCTGCGGGACATGTCTCGAGGATGTGTCGCGACGTGTGCGGGACGTGTCCGCCTCGCCGACGCAGGGAGCGGGCCTGCGCCGCCGGCACCGGGTACACGAACTCGTCCAGGTCGAGAGAGAGCACCCACTCGGCCGGCGACGAGCCAGAGGCCGCCCTCGCCGCGCTGGCGCAGCCGCGTACCGCGCTCAGGGCGAGGTTGAGGGAAAAGACCTGGTACCTGCAAATGGGCGGCGCGGGCTCTCGGGCACAGCCACGCGCGGGCGAGACCAGCCTCCACGCGTCTCGCGCGCGTCTCCTCGCCTGCGCGAGATGTAGAGCCGCGGCGACCACCAGCCTCGCAGGAGCAGCACGCGCTTGTTTGAGGCCGCGAGCGCCTCGAGGCCGCGCGCAAACCCGCCAGTCGGCGGCGAGAGCTGCTGGTCGAAGAGGAGGATGCGGCTGGCGCCGAGCAGCGAGTACCAGCCGACCCACTCGGTGAGGTGGCTCAGCGCACGCCTCCCGTCTGCGCCCGGGTAGAGGTACGGCATCACGACGCTGACCCGCTCAGTCGTGCTGGTGACGACGCCCAGCGCGCCGCCCGCCGTCGACTCGCACTCAGAGGCGCCGAGAGGGAAGGAGGAGGCGCGGACAGGCACGCTCTCAATCTGCCAGACGACCACGCCAACCTCCGCCTGGCGCCGCTTCCCCTTGCCAGACATGCCGGCTGCCAGGCGGAGGCGCAGGCCCACGCGCGGCGGAGAGAGCGCCGACACTCCGCTGCACGCCACTCGGAGCCCGTGCACGCACGCATCCCTGCTGGCGGCGTGCCTGCCGCACGCAGCGTCAAGCCCGACATTCTGCGTGGTCACCGCCGACCAGTCGATGCGGTCGTCCGAGGCCACAAAGTGGCCAGCGCCGGGTTTGAACTCGTGGAGCGACTTGGCGCGCCGCCAGGTTGCCCCGCCGTCGAGAGAGCACTCGAGGCAGCCTTGCGTCCTCAACGAGCACTCCTTTGGCCGCGCAAAGGCGCCAAAGATGGCTGTGTTGCTCTGGTCCCCGTCTGACTCCTCCTTGGCCAAAAGCACCCCCGCCTGTCCTCTCGCAGTGACGTTCGACGGCCCTGCCCACGTCCAGCCTCCGAGGTCAATGACGTCGGCGGTGGCGGCGCCGGCCAGAAACAAGGCGGCCAGAAACAACATGTGCACACTTTTGCTCTCGTAAAGCGATGGTTTGTGCGGTTGTGCGGGTTTGTGCGGGCGACGCCGCTGAGGGTGGGGGGCGTGCAGACGCCGTGGTCGACAAAAAAGACTCAAAAGTCACCAAAGTGCTCACACACACACCATACCCCGTTGGGTCTAGTCCAAGCCTGCCTGCTCTTCACCTCCTACACACAACCCTCGAGAACCCTCGACAGACACACACACACACACACACACACACACACACACAGAGAGAGGGTGGGACATTGAGATTGAACATTCTGTTGAGCGTGTGGACCACTTGTCCGATGTCCAGCGTCGGCGCGGGACTGGCGCGCACTGGCACTAACAGGGTGATAAGAAACAAGAACCTCGTATGTCAGACCCAGGGAAGGTCCTTCACACTGAATACAATTGTAACGAGAAACGAACGGACTTGTCAAAATGGGCGCGTGCGCGACCAACGGGTGGCATTGCCCGCACCCGAGCTGCCGCTTCTTCAACGAGGACGACGAGCTGCCATTCTGCCAGATGTGCGCGCGCATCCGTTCCCGCCTGGTGCAGCACTCGTCGGGCGAGTCGAGGCCGACAGGGCCCGGCCGCGAGGATGGTCCGCTGCGCGGCAGCAGGCAGGCAAAAGACTCCGCACCCTCGATGAGCACAGACGCGTGGACGGCGGCGGCAAGGCACGCGCGCCCGGCGTGCAACGCGCCAAGCGCCTCGACCGAGGCTCCTGCGCGTCCGAGAAGCGACGAGCGGCAAAGGAGGGGTTCGGCGGCGGCGCAACGCCCCTCCTCCGCCGGCGGAAGGGATGCCCCGTCGACTCGAGGTTCTTCCGTGCAGCCCGCGGCCGGACAGGAGACGCCAGTGCAGCGGCAGCGGCATCGGGCGGCGTACGAGGCCCGAGCCGTCTCGCGGGCGGAGCTGAGTGGCGTGCCGCGCCGGCCCGCGCCGCGACTCAATGCACGGAGGCCAACACCGCTGCCGGATGACGAGTGGGAGAAGATCAAGGCCGAAGCTAAGGCAAAAGCGGAGGCGGCGGCCGCGGCTGTCGCGGAGGAGCAGGCAAGAGAGGCTCAGCGCAGTGCGCCGCGTGGGAATGCATGCGACGCCGGCAACGAATCAGCTGATGCGGATGAGCGTTCCCGGGGCGACTCGTCGGGTGAGGAAGAGTACCAGCAGCAGCTGAAATCTCGTGCGCGAGCCTACAGAGCAGGGCAGGCGGAGCGAGAGGCACAGGCGCCGGCGGAGGCGGGACGTCCCAGCAGAAGGCCGAATGAATCGCCACCGACGACTGCGCGCCGTGCCACTGCTCACCACACCACAGCGCTGCAGTGGGACCGAGCGGAGGCGGCGTGGGCCAAATTCGCGGCTCGAGGGCAGGAGATCTGCATGCGCGACGTGCCATGGCCATCGCTCGATGCGGCATCCCTACGTCTCGGGCCACGGCAGAGCGAGGCCGAGCGCAAGAGCGCCTATCGCACACTCAGTCTTCGGTGGCATCCAGACCGCTTCGTGCAGGCCTTTGGCGCAAAGCTTCGTGCGGACGAGCGCGAGGGTATCCTGCAGAAGGTGACCGAGGTCTCGCAAACCATCAACGCCATGTTTCGTGACCACCTGTAGCCACCAATGGCCCTCTCGCTTGGCGCTCGCCCCTCGCGCCGCCGGCGAAATCGTGTATACACGGCTCTGCGCTGGCCTTTATGTAGCGACGGGCCAGAACGGTGTGCACGGCTCGCACACACAAATCCTGCAGCGTGTACACAAATCCTGCTCGCATAAACAAAGAGAGAGAGTCATATTTTACAGAGATTCGTCTCACTACTCACACGGGGATCATCATGTGTGAGGCTCGAGGTGTGAGGCCGTCTACACGCCGCACGACGACTTGTCTCTTGTGCGGTGTCGTGGCGTGTGCGGACTGCGCTCGCGCTACCCTGAGAGCGATTCTAAGATCAGGTCTGGCACCTCCCCACTGGAAACGAACATCTGAGTTTCAAATCTCGAATAAATCTCGAAACACACTTGAATGCTCACTTGGCAGGTAACATATGCGCCACGCGCCCCAACCGCTCCTCTGGTCGCCGCCGGCCTTCGCGGCGGCGGCGATGTCCCAGCGCCACCCATCGGCCAGCCCTCAGATCGATCGATCGGCGCTCAAAGTCGGCTTCAGATCCGAGAACGCTGCTGGCGCCGCCGCCGATCCCAGCGGCGACGCCAGCAGCTTCCTCTGCTCTCCAATGCGCCGAGAAGCGACGCGGGGGTGCTCGGCCCGCCGTGGACGTCGAAGGCTCCGCCGGGCGCGCGTCGGCCGGTCCGGTGGCACCCTCTGCGCGCGGCACCTGCCGGCGCCCCGACGACAGCCGTCGCGCCACCGCTCATGGAGGGGCGGTCGGCGCCGCTGCCGCCGCGCCGCCGGTGGGAGGGGCACTGGTGGTGGCCTGGGCGGCCCTCCGCCGCCGCTCGGGGCGCCCGGGCAGCGGTGGCAGCCTGCCGCCGCACCACTTCGACCCACCGCTGACCACTTCGAAATGCCCGCTCCGGCGGCCCGCTAGCTTTGCTATTCTTTTTTCTACAAAGCAAAATTCGAGCCAATTGAGGAAACTCAAGCGGGCAGGCTGGAAGCACTGAGGGACGGCCGATGTTCGCCCAGTGCCAGACCTGATTTTAGAATCGCTCCTGAGGGAGAACCACCTGGCCTGCTCCCTATTCCCCGGGCAGGCGCCGCTGAGCACGTGCGCCATCTAGTCACACAGAGTTGGAGTCGTTCACAGAGAGTTAAAAGCGATACGCACTCAACGCGCACGCGCCCGATAAAACACTCGATGAACTATTACGGAATACGCGACTATACGGAATACGCGACCGCAATGGCCAATGCGACGCGCGCACGTACATAGAGAGCAAAAACATAGCAGGAAGGAGGCGAGGCAATCCTCGTGCAGGCGTGGACGGCACGCAAGCAACCTCGGTGGGATCCTGATGTCCCGCTGGCCATAGAGCGACGCGCCAGTGGACACGTGGGGCAAAAAAAGGCAAAAATGCAGGAACCCGCCGACAAGCCCTAGGGCTCGGGTACGGCCAATCGGGGACGCTTGGCCGCCGGGTCCGTGGAAAAATCCCCCGCCGCCATGGCTGTCGCGGCTGAGTCCCCGCCGCTGCAAAGCTCGTCTGCTGAAGGCAGAGTTGCTGCCGGCTTGAACTCGAGGGACGGCGGTGGCGCATGGGCGGCGCAGCTCCCGTTGCTCGCATTGACGCTCGTGCTGCCGACGACCTGACGAGGGGAGCGATGGCGGTGGGAACGAAGCGAAGGGGCGTGCGGTGCGAGCATACGTGCACGCCTGCTCGGCTTGCCGACCAAGCTGCTCATCGTGCGTCACATCGTTCGCGCCGCGGCTCGCCGGCGCCGGCCAGAGAGCGAGACCCGTGCGCACCTGGCTCGGCGGCGCCCGCGGCACTGCCATCCCCGCGCCCATCCCTGCGCCCATGCCCAACCCGCTCGGTGCGGCCTGCCCACCCAGCACCCGCCAATCCGGTGCCAGCCCGCCCGCCGCCATTGTTGGCCCGCCCGCCGAAGCCTGCCCGCCCAGGGGCACTATCCCGACCGGCGCGACTAGCCCGCGCGGCGCCATCAGCCCCCCCTGCGCCACCAGCCCCCCCGGCGCATACTGCCCACTCGGCGCCATCGGCCCGCCCGGCGCCATCTGCCCGCCCGGCGCCATCTGCCCGCCCGGCGCATACTGCCCGCCCGCCCCGCCCGGCGCCATCGGCCCGCCCGGCGCCGCAAATCCGGCGGGTGCTACTGGCACGACCGCCTGTCCGCCCGGCGGCCCTGCTGGCCTGCCCGGCACCGTCTTCCCACCCGCCGCCAGCCCGCCCGCCGCCGCCAGCCCGCCCGCCGCCGCCAGCCCGCCCGCCGCCGCTGGCCTACCCGGCGCTGCTGGCCTACCCGGCGCTGCTGGCCTACCCGGCGCCGCCTGCCCGCCCGCCGCCGCCTCCCCGTGCAGCGTCTCGACGAGCTCCGCGAGCGGCAGCTCCGCGCGGAGGGCGTCCCACAGCGCAACAGCCTCGGCGTGGGCTGCCGCAGGCGGGCGCCCGGCGAGCGGGTTCGGCGGTGACGGGGCGACGAAACCATTGGGCGCCGTGAGAGCGGTCGGCGCCGCCACGGCGGTCGGCGCCGCGAGTGGGTGGCTCGCCGCGTCGGCCCTCTCTTGGGCAGACGAGGAGAGGGGAGACGCAGGGCAGCCTGGCTGAGGCCCAATGCCTTGCGCGGCGGGGAGATGGGCGGGGAGGGGGGCGGCGAGAGGCGCGGTCGCTGCCAGCTGCGGAGGGCACGCCGGCGCGGCGACAGGAAGGGGCCTCGCCAGCTGTGGATCGGCGGCCGGCGTCGCGGGCGAAAGGGGCTCCGGTTCCGGTGCTGCGCCGCTGTCGGCCCGGGAGGGAAGGGGCACCGCCGGCACCGTGGGCACCGCTGCTCCGAGCGAGTCGGTCGGGACTAGGAGGGCGAGCGGGGGCTGGCCTTGGACGGGGGCGGTGGTGTGGACGGGGGCGGCGGCAGCGCCGTCCGCGCCGGCTGGCTGCGGGAGCATCTCTGGCTGCGGGAGCATCTCTGGCTGCGGGAGCATCTCTGGCTGCGGGAGCATCTCTGGCTGCGGGAGCATCTCTGGCTGCGGGAGCATCTCTGGCTGCGGGAGCATCTCCACGACGCTGGTGACGATGCGGCCGTCCCAATCCACGAGCAGCCTTCCGGACACGTCGAAGAAGGAGTACGAGCCGGCGAGCCGGTCATACACGCGCACGGGCCTCTCGCACTGCGCCTGGGCGACGACGTCTTCCTGGCACTGGCGATAGAGCTGGCCAATCATGCGGTAGACAGACTGCAGGTCCTCCGGGTGCGTGAAGAGCGCGTTGATCTCGACCTGAGAGCGGCGGGGCGCGGGCACGCTGGCGGTGGCGCCGCAGCCCGAGGGGCGCGCAATCTCTCGGCTGCCGATCGCGCCGCCTGGCTGCTCTACCACGCCCGCTGCATCTCTTCTCTTCTCTTGCGGCGCCTGGCTGCTCTTCCACGCCTGCTGCATCTCCCGCACGGAGACGATGGAGCGCTCGAAGGCGGAGTTGACGAGGAAGTGCGCCTGCGGGGCAGCGGAGCGAGGGGTGGGGTGGGGCGGGGGGAGGAGCGCGCGTGCGGCGCGGAGGTTTGGCGCGGACGGCGCGATTTCTTTTACTGACGCGAGGCCGAGAGCAGGCTCTGCTAGCAGGCTCTGCTGCCGTCGCAGGGCGGGGCGCGGCCGACAGCTCGCCTCGCCGTCTCGGATCGTGCGGAGGAAGACGTAGCCCTCGGAGTTCGCCATCAGGTTCTCGAAGAGGGGCGGAAGCGAGCCGTCGAATGGGGGCAGCGGCACCGCCTCGTCGAGCGGCAGCACCTACACGAGACGGCTCCGGAGCTGGTCGGCGCTGGAGCATCGGGGGGGGAGGGCGGCAGACCCTTGCGGGAGGCCTCGTCCATCGAGATCTCGTGGTGCCGGCAGATGCGCAGAGCGACCTCCTACAGTGGTGCCGCCTCCCCCCTCAGTGCCGACTCCGGAGGGCCGCCCCCCTCCCCGCCGTCCGCCGCGCGCCATGAGCTCGTAGGCGTTGCGGCGGCGCGCAATCGCGGCGAGCGGCTTGAGGGTGAAGCGGATCGAGGAGCGCGACGTGCCCGGCTCGAGCATGACTGCGAGCACGTTCCTCGCGCCCTGGATGTTGGTGCCCGGCAGCTGCTGGAAGGCGCGCATCGCGATGCCGTCCGACGCGAGCCTCATGACCTGCTGTTCGCCGGGCGTGCGAGGAGCGCCCGCATCAAAGACGGCGGACCCGTTGAACTCCACGACGGGCTGGCCTGGGGGCCCGAGCGGCGAAGGGTCCTCGAGCATAGCCTGCAAAGTCGCGCCCAGGGCCTTGCGGGCGACCCGCATGCCAAGTTGTGGCGCCGGCTCACAGCGCAGGCCGATCCTCGCGCATCGGTCGCAGGGATGCTTTCCGGGAACAAAGTTGATGCACTTGGTCTTGGACGCCTTGCAGGCAATGCACACACGCGCAGGCGGCGGCATGCAGCGAGCGCGGCCTGATGCCCAAGCCCGGCGGCAGTCACTGCGACTTGTACTCGAAGGATGTCCGAACACGCCGAGGATGGCCGCGTTTTTCTCTTTGAGTATAAGAGAGGCGTACAGTGGCCAGGGGCGGGGCTTGCATTTTTGCCGTCGCCAGTCGCCCCCCCCCAAACGCTACAGCGGGGGCGGCGGCGGCGCGGGGGCGGCGGGGCGGCGGCGGCGGCGCGACGGGGTGGGTAGGGGGGTGGGGAGCCGCTGCCGTGTGCGCTGCGCGTGCGCGCCGCACCGCACACCATACGGCGGGAAACAGACGGCGAAGGGGGGCGCGGCGGCAGCGGCGCAGCGCGCGCGCGGCGCGCGCGACGGAGGGGCGGAGCAGCGACCGCTGGCGCGGTCGCTGCTCCGTCTGTCCCGGAGCGCCGTCTGCGCGGGGTGCGCGTCAGGAGAGGGGGCAAGCGTGGCGGCGGGGCGGCCGGGCGAGGGCGCGGCGGGTGACGGGGAAAGGGAGCAGCCGGGCGACGAGAGGTAGGAGGTGCTCGCCGCGAGCGCTCCCGCGCCTGCGGTGGGGCAAGGCCTGAGGGCGGGCGGGCGGGCGGGCGGGCGCGGGCGGGGGGGGGGGGATAAACGCTGCGCCGCCCCCGCACCAGCGACACCGGCCGCGGCTCGCCTCCACGCGCCGGCTCGGAAGAGGGGCTGTCGGCGGCGCAGCAGAGCGGCTCGCCTCGGCGCTCGAGCCGCCAACAGCCCCACTCCTCGACGTGACGGCCGTTCCCAGGGCCGTCCGGTGCGCGCCCGACCCACGCCCCCTCTCGCACCCCTCCGACCCCCCCTGCGCGGCGCACCTATCCGCTGTGCGCCGGCTCGAGCGCCTATCGCCAAATCGCGACGTTTGAGCGCAGCGCACGCGTCCCACACGTCACGCGCGCGCAGGAGAGCGTGCGGCACAGCAGTAGCGTGTACTCGCCGAGGGCATCGCGCCGAAAACCCCGCGCATTCCGCCCCAGCAGAGGCTGCAGCCTCTGCACAAGCTACACCACTGTAAGAATGGTGAGTACTTGGGGTTGAGTGGGCTTGCTTGCTCCCTTAGCCGGGAGCAAAAATGCAAGAATTTTAAGAATTCTCTTTGGGGAAGCCTTATATATAGATGATCTATCGCTCTCGGGCCCACAGACATCCCGCTTTTCTCATATAGAGTAAGAGAAATTGAGGGAGGCCCTAGCCGTTTGTGCCCCGTTTGTGCCGCGTCCCGTGCCCCCGAGTTCATTTTATAAAAGGCCCTAGCCGTCTGAACACACGTGTGAGGTGTGACGTGCGTGTGTCGCTTCTCGTGCGTCGCCCATCTCTCCTGGAGATGACTGCTCTATTAAAAAAACACGTGTCCCTCCATTCACACTCTCCCAGTCCTTCCTGGTCTAGTGCCCGTGTTCCCCGCCGCTACCACACGTGGTGTCCCCCACCCGGCCGGCGGATGGGCGTGGGGCGTGGGGGCGCGTCGCCCTGCTTGCTCTATCTAGGTGAAACGTCAAAGGACGAAGAAGACCCGATTCCGCACGGCGGGCGGAGAACGACGGGCGGGGGCGCTGGTGCTGCAAATGGTGGGCGAGATGTAAAGGGGGTGCCCGTCGCGGTGCGCTGCACGCGCCTCGAACTCGGACAGTTCGAGCTGCGCAACTTTTCGGACTCTCCTCATGCATGTTCCATGCCCCATCGAGAGGGACACTCTTCCTCTCTTGGCATGGGCCTCTTCTTGGATCGAAGAACGTTTCGGCATATCCATGGACCATGGGTGGTAGCTGCATTGCGACGCACTTGGCATACCCAGAGAGAGATTTTTAGCAATACCAAACAAATCTAACTTGTTTGTGTCATATCCATATCACACGGTTCGCAAACATCAGACGACGGAGATGGTGCGGAATGGTGGTCCCTCACTATTGGACTGGCGAAGTCGAGAAGCTTCCGAAGAAAGTCACGATAACTGCTGACGAAAACGATGGCATACGGGCACCCAAGAACGGAGACGGTGGTGGTGATAGGTGTCCAAAGAAAGCAAACCACAAGTTGATCGTAGCACGCTGATGATGACCTCAAAGGCGACGAGGCATGCATACGTGGCGAGATATAGGACGGTTCGCACTAAATTGTAGAGTGCAACGCACCCAGACCAAAGAGTAGAACCATACCGAATATCGCAAGTGCAGCTGGTGCGAGGGCACCAATCGAATTACGAATATCCATTTGCATCGAATAAACACGTTGAATATCCATTTGCTCGCGGTCTGGACTCTGGTAGGCAAACTTGTTGTCGCCCCTTGCCATCAGGAAATAAGTGCAAAGAAACCCAACGTCACCTAGGTAAAGCGAAAGACGCCCGAGTGGCCAAACCCAAAGCATTCCACCACACTCCACAGGGCTGGTGCGTTAACGTTCAAACGGTGTTCAAACGTTATAACGGTTAACACAGTGCTCAAACTTTACCGGTATGAGACTGGTATTTAAGGCGAGATTTTGATTAGTTTTGGAGTGGTATGGTATAGTGGTATGCGAAAGTGGTATGCGGGGTTTTCAGTAGTTGTAGCGGCTGTCGGTGTGGTCCCGAGGGCGAAACCATGCAAAAGTGCGGGTATTACTCGGGTATACCCGTGTTTTTCCAGGTATACCCGCAAAATACCCGGTATTTTGCCGATTTTGCCGATTTTGCCACCAAGAAGGCACTCCGACTCGCTTTGATTTCCGTGAGGCAACTGGTATCCCGTACCACTTTTTGATTAGTGCAGGCCTTGGGTTTGATTAGCCAAAAACTCCCATACCGGTAAAGTTTGAGCACTGGGTTAACACCACAGCCGTATAGAGGTGTTAGCCGTACAGTTCCGGACGGGCATTAAGAACCTCTAACGTTAAGAACCTGAGGCTGATATTTCGGCCGGATCCCTAAGAACTCCCTAAGAACCTGAGGCTGGGCGATGCTGGGTTCTATACTACAACCATCGATGTGACCGAGACTCGCGAGCGCGGCATCCCATGCAACACACATACAAGGTTCACACAAACAACGAAACGACGCGCGAGCGCGCAACAGTCCAACATATGCAGTGCATGTCCATGCGCCATGTCCATGTCATGTCTACGTCCATGTCCAGTCCTGTCCTGACCTGTAACACCCAGTGGGTGTTGATTTTTAATCGAAGCCGAAACGGTTTAAAAAACCATCCACCCGGTTAAGAACCTGAGGCTCGGCCCCCGACGGACCGCCAACTTAGCTAAGAACCTGAGGCTGGGCGAAGAACCTGTGCGTTCTTAATGCCCGTCCGGAACTGTATAGAGGTGTTCAAACGTGTTAACACCGCCCCTCGAGAGGTGTTGACACGCTCCGTTAGATGCGGGCGAGTGGGGCGCGAATTATTTGAAGGAGCGCTGGTGACCCAGGGATGGTGGCGACCGCCGCGAGCGGGATGCAGCCGGCGAGGCGAGGTGACAGGTGGGCGCGACCGTTGCGCGCTGCAGAGTGCGCACGACAAAGCAGCTCTGATGCCATGGTGACCTGCGTGCGCGGGGACGGCAAGGGTCGCGCCGCAGCCCGTGCTCACCGGGGGCTCAGTCTCGATGGGGAGACAGTGGGGGGGGGGGGAGAGAGAGCAGCCAGGCCCGCGTACCGGCAATGCGAGACGACATTGACAGTTGGAGCCCGCGGCTTGCAGAGCGTTTGAAAGTTGTCGGGCTACGTGCGCATGTCGCGCGGGCGACGCCCGTCCGCAGCTGACACGTCGTGGTCTGGTCCTATAGGTCTGGTCGTGGTGACGATGATGGCGAGGAGCATCACGGTGGAGAGGAGCGTCCCGGCGCTGCCTGGGCTCGCTCGAGTTTCCGGTCTAGGCGCGGCGCGTCACGTCACCGCACGGCAAAAAAATCTTGTCTCATGGCTTCAGAGGTGGTGACCGTCTAACAACTCTTTTCAGTGAGTGGGAGGATGACGGGGATGCGGATGGTCTTTTCGGCGAGCACCACGGTGATCGCGGATTTGACCATCCGCCTGACTACCATTCCGACGACGCCTTCTGTGAGGCGGACGGCTTCTATGAGGACGACGGCTTCGATTAGAAGCCGTCGTCTTTGTTCGGCCAGTCCCGTACCCTGGCGAGGCCTCGCCTCACGGGGTCCCCCCTTGCCCGGGGGGGCGAGGGTGCTGGGGCGAGCCTTGGCGAGACTGCGTCAGCTGTTCCCACAGCAGGCTGGAAGTACCTCGCCAGCCCGTACCTCATGTCGTTGAAAATAGTTAGAGGCTGCGCAGGCCGTCCCGTTTGCTGTTTGAAACGCCTGTTGCGCTGCGCGCGCGCTGCCGGGGCTCTGTCTCACTCACGTGCCGCAATATGTGTCACACACGGCGGCTTCTGCCACCTCTCGATTGGTTCCACTTTCTCCGCACACCTACCGGGGAAGGGGCGCGTGGGAGCGGGGGCGGGGGCGGGGGCGGGGGTGGGGGCGGGGGCGCGCAGCGCGGGGCGCGCGCGCGCAACAGAGGGTAGGGTGGGGAAGACGGCGAGGAGGGGGCGGCGGCGGCGGCGGCGGCGGCGGCGGCGGCGGCGGCGCGCGCGCGGCGCGCGCGACGGGGGGACGGAGCAGCGACCGCTGGCGCGGTCGCTGCTCCGTCTGTGCCAGGGACGCGCGCTCTGCGCCGCTGCAGAGCGCGCGCGTCAGGGCAAGGGGCATGCGTGGCGGCGCGGGAAGCGCGGCGGCGGCGGCGAGCCGCCGAGCGCTCCGTGAGCGGTGAGGCGGCCGGGCGAGGGCGCGGCGGGTGACGGGTCAAGGGAGCAGCCCACACCCGGCGTTGCTTTTTGAGCGACGCCTGTGGCACGCCTGCGCAGGGGCCGCAGGGCGGTCAGTTGTGGGGCGAGGCGGTGCCGGCCGCGGGCCGGGTGCAAGGCGCCGGCCTCGGCGCCGCCTCGGCGCGCCGCACCCGTGACGGGTCAAGGGAGCAGCCCACACCCGGCGTCGCTTTTTGAGCGACGCCTGTGGTACGCCTGCGCAGGGGCCGCAGGGCGGTCAGTTGTGGGGCGAGGCGGTGCCGGCCGCGGGCCGGGTGCAAGGCGCCGGCCTCGGCGCCGCCTCGGCGCGCCGCACGGGCGCGGCGAGCCTCTGAGCGGGAGCCGAAGGTTTGCCTGTGGGAGGTGGGTAGGTAGGGAGGTGGTGGGGGTGATTTGACTTTGCCCGCAGAGGCCGTCCCTAGCTGTGAACAGCAAAACGGGACAGTATCTCTTTCACAACGTGTGTGGGGTGTGACAGCCCCGCAGCTGGCCGAAGTGATGCCCGACTGCTCGATCTGCGCCGAGCCGCTCGAGTCCGCCCTCACCGTCACGCGATGCGGTCACGTCTTCCACGAGTCGTGCCTACTCGAGTGGTTCCAGCACAAGCCCGTCTGCCCGCTCTGCAAAACCGAGCGCTCGTCGGGGTTCGAGCGGCCGCTCCTCGCGGCGCCGGCCGCCTGCTCGGCGGAGGCGGCGGTGGCGATTGAGGCGAGCATCGAGCGCGGCGATGAGCCGCCTTGCGTGCGGTCCGCAGCTGCCGCGGTCCGCCTCGCCGTGCGGCAGGAGTCGAAGGCGCACGCCGAGGCGGCGGCGGCGAGGAGCGCGGTGGAGCGGGAGCAGGCTGTGCTGGCCTCCCTGCGCGCCGAGCACCGGCGACTCGGCGGGAGGCTGCAGGCGAGGGCGGTCGAGGCGCTCAACAAAGAGAGGGAGGTAGCCGCACTGAGCGCGTCGGTCCAGCGAGGCTCGGTGGGCGCGGGCGCCGCTGCAGGCCGCAACAGCGCCGCGGCGAAGGTGGCGGGTGGTGAGGCGCCGGCAGTGACGCGGGAGCGGCTCGCTAGCCTGAGTCAGCAGGTCGGCTGGCGGTCGGGAGAGCTGAAGGACCTCCGGGCAAAGGTCGAGGCCGCGCGTGCGACGCTCGTGGCGGACAGAAGCGTGCCCATCAGCCTCCCCACTGTGCATCAGTGATCAGACTGTACGCCGTACCGCTCCTAAAAGTTGAAAGCAAAGTGCATCAGCCATCAGCCATCAGCCTCCCCGCCCTATATAGCCACCAACGGGCAACGGCACAACGGTCAACGCGCGACGGGGTGCGGCCGACACAGCGAGCGACAGTTGGGGTGGGCCGTGATGTGGGCGCCGCACACCTGTCACCTCTAGTCTCTGCTGGTAGACCACACGCGTAATGATCAGTTTACTATTAATCGACACATATATTTTGCGACGCGGAGAAAACACTTTTTCGACTTCGCGACGTACGTGACGACTACGCGAGCCTACGTGGCGGTACGACAGACTGCGCCTCCCCCCCCTTCAACATCAGAAACAGCACTTGCAGTCAAAAGGGCACAGCGGCGTGCCCCCCCCTCGGCCAAGGCCAAGGTCGTGCGCCTTGTAAACCTGGGCGGGGACGGCGATCCGTGAGGCAGCAATCGCCTCTGATGCTGCGAGGCTTGAGTGTGGGGCAGTAGGGAGGGCGAGGCTCACCCTCAGCCCGCTCGAGCTGTCGTGGCGGTGGACCTTTGCGTTCTGCGGGTCGACCGCGCGGTCCAGGTCGTACTCCTCGCCAAAGACAGGATCGATCACCTTGTCACGCTTGCGCTTCTTGGCCCGCTTGGCCGCCGCCGAGGCGGCGGCGGCCGCCTCCTCGGCCGCCGCCGCCTGCTGCTGTCGCGCCGCATCCCGCTGCTCGCGCTTCGGCGCGAAGCTGGAGAATATGTCGTCCATCGCGCTCTTCCCACCTCCATTCTGGGTCGGCACTATGCTCGGCCCCGCCTCGCTCTCCGCGGCGGCAGGAACGGCCTTGGGCTTGTGCGTCTTTGGACGTGCAGGCTTCGAGGAGGTGGGACCTTTCGGCATCACGCGAGAAGCGGGCGCGAGCAGCGCGCGAGGAGCAACGAGCCAACCAGGGGGCAAGAAAATAACGGGGTCCTCAGCGGAGCTGCACGCTCTACTTAAAATCCCTGTGTGGTGGCGGCGTGCCGTCCTCCCATCCCTCCCTTGGGTTGTCTGTTTTCTTTCTTTACGCTCGCGGCGCTTCGGTGCTCGGGCGCGCTCACCAACCATGTGGTCGTTCAGGGCGGCTTGCACAGCGCCTGCACACACACACACACACACACACACACACACACACACACACACACACACGCACGCACGCACGCACGCACGCACGCACGCACGCGCGCGCGCACACACACACACACACATGCAAAACAAAAATCTCTCTCACATGCACACACACACACACACACACACACGCACACACACACACACACACACACACACACACACACACACACACACATACACAGACACACAGCCCCTTCCCCTTCCCTCTCAAGACCGCAAGGGCGAGGACACGCGTAGGCCGCACCACTAGCGAAGCCCACAGAGTGGGAGACTCCTAATCACCGCCTCTGCCACCCACGGCGTGAGCCTTGGCCACCTCTGTCAGTGTGCCCGTGATAGTGAGAGACTGCCAGTGAGAAGCCGGAGGAAGGTCGCTAGTCGAGAGATCGCCAGTGGAATAGGGAGTCCACCGTGCTGCGAACCTGTCGCTGTCCCTTTCGTCAGTAGCAGGAGAACTAGGAGAGCGCAACCAGTAGGAGGCCCGCGCCTGCCCCCGTGCCGCCGGGTGCAACTTTGTCCTATACGAGAGGGGAATCCCTGGGACCCTCGCCTGTCGTGTGGGTGAACCCTGCCCAGCCCCCCTCCGTGTCGCGATGCGCTCCCCGCTGCCCGCTCCCGTTCCCCTGTGTCCCTGATCGTCCTTACAAGATCCTGCTCGCGCAGGTGGGGACCCTGTCCTTCTCCCACCCCTTGTTTGGTGTGTCCGTTTTATTTATTTATTTTATTACCCTTGGGTTGTCCGCTTTCTGTCTTTCTTTTTACCCGAGGGTTTTACCAAGCTGCCAGCCCAGTTCACGCACTCCGGGCCCTGGGTTGGTTGGTTGGTCCCCCACTCTGCGCACTCCAGGCCTCCAGATGTTGGTTGGTTGGTCCCGCACTGTCCGCACACATATTGTCTATTACACACATACGCGTTTTTACACAGCCGCCTTGTCCTTATACGCGGCAAGCACCGAGGCAATTGCTGCCTTCGCTGTTGCCTTAGCCCTCTCGGCAATGGGGTCGTGAGCCGCCGTCACCGCGAGTGCCGCCTTAAACTTCTACAACCCCAAAGTCGGACAATCGATGTCAATTGCTCTTCCGCGCCCTCCACGGCGCGCACCGTTCTGGGACTTGCACACCCCTCGCGGCCCGTCTGCTGGATGGAGCCGACATCACTGCCTAAGCCTGGACGGCTCCATGGCCGGCATGTTGGGTACTATACGGGCGGCGGGAAGTGCGCTTCCTGCCAGGCGCTAGCGGTGGAGCTTTGCTGGCTCGATACTGTGCACTCAGGCCCGGAACCAGACGGGCTGCGGGTGACGACGCGCCGGATGCCGACGGCCGACAAGATGCCCGACGCGACGGTGGGACCATGTCAAGCCGGACGGGGCGGTGTTATTTATCCGTAAGTCTTGCCGGGAGTGCACGCAGCGCCAGAAGGCCGCGGTGTGGCTCTGCGAAGGCTGCCGCACGCACCAGCGCACCACAGGCATGCTTGCCCGGAGGGCCGGTCTCAGCTGGTTGGGTGAGGGGGGGGGAGGATGCTGTGCAGACCGAGGTAGTGCGTGTTACACACCGACAGGTTCGGCACCGGGCACCGCCTCGGTATACAAAATGCGCCTGCGGGCGGACCCTTACAGATCACAGATCACATCATCCCACACCGGTAGAGCTCGGCAAGAAAAATCGCACGCCCTGATCTCCGCACGTCCCCATGCGCCTTCGCCCGAGCGCCCTTCTCTTCTGCCTACTGCTCCATCGCGCTCAGGCGCAGCGCCCAGCGCTCGCGCCGCGCGGACGGGCTCCGACCGAGCTGCGTGAGTCCGAGCCAACGGCCCGCACCTCGTCCCTCTCCGACGTTGCGGCGCTCCTCGCTTCGAGCCTCAGCCCGAGCGAGTGGTACGACTACCTCACTCGCGTGAGCGAGTCCCTGGAGGACGCAGTCGAGACGGTCTCCGACTCCACCTCCAACTTCATGTTTCGTGACATCCTCGGCTATCGAGTCGGCTGGGCGCGCACACGTCGTCTCGCTCTCCTCTTCTCTCGCATGCTTCTCGGTGCCGCTCTGCTGCTCCACGGTGGCAGCGGCGACGGTCGGGGATTGTGGACGCGAGGCCTCGCCCTGCTTCAAGCGTCTCAGATTGTGAGCTTCCTCCTGACATCCGGCCGCACAATAGTCGGTATCCCGCGGGTGCGCCTCTACGTCCGCGAGGCGCTTGTCCTGGGTGCCGCGGCCGGGATTCTGCACGTTCCGCGGTTGCACCTCCCAGCTCTCGTCCTCGGTGTCAACGCGGGAAAGACGACGCGCGGCCTCGTCCGGGCCACCCGCCTGACGAGCGCGGAGCAAGACAGCCTGTCAGAACAAGCCTTCGAGGCGGCGGAAGAGGCGCTGGATGGGCTTTCTGACACGGTCAGCGAGGCCCTGGGAGTCGATGACTGGTGGGACGACGAGCCAACGGCTGCTGAGGCCGAGCTCGCACACTACCGCCTCATCGGGCGCACGCTGTCTCCGCTGGTCGCCGCGTTGACCTTCACCGCGGTGGCTCGCCGCCAGGCGCCGTTCGGAGCTGTGCCTGCGCCAATGGTGTCAGCCGCAGTGGCCGGCGGCTTCATGCTGCAGCGTAACATCCGCCTCGCGCTGGAAGAGAACTGGCTCTACCTGCGGCTATTCTTGTTGCGCTCGATCCCGGCGATCCTGCGATTTTCGCTGTGGCTACTGTGGCATGTCGTGCTGCCGATTCGGAACGGGCTGCACGGCCTCCGCAGCCTGCTCGAGCGCCGACTCCTGCGACCTCTGTACTCCGCCCTTTGCCGACTTGTGCCCGCCCTCCGGCGAGTGCCGCTCGACGAGCTCGAAAGGAGGCTCTTCGCCCTGCCCGGCCTCGGCAAAAAGCTTGCTTTGAGGCTGCTCGGCGCGCTGCGCTGGCTGCTGCGGACGGTCGTCCCCGGCGCTGCACGCGGCTTTGTGTCGGAGGTGCTGTCAAAGGCAGAGCGCTACTTGCTGCCCTATGTGATGGCCGCTCTCGGTGTCGCCGTGCAGATGCGATGGATCAAGCTGCGCGAACTGCCTGCGCTGTGCATCAAGCTCGTGCTCAACCCCAGCGACCTGCTCGCAACAGCCGTGAAGCCCGCACTCCGCGCTGCTCTCACCCGGTTGCGCGAGGCGGCCCGGCTTCCTTCAGCAGTGATGGCGTTCCTAAAGCCCTGACCCACACACACGCACGCCGCCAACCAACTTCCGGCGTTGTTTTGTTTGTTTCCCGTGTCCCAATCACACGGACACGCGGTCCCAAAACGCGGGCCACCCCCATCCCGTGCCTGTTTTTATTGATGCGCGCCAGTCCCGCAAAAAACAAAACAACAACATCTCTCCAGGTCCCGTGGTGCCTGGTGCCCAAAGAAAGAAAGAAGACAGAAGCGCCGCAAGCTGGGTCGCAAGGGAGGCCCAGGTCGTTGTGGACAAAATTCTTTTGCGCGCATGACCGGTGCGAGCGGCCTCCGAGTCGGCGTCTAGCGATGACATGGCCACCGTCGCACTCGACACCGTCTTACTCGACGAAGAGCCTACAGCAGATCAGGTCCTTACTGCAGTCCTCGTGCTCATGGACTTCGTGGCATACGCCGGCGCCGCCGCTATGCTCTGGATCAACCGTGAATTTCTGATGCTGCACGGCACCAACGCTGTCACCCTCCCAATCGCCACCGCCATCTTTGTCGTCACCATCAATTTTGTCCGCGGCCTGCTCATCGCCGCCCGCTTTCTCACAGCCTACGCATGCAAAGGGTACACTGCCTCTTGCGCTCTCGCGGCGGCTTGCGTGGCTCGCGTCAAGACTTGGGTCGCCTTCGGATCTGAGTCGCACCAACGCTCCGTCAAAAGCTCCGTCTGTGATGTCCACATGGCACCCCGGGGAGAAGCTTCCCTCGAGGGGGGCGAGCTTTCGACGAGCCGTTTTGCCGGCTCAATCGAGATCAGTTTGAACGACAACTCGCTTGAGACAGAGGAAGACGTTGCCGCCATCGCCGCTCAGCTAGCCGCCGCCGGCTTCGATGAGATCGAGCACTCCTCTGGCGTCGCCATCCCTCGCCCTTCCGAGGATTGCACCGAACCTTCGTGGCTCATCGAGGCCGAGCGCATCCTCTTCGAGACATCCGCATTCGCGTCAAATCTCGAGGGTTCTGCCTTCGAGCGGGCCGATGACGTCCCGGATATCGCCGCGGATCACGTGTCCCTGCTCGGCTCCACATCGCCGTCACCATCTACCCCGCCCGACAAGAGGCGCGAGACGAGCGACGTCAACCGCACCGCCGAGCTCGTCACCAGTGGCGTCTGTGACATCTCCGGGCCGCCACCTCGCGTCAGCACCGAGTGGTCTGTCCCGAGCCTACACGGAGACCTCTGGATTTTCACTGTCCTGCTCGTCGTCGCCACCATCCCTTTCGCCGTCGCCGTTTCTGGACCGGTCCCTGCGAGCATGCCGCTGCCCGACGCCATCTCCATCGACGTGCCACTGCCCGACACCATCTCCATCAACGGCGCCTGCCATTTCGCGCTCACCGGCCCCTCTGCATCAGCACGGCCTCCAGGAAGGCCGCCAGGAAACCAGCCGTCCATCAACAACTTCATCGCCGGCGCCGAGACACGGCGCAACTCAACTTCAAATTCAACTTCAAATTCAAATCTCCCACCCTGCCCCAGCCCAAAACAAAGGTACCGGCGATGCGGACCATCTCGTGTTGGGGGGGTGTGCTTCGGTCGAGTCTACCGGTCGCCGCCCGACTCCGTTGCCGTCTGCTGCCCCTTGCGTCGGCCGAGGCGACAGCCGAGGCCACTACCCAAGGTGGAGGCGAGGCGACAGCCGAGGCCGCCGCCCACAAGGCCAACCAACCAGCTGAGGCCTCTGCCCAAACGGAGGCCGAGGCGCCAGTCACAGCCGCCCAAACCAAGGCGCCAGCCGCCGCCGCCACGCGCAAGCCCTGGTGGAACCTTTTCAGAATTTGCTACATCAGCGCCGTCGCCATCAGCTGTACCGTCGAAGACCCGAGTCTCGACTTCGTCTTCGAGCGTGTTACCTCGCCTTGCACGGCCGGCGCTCTTCAGACCAGCGCGCGAGACGCCTGCGCCGCCCTCGACTCCGAGCGGACGTGCTCTGCCGCCTCCGCCGTAGCCGAGCGATCGGCCAGCGCCTCTGCCGCCAGAGCTGTCGCCGTCGGCTGTACCGTCGAGCAAGGCGTCGCCACCGACAAGTGCGCTGCCTCGCCTCGCACGGCCGGCGCTCTTCTGGCCAGCGCGCGAGATGCCTGCGCCGCCCTCGACTACGACTGGGCGCGCCCTGCCGCCGCCTCCACCGTAGCCGAGCTCTCCGCCAGCGCCTCCGCCACCAGCGCCGTCGCCGCCGCCGTCACCGTCGAGTACTCGAGTCTCGCTTCCGTCATCGAGAGTGACAACTCACATCGCACAGCCAGTGCCTCACGCTTCAGCTTTCATAGCTTTACCTCCGGCTCCGCGCCGCGCCTCGCCTCCGTCAAGGGCGACCTCGGCCTGCGCCCTCGCGCCCGCGCCGTCTCCGGCCTGCGCCCTCGCGCCCGCGCCTTCTCCGGCTCCGCGCCGCGCCTCGCCTCCGTCAAGGGCGACTCTCGAATGTCAACTACTCCCTCCTCGTGCCGCCTTCGGCCTTGCCCGCACAGGCGTCGCGATCTACGGTACATCCCCGACGCCTTCAGCATCGGTCCTGGGGGGGGCGTCTGAATTCGGACGCCTGTGCTACCCTTCACACACGCTACACACGGTGTACTAGCACGGCGCATCCTGCACCGTGCCCCATGAATGTCGATACTCCAGCATCACACCCTCTGTGCCACAATCGTGTCACGTGGACGTCCCTTAGTCGGCGCGTCTTGTCTGTCGCGATGTCCTAGACGTCGTGCCTTTCTGGTCCTTTACCATCCTTCAGCCAGCCAACCTCCGGCTCTGAGCCTCCGCGCTCAAACGAGGACACCCGCTGCCACCGCCCCCGCCCCTCCCCGCCTTCCCGCCGCCTGCGCCGTCGGAGTGCCTCGCAGAGGCGGAGATGAGCGCGAGAAATAAGGTTTTTGCTCGCCTTCCCTGCGACCCCGATCCCCGTGATGCATGTCTCACTGTTACTGTGCGATTTCGGGCCCGGGGTTGTGCGCGCACACGTGAAATTCTTTTCCACGTTTACCTGTATTAGTACTTTTGTTTTTTCCTGTATTAGTGCCAGTGCGCGCCCGTCTGAAAGAAAGAAAGAAATAAAAAAGACAACTCAGGAGGGATGGGAGGACGGCACGCCGCCACCACACAGGGATTTTAAGGAGAGGGGTGTAAAAGAAAGAAAGAAAGCAAACAGACACGCCAAACGAGGGATGGGACGAGGACAGGGTCCCCACCTGCACGAGCAGGATTTTGGAAGGACGATCAGGGGGACAGGTGGGGCTCTCAAGGAGAGGGGTGTGCCCGAGGTGCCGCACGTCGAAATTCTTTTCCAGGAACGATGGCTGGGCAAGACTGACTTCGCCAGCTGCGAATGGACTCCACGCTATTTCGAGTCACGCCACGCAGGGCGATCGGCCTGACCGTGCTGGCTGCGATCGTGCTCGCTCTCGACTCGCTCTACCGGAGGCCGCCTGACCAGCGTGCACCGCCCAAGCGCAAGCAGGGCAGCCTCCGGCCACAGCCTGCCACCGCGCCGCGCGTGGTGACCGCCAACGGCCCGGCGACGAACGCTGTCGTTCAGCTGTCGGCAGCCTCTCGGCCAGCAAGGCCGGCACCGGCTGTGGCCGCCCCGCCGCCGGTTGGCATTCTCCGTGTGCGCCCGGCAGCAGGCAACCGAAGCTCGCAGCCGTGGAACTACCCACCCTTTGCCGGCGCCATCTCGAAGCGCGCACGCGATCAGTTCTCCATGCGCAAGAATTCCGGCTTCTACGGCCGCGATTCGCCCTTCCCAGAGTGGCTGCGAGGGACGGAGCCCAGCGCTGCCGCCGGCCCGGCGCCGCCGGCGGTGCTGACTGGCACTGCGTGGCACTACGGGCCGGGACGGCATGCGGCGGCCGCGGCTGCCTGTGCCGCCCACGGCGTCTGGTCGGCGCCCCTCGGCCGGTGCGACTGCGGCCCGTACCGGTGGGGCGCCACGTGCGCCGTGCCGGTGGTGCCGGTGCCGCGGCCGAGCATGTACGTCTGCGTGATGAACGACTCGGCGCCTTGGTGCTCGAGCGAGGGAGGGAGGCGAGGTGCGCCAGCACACACCCTCGACGACGCCTCGAGCCCCCCCCCGTAGGTGGTGCGAGCTCCCCGCGTGCGAGGCCAGCAAGGCCGAGAGAGCGGCGCCGGTGCTCGGCGCGCCGCCCCGCCAGTGCACAGGAGAGCCCCTCTCGGCTTGCCCGAGCAGCTGCAACGGCCGCGGCTCCTGCCTGGGCGGCGCCTGCCGCTGCTACGCTGGGTTTCGCGGCGCGGCGTGCGAGGAGTCCGACAAGGACAACTCCTGCCTGCAGGGCTGCTCCGGGCGGGGCGAGTGCCTCAAGGGCTTCTGCCGCTGCACGCCGCCTTGGTGGGGCGCCGACTGCGCGCTCGGGGCGACGGCCAGCGAGTGGCCACGCTGTTCGCGCAGGCGAGCCGGAGCCGGAGCCTGCTCCACGCCCCTCTGCCCGGGCCTTCTCTCTGCACACGCCAACTGGACTCGTTGTTGCGCAGGCCTTGCATCTACGTGTATGAGCTGCCGGAGAGCACGGGCAAATCGCCCGACATCGCCGCGTGAGTGTCTGTTCACTCGACACCGTGGAGTGTGCTTCAGGCGAGGATGAACGTGCTGGCACTCAAGGTGGAGCTCGGGTCCCCTCACCCCTCGTGCACAGCTCCCGCGTGACCCCGCGCGCTCCTCGTTTCGCAGGTCGAGTTCGACTGGCGCATCCAGGCGCCGGGACGCAAGTACGACTACCGCTTCCCGCTGCTCTTCCACGAGGCTCTGCTCGGGTCGGGGCATCGCACTAGCGACGCTTCGCAGGCGGACCTGTTCTTTGTGCCGACGTACGACTTTCAAGGCTCGTGGGGGAACCCAGAGGTCTACTTCCGCGCGGCGCGGTACGTCTCGCAGGCATGGCCCTACTGGAACGCCTCTGGCGGGGCACGCTCCCTCTCGCGGACCAGCGTCCATCTGGAGTGTGCGCCGGCGCGAGCGTCGCCCGCCCGCTCTCAGGCGGACCATCTGTGGGCAGTGGCCCGCGACGCGGGCGCGTGCGCGACTCCGTGGGGCTCCTTGGCCGACGAGCTGGCCTCCTCGTCGCTGCTGCTCAACTGGGGCGGCGTCACCGGACTCTCAGGTTAATTAACTAATTAATTGATTAATTAACTGGGGCGGCGTCACCGGACTCTCAGGATCCGCAACGCCCCCGCCACGGCCGAGCTCTGACCCTCCCGCCCACATGCCCTCACTGCGAGCAACCTTGCCCCAAAGCCTCGATTTCGCCGCCGGCCCTCCTCTTCCCCGCCAGGGCTGCCCGAGGAGCGCTGCTATGAGGCGGCGCGCGACCTCGTCGTCCCGGGCGCGCTCGTCCACTCCATCGTTGCGAAGTCGCCCTTTTGGGGCGACGCGGCGGCGGTCGCGACGGCGCACCGCCGGCGCAGCACGCGCCTCTTCTTCATCGGCGCCCTCTGCTGGAAGATCTCGGACAAGGTCCACTCGCTTGGGGAGATGGAGAGGAAGTGCGCGCGGGAGCACGGCTTCATCGCCCGGTACTCGTTTGGACACCGCTGGCTCGTCTTCAAGGCAAGCCCCCCTCTTCCCTCCCCCTTCCACACCACCCATGCCCCTGATCGGTCGGACCTGTGCCCTTCTAGACCTTTGCCGGCGCCGAGGGCTTTCGCCTGTACGCCACCGACTACCCGCCGTCGATGCCGCGGCGGCGCGTTAACGTCAACGAGGAGATCCTCGCTTCTCAGTACTGCCTCTGCCCGTCCGGCACGGGATGGGGAATGTGCACGCGTCTGCCCGCACCTGGCGGCCGGAGATCCACGCCCCCAGGCGGTACCCCTCCTCGCCGTAGGCGCGTCTACCACGCGGCGGTGCTCGGCTGTGTGCCGGTGCTGGTGCAGGACGACGGCGCGCATCCACGTGTGGCTCAGGCGTTCGAGCCCGAGTTGCGTTGGGACAGTTTCTCAGTCATTGTTCCGCGTGCCGCCGTCGCCAATCTGTCGGCAGTGCTCGCCGCCACCGACCTCCAGGCCAAACAGCGTGCGCTTGCCACGACCTGGCACCGGATGATTTGGCGCAACGCGCTGCAATCGCCACAGCGTGAGAAGCTGCCGTCACCGGACGCCTTTGAGGCGACGGTGGCCTCGCTCGGCCGGCTTGTAGAGCGGCGCAGCGAAAGATTACAAGAGAGGGTGTGAGGATTCCTCACAGCTCTCTGTGTCTGTGATCACAGATCACAGAGGGAGGGCGCGAGCGGCCCGCGGCGCGGGCGACACCCACACACAGCAACACTATTTTATCACGACGCGAAAATGCTAAATGGCAAGCTATCAATGGACAGACCAGGGACTTTGCTGGCGCCGGCGGTGCTTGCGCTCTAAGGGAGACCCAGACCCAGGCCAGGCCCCAAAAGCAGATCGTTGTCAGATGTCACCGGTCTGACGCGCGACACCCGATCGAACCCGAGATACACATCGAAGAGCCGTACACACAGGCAGCTGCGAGAACTAAGAAGGGGAAACCCCTCACCAGTATTTAGCGCCCAAAGAAGCCTGCCTGATCAAATATCCCGCCAGGACCGACCCACTGCCCAGTCTTGTCCTTGGCCCACCCTCCCATGCACTTCATCTTGTTCTCCGCCTACAGCACGCGGCGCCAATAGCGTGAAATGCTTGGCTTGTGAGTTGTGTGGAGATCGTTTGTGTGCTCGCGCACCTTCGCGCAATCGAGAATCTGGCCGTCCATCACGTACCCCTCCCCCGCCTCCTGCTTGTCGTTCTTGTAGTCATTGAACGAGTCAATTGCGTTACCTGCCGCATCCACCATTGCGCCCGTCGATGCATCAAGCCGGTCGCCCGTGCTCTCTGCAGCGGCCGCGCAGTCCTCCTTCGAGTGCGCCTATTGACAGCGAGTGAACGGCAACATATTGACCGGCGCGAGCGGCTATCGGTCCGCGCGTGAGCGTGCGCGTGCTTTTTGGCACTCTTTCATCGCATCCACCCATGATCCGTCTCCCAAGCTGCCCCCGTTGTACTCGTCATTTTTGTCGAATATGCCGCGCGCTGCGGCGATTTCCTCTTGCTTGGAGTGGATGAGGTTGCCGAGGGTCACAGGCAATGCCCTCGTGAAGCCGGCGTAGAGGTCAGGAAGCATGCTAAAGCTGATCTCGTAGCCAAACAGCTCAAACTTCTCGTCGGGCACCCGGATAATACTGGCCGAGTGCTGACGCCCAGAGAGAGCAACCGCACCGCAAAGAAGAACGCCGACTCCAACGAGTGCGCCTGCCGCCTTCCGGCGATGGTGATTCACGGGCTCGCTCGCGATCATGGCGACAGGACGGCGCGGACGCGGGACGGCCGACGGACGGCCTCGTTTTTTAGATTTTACCCGCCCAAGAGATACTCGAGATTCAATCTACGACACTGAAAAAAAAGAACGAGACGGCCCTCATTCACAATAGGACACATCAGCCCGGATCGAGGAGCCTACGCCGTTTCGCCGAGACTTCCCCTTCCGCGGGCGGCGGCGGGCGCACAGGGACGGGCTGCGACCGCGACACGCCCAAATGGCGCAGCGTTGCGTCGTCCCACGCCGCGGCCACAATCCCGAGCGACGCAAGCCGCGCAGCACGCGCTCGCGGCGCGGCGCACCACTTCCATGTCGCTGCGCGGATCCCATCGTCTGACTGCCGCTGCAGTGCAATCTCAACCACCCCCGCCATCGAGCGAAGGAGCGCGCCGCTGCCAGACCCCGCCGACCCGTCATCCTCGTCAGTACCGAGAGTCGGGAGCGCCTCCAGCGTCGCACACCACGCGACGCGCACCGCGGTCACGAGCGACGGCGGCGGAGGCTTGGCGGGCGGCGTGCTTTGCGGCCAAGCCGCGGCAGTCACACGGTGATCAACCTCCGCCCCGCGAGCGCCGGCCGGCGCGGCAGCACCCATCTCACTTCCCTCAGCGTTGGCAAGCGCGCACAAGAGCGGCTCGTGCTCCTACGGCGAGAGCCACTGCGGTGAAACCACTCGGTCGGGGGCAGCATTTCCCGAGGAGGAGACGCCTGCGCGTGCACGAGCCACGGCCGCAACGCGGCGACCAGCGCGGCGGCGGTCGAGACAGCGCCATCCTTGGGGGAGGAGCCTTCGGCGGGGGCGGCAGACGAAGTGGCGGCAGCGCTAGCGGCCGACGCCGCAAGCAGCGCAGCTCCTGGGCGCAGCCCGATCACGACGACGGCCGCGATGGCGTGAAGAGCGTCCTCCGCCATCGCTGTGCCGTTGGCGTGCAGCACGGTGCTCGAGGCGCCGGCTGCGCCGTCGGTGAGCGAGATGAGCGCCTTGGTGCCTGTCTGCAGCAGCTGCCACGCCGCAGCCGCCGAGAGCGGCGGCGGAGCTGGCGGCGGCGGGGGTAGCGGATGGCTCGAGTCGGCGGGCGGGTGCGGCGCGACGCCCGCGCGCATCACGGCGCAGCAGAAGGAGAGAGAGAGCGCCAGATGGCCGCCCCCTGGCCTCGGCACCGCGTCCTCGCCCCGCCCAATCCACAACCCGCCTGAGGCACGGCGATGAAGTGAGGAGCGGCCGGCGCACCGAGGAGAGCTCGAGGGAGTGTCGGGGGAGTGTCGGGGGAGTCAGTAGTCTCGAGAGTGGCGGCCGGCGCACCGAGCAGATCGATCGACGACGCGGCGAAGACGGCCGAGAGCGAGCGTCGCAGCCTCCGCCGCATCTGCGCGTAGGCCGGGGCACGCGCTGCCGCCGGGTCGACCAGAAGCATCGGAGGCAGCAGTTCGCGCAAGGCGCGCCTGCTCCGGGAAGGGCTTTTGCTGGCCTTGGAGCGTGTGTCGGGTCGAGGCGAGGGCGGAGGGCGGAGGGCGGGGCGCGCACTTCTTCTCCGACGCGTAGACGGCGCTCGTGGCGGGCGAGAAGGGCTCGGAGGAGACGCGCGTCTCGTCTTCGGTCTCTCCCTCGGGCGCCTGCGCGGCGAGGCGCGCGAGGGAGCGTGTGCAGGTGCGCGTGGCGAGGGCGGTGGGCGGGGTCGCCCTCGCACCGTCAGTATCGCGCAGAGCGCGCCCACCCACACGTCGCACTGGAGCTCGATCGGGGCGCGAGTCGGCTCGCCGTCGCCTGCGCCGCCCGCTGTGCCGCCCGCTGTGCCGCCCGCTGTGCCGCCCGCCGCGCCGCCCGCCGCGCCGCCCGCCTCGCCGCCCGCCTCGCCGCCCGCCTCGCCGCCCGCCTCGCCGCCCGCCGCGGCTTCCGCAGCAGGCGGGAGAGCAGGCGGGAGCGGGGCGGCGGCGGCGGCGGCTAGCGGCGCGGGCCGGAATCGCGTCTGCGCCTCCGAGGAGAGGGATGCGGAGAGCAGCTCGCTGAGGGTGCGGCGGCCCTGCGCGCGGCAGAGCCAGAGGCCGGTCAGCTTCGGGTGCTGTCGGAAGAAGGAGTCGACGCACGCGAGGAATGTGCAGCGCAGCTCCGGGTGCCAGTGCGCCGCCATGGAGCGCACCGCAACCTGCCACACGAGCTCGCCTGCACGGCAAAGTCGGCGGGCGTGGGGAGGGGGGTGGCACGGACATGCCCAGCCTGCGGGGCAAGCCCTCGCCCCCGGGGCAGAGAGCGTGTCGAGCGAGGCTGCGTGTCAGCTCGCACCTGACAAGGGGCATCAAACTGTACTCTGAACTGCGGACCCTTCTGAATGGCGCGGTGCGTCAGCTCGCACCAGCCGCGCGCAGCCTCGAGGTGCGCCGCGCCTACTCTCGGCTCACCCCGGCTCATCTCGGGTGCTCTCGGGGGGGGGGGGGGGAGCGCAGCCTCGAGGTGCGACGCGCCGAGTCGCGCCGAGTCGGGCGGCGGACGCATCAAGCCGCCCGCCTCCTCCTTCTTCCACAGGTCACGCAGCGGCATGACGAGGAGGCCGAGCCGCTTCTCCGCGTCGCCCGGCGCGTTGGCGGGGTCGTCCATCAGCGGGACCTGTGCGCTCCGGCAGGGCTCGGGCAAGAGGGCGGGGCGCCCACCAGCGGGCCGTCTGCCGGAGGGACCCACGCCGCCACCAGCCGCCGCCACATGACGAACATGAGGGCGCGCGCCTCGTAGGCGGGCAGCTCGCCCTCCTTTGCGACGAAGGCTCCGGTGGGGAGCTGGAGCAGCTGGTTGAGCTTCTCTCGCTGGGGCGGGTGGGCGAGCCAGCCGCCGAGGAGAGAGATGACGTGCCTGTGCGGGGCGGCTGTGGGCTCGACGACCCTGTGGCTGAAGGCAGAGGGGGAGGCGGTGGGGCGCGCGAGTGCCAGCGGGCGGAGGCGTGTGGGGGCGCGGTGTGGGGGCGTCCCGCGCCCCCAGAGTTTGATGAGCCAGATGCGGCCGTCCTTGCTCTTGTGCAGCAGCGCGGGCGGCAGGCCGGCTGCGGGCGGCTTCTCGACCACCGCCCAAACCGCCCAGCATAGCGAGAGCGGCATCGCGTGCGCGTGCTCCGGCCACGGGAGCACGCTGCCCAAGAGCTCCACCGCCGACTCGCACCGCTGCCGGGCCTCGCCACCCGCTCTGCTGCTGCTGCCGTCCGCACCGTCGCCGTCCGCATCGCTGACGGCCACATCGTTGCCGCTCCCACCACTCCCGCCTGCATCCTTGCCGTTCCCACCACTCCCGCCGCCGCCGCCGTCTGCCGGTGGCGTCGGGTCTGGTCCCAGCGCATCTGCCATGTGTCCGGTGGCAAGGGCGAGCTCCACTGCTTGAGGGAGCCAAGCGTCTGCCGAAGCGCGCAGCACTTCGGGCTGCGCACCCGCGAGACGCCGCAGCAGGCTGATGGCCAGCTCCGAGGCTGCCGGTGGCGACGGCGGGGCGCACGCCTTGCCGAGCGCGCGGACCACGGCGGTCGTGTGTGTGGCGACGGGGTCGTCCGTGAAGTAGCTCAGACTCCCGCCCTCATCGTCCGGCCGCAGCACCAAATCGAGCGCGGAGAGCGCCACGGCCTGCGCCCGCGCTTGCGTCGCCACGGTCAGCGCTGCGAGCTTGCAAAGCGCCGCCAGCATACGCGTTCCGACGCCTCCGCGGTCGAGCGCTGAGCCGCGAGTCTGAGGCGCCGAGATGAGCGAAAAGAGGAGCCGCGCCACCTCTGGCAGCTCGCGGCCCTCCTCCAGGGCAGCTTCGGCCGCGCTCAGCATGTCGGGAACCGAATTCACCGTCTCTGCCGAAAGCATGTCGCAGGCGCTCGCGTCTGCGAGAAGGGCGATGACTGGGTCGCACATTTCGCCGAGGGTTTTGCTGAGCGCGCTGCCAGGACGCGAGGCGCGAGCGGGCGAGCAGCACACACCGACAGCGCAAAAGAATTTTACAAGAGGCTGGTGTGTTTTCTTTCTTTTTCGGGCACGAGAAGCAAAAGAAATGACACTAAAAAAGAAGGATTGCGTTTGTTTCATAACATCGAAGGCTAGCTCAAAAAGAAGGATTCAGTTCCCTGAATGAGCCTCTCACAGGTGCCACATGATATGTCTAGAGACCCGTTCGCGCTGGGAGGGACACTACAGTATGTTGGAGCGCTCTACATATCAAGACCGCACACAACAAGCTCCGACAGCACCCGACAGCTACGGAGCGCCTCTGATGTCAGACACGCACCCGACAGCACCCGTCACCCGACAGCACTGACAGCACTTAGGGCGAACAGGTGAGACGTCCCTGTCTCACGGGTGTTTCGTCCCTGTCTCAACGCCCCCCGGGGCAGTGTCACAAATGCGTCTCAGTAATGTCTCACAGACTCTCACCGATCTCTGTGTTGTCTCAGCCTGGTCACAGCAACAGTCTCACTTTGTCTCAAGGGTGGCACAGTCCACCTTCAGAGACGTGTTTGAGACACCCGTGAGACAAATGTTCACCCCTGCTGTGTGACGATGTCGTCTCTACTACGTCTTTCTTTTCCTCTCAGAGCGCCTTACACTCGTCTCACGGTAAGGGCGTAGCCGTGACGAACAGAGGGCGAGAGCGTAGTGGTGTGGGCACTAACCCGACCCGCCCTGCCCGCGAGAGCAACCGGCTACGCGCCGTTTGGGCCAGAGAGCGCGATATGAGCGCGATTATGTTGGGATCGTCCGACACGCCTCACCTCAGAGCGGTCGGTGCAAAGTACTCATCGAGCCGAGGGCGTAGCCGTGACGAACAGAGGGCGAGAGCGTAGTGCTGGGCACTAACCCGAACCGCCCTGCCCGCGAGAGCAACCGGCTACGCGCCTTTTGCGTCTGAGAGCACGATAAGAGCAACAGGTGGCTACGCGCCGTTTGAGCCATAGAGCGCGATTATGCTTAGGGTTCGTCTACACTCACCGAGACCCACCAGGCCGCACCTCACAGACACAGCCTGAGTTGAGTCTCCTCAATCGCCAAATTGCGTCTCAGGGCGTCAGGGGCTCAGCATGGTCTCTAACGGACCTGAGTACGACTCAATCAAGCAGCGGCTTGTGGCGTCTCAAAACCCCCCCGCCCTGCGCCGCGTCTCATTGTGGCTCAGCACTGTCTCAGAAGGAAGTGAGACGACTCACTTCGCTCAGGACTGTGACGTCTCAGCCCAGCCGTGAGACTGAGTGATACGCGGCCGAAAGAGACGAATGTGAGACGCATCTGAGACGCACCTGCGACACTAAACTCAGCACTGTGACAGCAGATAGACGCTTGGAGAGAACTGTGACAGCAGAGAGACGCTTGGAGAGACGCAGAGAGACGGAAAAATCATGCAAGTGAGACAGGGACGAAACACCTGTGAGACAGAGACGCCTCACCAAAATTTCCGACAGCACCTGACAGCTGGTCTGGCAGAGGCACCTAACAGTGCCTGACACAGTGCCTGACTGCTGTGACAGATCAGAGATCACCTGACACAAGCACCTGACAGCCTGACAGCCAGGGCTCAGCCAACCTCGCCTGCTCCGTGCACCGTGGCCGTGAGGCCGTGGGGCACGAGAAAGGGCGTGTGGACTGGCGCACACTCTAGCACACCAGCAGAGCAAAACAAATTACACTTATCTTCACAGCGACACCGCGCCACCGCGCGGGATCTGAAAGTCGACGTTGCCGGAGCGCAGCGCGATCGGGGTGAGCTCGCCGCCGGCGACGGCCGCCAGCTGGCCAAGCAGCACCTGCAGCCACTCGTGCGGCCGCGCCGCCGGCAGCAGCACGTCGGCCGCCACGCCGGCGTCGTCGAGCTGCACCGAGAGCACCGGCACCATCGGGTGGCCCGTGACGGCGCCGCACACGGCGGGCCGCCACGCCACGACCGCGTGCAGTCCGGCGCCGCAGAGGCCCACCGTCGTCTCGACCCAACTCATCGGCCGCTTGCCACTCGCGTCGTGCGCCTCCATCACGTGCAGCCCGGGCCCGACGCACCGCTCGCCGTACCGCGTCGTCGCCCGCGGCCTCTCGCCCCACGCGAGGGTCGTCTCGAGAAACGTTGCGTCGCGGAGCAGCGGGCTGCCCTCCGGCAGCACCGCCTGCCCGCCGCCCCGCGCGAGCAAGTGCACGAGCTGCCCAAAGCAGACGGAGAGCGCCTCGGGCAGCGGAGCGCCGTCGGCGTCGCCCGGGTGGCCCGCAAGCAGCCCGAGGCGCAGCTGCGAGAGCGGCGCGGCGGCGCGCGGCGGCGGCGGCGGCGCGCCCGCCACCTGCCGCTCAAACCACGCCTGCACCTTGGTCTTGACCGCGCCGACGCCGCCGTCCTTCTGCAGGCTGGCCCAGCCGTACTGCTCCGAGCCGCCGAGGTGCAGCGCGCCGAGCTGCTCCGCAAAGTAGTCGTTGTGCGTCTTCTCGCAGCCGTGCTCGAGCAGCAGCGCGTGCCTCACCAGCGGGCTCGCCAGGTGGCCGAGGAGCGTGCGCGCCGCGGGCCGCTCGTCGCTCACGCCGCAGCCCTCCGTGTGCGGCAGCGAGACCACGCGCAGCGTGGACCTGGCGGAGAGGTCGGCGGCGAGGCTGCGCGCAACCTCCGAAGAGCAGAGCGACGTGGGCAGGACGAGCGCCACGTGCTCGGTCGTGGCCTGGCCCCCCGCCGCCGCTTGGCCCCCCGCCGCCGCGGGCAGCGCCAGGTAGGTTGGAGCGAGGGCCTGCACCGAGGCGGGCGCCTCCGCGAGTCGGAGGCCGCGCCTCGCCGCCGCAGCCGCCGCCGCCGCCGCCGCCGGTGCCGCGTCGTCGGCCGTGGCCTCGCGCTCGCTGCTGGCCGCCCCGTCGGCCGCCGCCTGGCGCGTCGCCTCCGCCCTCTTTGCGAGCTCGGTCGCGCCATCGCGGCCGATGCGCTCGTCGCCCTCGGCGAGGGGGTGGTGCGCCCAGTCCCGCCAGACCTGTGGAGGCCGGATGAGCACGTCTCACAATGGCTGCGTCGGGGGTAGTCCAAGCCCGACAGGTACTGCCACCTGGACTTGGTGATGGCCGCTGCTCTCGCCCTTGGTGCGCGCGCCGCTCGCCACCTCGAGGGTCAGCCAGTTGCGAGATATGGGGAGATATGGGGAGATATGGGGAGATATGGGGAGATATCGCCACCTCGAGGGTCAGCTGCAGCAGCCGCTCGCCGAGCTGCGCGCGCGTCCCTTGCGCGCCGGCGTCGACGTCCATGTCGTTCGCCATGAGCTCGTACCGCTGCGACGTCGACACGACCTTGATCGTGGGCACGAAGGGGAAGTTTGTGATCGAGCCGTTGCCCGTCGTAAAGTAGATGAGGTTGCAGCCCGACGCAACCTGCCCCGCGATCGACTCCAAGTCGTTGCCCGGCGAGTCCATGAAGCAGTAGCCCGCGCCCCGCGCGTGGCCGCCGCCGCCGCCGCCCTCGACCTCGCCGCCCTCAACCTCCGCGTCGGGCACTGGCTGCGGCGGCGGCAGCGGCTCCGCGTACTCGAGGACGTGCTCGAGCCGCACCGCGGGGTGTCGCTTCATCGCTGCGCCTGCGGGCAAGCTCCGAGAAGGGTCGGGCAAGGGAGGGGGCGCCGGCCGGGCTCTCGCTTCGTCGCGGCGCCGAGGCTCTTGAGCGCGATGTTGTACAGCCCGCGGTACAGGTTGCCGCCCGACGGGTTGCCCTCCGCCGAGCAGTCGTGCGCCGCCGCGTGCCGCTGGAAGCGCGACACAAAGGTTAGGAACTTGTCGGCGGTGGCGAAGTCCTTGACGTTCTGCAGAATGTACTGCTCCGCGCCGATCAGCTCGTCCGTCTCGGCGAGCAGCGCCGTGCCGCCCGCCTCGATGAGCCGCCTGCACGCCTCGCCCACGAGCGGGTTCGCGTCGGTCCCGCTGAAGGCATCCGAGCCGCCGCACTGCTGCGCAACCTGCAGCGCCGACGGCGGGCAGCGGACGCGCGCGCAGGTGGCCACCTCGGGCAGCAGCGCCCTCGCCGCCGCCTCGGCCGCCTGCAGCTCGCCCTCGAAGTCGCGGAGCGGGAGCGTGTGGACCGCGTGCGGCAGCGCCTCGAGCTGCGCCCCCCGGCCTGCCTTGAGGGCGTGCGCTCGCAGCGTGTCGTAGCTGATGCCCCCTGCCACCGCCTCGTCGGCCGCCGTCTGCAGCACGACGCACGCGCCGGCGTTTGGGTGGAGCATCCACCCGAGCAGCGTGCGGAGGAGCAGACCTCGGTTGTTTGCCTCTCGGCCCGGCCCGACGGCGCCGTCCTCGGTGTGTGGCAGCGCCACGACGCCGTCGAAGCCGTCCGTCCTCGGCTCCGACTTGAGCCGGCGCTCGAGCGCGCGCGCGGCGGCGTTGGCGCGCGAGGTGGCGCACAGCAGCACCAGGTAGTTGCGCGTGCCCACGCCTCGCCCCGCCGACCTCACGAAGCCGTCAAAGCCGGGCGCGAGCTGCGGGCGGAGCGGGCGCCGCACGCCCGGCGCGAACCCGTCGCGCGTCAGCGTCGGCTGCTTGGTAAAGTCGACAAAGTTGGCGTGCGCGCCGTGCGCCGAGTCCACCGCGCGCCGGCGCAACTCGTGGAGGGCCTTGGCGTTCCGCACCCACTCGCCCGGCGCAATGGGCGCGAGCGCCTTGCCAAACGGCTCGCCCCACGAGAGGAGCAGCGCTCCGGCCGCGATCGGGACGAGCGCAAAGCGGTGGCCCTCCAGCACCGCGACCGAGAGCGTGAGCTCCGAGCCGCCGCTCGGAAGCTGCGTCAGCGCCGTGCCTCGCGGCAGGTCCTGCCTCGCGATGGCGCAGTTGTCGTGCGGCTCGGGCAGCCGCGCCACCGCGTCGAAGGCCAGCCGAGGAGCCGGCGCGGCGCGGGAGCCGCCAGGCGCGGGCGCAGCCTCCTCGTAGGCGAGGACGGCCCGCGAGCGGGGCGGCATCGTTGGTCGGCCAGATTCGGCTCCGTTGCCGTGGATGGACCACGCGTCACAGACAGCGAGACTGAAAGCGAGGAGAGGCAAGTGTCGGTCGTGGTCTGCGCGACTCTGGCGAGTCCGGCGGCGCCGACGCCCAGCTGGGCGCCGTACGAGCTGGACTCGGCGGCACTCTCGATTTTTTATGTTGAGGACTCTCTAAAAAAAGGTTGGATATCAGTAAGAAGTGGCGAATGGTGTCTTCTTGTTGTCTTGAGCCCAAACCAAAGGGCGAACGAGAAAAGAAATTTCAACACGTGAATTCTCTCCCGGACAGCCGACTTCTCGGCCGTCGCGTCCAGCCCGACAGCAGTGCAATCAGCATTCAACTGCGTAGCTCCTGGCCCTGAAGGCACGCCTCACCCAGCCTTGCCCGGCTGAGCCGCGATGGTCCTCGAGGAGGCGGTCGCCGAGGTGCTCCAAAAGACGCTCGGCGCCTACCTCGAGGGCGTCGACGCGGACAACCTCAATCTCTCCGTCTGGTCGGGCGACGTGCGGCTGCGGTCCGTGCGGCTGAGGACGGAGGCGCTGGCGGCGCTGCCGGTGTGCGTGCTCCGCGGGACGGTCGGCGAGGTCCGCGTGGAGGTGCCGTGGCGCGCGCTCCGCTCCAAGCCCATCATCGTGCACGTCGAGCGGGTGCTGCTGCTCTGCGCGCCTCGCGACGGCGACGAGCCGTACGAAGAGGCGCTGGAGACGGCGGCGAAGCGGCAGGCGCGCGCCTCGCGGCTGGCGGTGCTCGAGGAGGTCAACGCGAAGCGCGGCGTCTTTGGCCGGATGGGCGAGAGCATGGGCCGATCTCTCGTCGAGGGCCTGCTCAGGCGCGTCGTCGTGCGCATCTCGGACGTGCACCTGCGGCTCGAGACGAAGGACCCACACCGCGGCCTGGTTGCGCTCGGCCTCACGCTGCGCTCGCTCCGCTTCGAGGCCGACAAGGAGGTGGCGGCCGCCGAGGGTTGCAAGCCCGACGGCGGCGGCTCTGCGCCCGTCTTCAAGCTGGGCTCGTGCGAGGGCCTCTCGCTCTACGTCTCGCCGGCGGCGAGGCCGGCGCTGCCGAGCGACGAGTCGCGCCGCTCCCTCGCGCCCGCGCCCGCGGACCCCGACTCCGCCAAGGCGCGCGACGGCGGAAGCGACGGGGACGACCGCGCGGACGAGGCTGACGAGGCGGCGCTCTACGACGGCCGCATGTTCGCCCGGCTCGCGGCGCCGCCTGCGGGCGAGGTCGCGGAGCTGGACGAGGCGCCGGGGTTTCTGCTCGCGCCCTTCGACCTGCGGCTGCGGGCCCGCTTCGACAGGCTCGCGCCCTCGGCCGCGGCGCGCGGCGACCGGCGCGCCAAAGCCGCAGCTGCAGGTCGATGGAACTGCCGTGACATGTCCGAGACATGTCCGAGTCATGTCCATAGGCGCGCCAAGCCGCAGCTCCAGGTCGCCGCCGACGCGCCGACGCTGCTGTCGCTGCACCTCTCGCGCTCGCAGTACGCCGCGCTGATCGCCTTCACGGAGCGACTCGCCATCTCGGAGCAGCGCCACTTCCTCCGCCCGTGCCGCCGCCCAACCAACCAGGTGGCGCACACGCCGCGGCTGTGGTGGCAGTACGCCGGCCGCGCCGTCGACGCGACGCTGCGCGCGAGGCCGGGCATGCGGCTCCGCTGGCGCGCGCTGCTCGCTCGGCGGACCGCGCGGCTGCGCTACGTCGACGAGTACGGCCGCGCGCTGCGCCTGCGCGGCGGCGCGCGAGCGGAGGCGATGGCGGCGCTGCTGCCACTCGAGGACGAGATCGAGTCCGTCGAGGACCTCGTGCGCTATCGCGCCATCGCGCGCGCGGCGCTCGCGGCCGCCCCGCCGACGCCGTCCCCCGCGAGCAGCGCCAAGAAGGAGAAGAAGGGGTGGTTTGGGCTGGGGGGCAGCAAGGGCGCGGTCAAAGGCGGCGTGCACGACGAGGACGGCGACGGCGACGGCCCTCGCATCGTCTCCTTGGGCGAGGCGGAGCTGCAGCGCCTTCAGGAGGACCTCGACGCGGTGGCGGGCGAGAGCGCCGCCGCAGACGACGCGTCTCTCCCGCCGTGGTACGCAAAGGTGCGCGTGCGCGCCTCGCTGCGCGGCCTGTGGATCACGCTGCACGACGACCCGCCCTCAACTCCTCAAGCAGAGCCTTCGCCCAAGCCGCCGCCGCCGCCCCGGCCGCCGCCGCCGATCCTCCTCCTGCAGATGCAGCCCTTGGGCTTCACCTGCGGCATGCGGCCATCCGCCGGAGCCCATGGCGGAATCTCGCTCCGGCTCTGGCTCGGCTCGCTCCGCGCGTTCGACCTCGCGACGCCGTGGCCGTCGCTGCGCACGATCGCGCGCTCCGAGCCAGGTGCGGGGGCCGGCGAGGGGGAAGGGGCCGCGGGAGGCGCCGTCGAGGGCGCCGCGGCGCCGTTCTGGGTCAAGGCGACGGCCGCCCTCGCGCGCTGGTCCAAGGGTCCTGTCGAGGACGACGATGGCGGCGCCGGCGCGTGGGTCAACGTGTCGGTCGACACGGAGTGCGAGGGTGGAGAGGCGGCGCGGCTCCGCTGCAACGTCGGCAGGCTTGTTGTGCTCGTCTCGCCGACCATGCTCGCGGCGCTTCTGCGTTTCGTGACCCTCCCTCCCTCGGAATGGGCCGCCGCCGCCGCGCTCAGTGCCGCAAGCAAGACGGCGGGCCGATCGGCCGTCGCCACGGCGGCGCTCTTCCTGCAGCAGCAAGTCGCTTCCGTGTGGGGCGACCGGCCGCTCGACGCGCGGATCACCCTGTGCGCGCCGACGCTCTTCTTGCTGGAGCCCGCCCCCGCGACACGCCCCTCGACCCCGCTCGCGGGCGCGGCGGCGGCAGCTCCTACGGCGGAAGAGGCAGCGCTCAGCTCGCTGCCGGGGCTGCGCGGCGACAGCATCGCCGAGGCGGAGCGGCAGATGACGGCGGGGCAGGCCGCCTCCAAGCGAGGCCAGCTCGAGGAGGCCCGCGAGTGCTTCCTCGGAGCGGTGGCGGCGAGCGACCGCCCCGACGCGGTCATCGCTGCCGCGAGTATGGCCATTCGCCTCGCGGAGAAAGAGGGCGGCGGAGGTGCTGCCGCCGCCGGCGAGTGGTGCATGTCCAGGACATGTCCAGGACGTGTCCGAGACACGTCCATAGGTGCTGCCGCCGCCGGCGAGTGGTGCATGGCCGCGCTCGGCGAGCTCACCCTCGCGCTGGCTCGGCCCGAGCTCACCGACGACGACAGAAGCTCGGTGGAGTCGATGCTCGCGTCTGCGGCGGCGCTGGCGCAGCGGCGGCTCGAGGGTGGGTGGCGGCCTCCGCTGGCGCTCCGGTCTGTCCACATACAGCTGGGGGCGCTTTTGGTGTCGACCGACGCCGAGGCGCTGATGAGCTTGGCCGAGCTCGGGATGGGGGGCGAGGAGGCGGAGGCGGAGGCGCCAGCGGCAGCACGGCCGGGCGAGGCCGTGGCCAGCCCTACGGACGAGAGGGCGGCGACTTCGAGCCTCTCTCTCTGCGTCCAGCTCGCCGGGGTGCGTGCCGCTCTGATGGGGCAGGCGGAGCCGGCGGTGCTGCTCCGCACGGAGGGGGGGGGCGGCGTCTTGCCGCTCGCGGACCGGTGGGGGCGGCTGCAGCAGCGCGTCGCGCCAAAGACGGCCGGGCGGGACTCGAGCGCCGCTCCGTCGCCCGACTCCTCTGCTCCCGACTCGCCGGCTTCTCCGCAGCGCTCCTCGCCGCCGCTGCTGGCGCCTATCCACGCGCAGTTTCGCCTCGCCGCGCTGCTGACGCCCGCGGCGCTCGGCGCCCCGCTGCTCGACGGCTCGCTGCGTGTCTCGCCGCTCGAGCTGTGCGCGCCCGAGGCGGCGCTGCCTCCTCTCCTCTCGATCGGCCTCGGCCTGCTGGAGCCACTCTCGCCGCCGCCGCCGCCGCCGACGCGCCGCGGCCATCTCGCGCTGACTGAGCGGCGCGCGGTCGAAGGCGGCACCGACGAGCAGTACAACTCGCGCCTCGGCGTCTGTTACGTTGAGGTGAACCAGTTTGAGCTGCTCTACTCCCGCGGCAGCGAGGCTGCAGACGCACGCCTCGCTCGCGTCGACTTGTCGCGCCACAGGCTGGTGCAGGCGGGCCCAGCCGCCTTCGAGCTGGTCTCCACTCACGAGCTCGGCTCGCTGCTCGGCGCGGCCTCGGGCGTGCGCTTGCGCTGGGCCTTGCACCTCGCCGCTCCGAGCCCCTCGCTTGCCGCGCGCTGGATGTCTTCCATCGCCGCAGCGCAGCTGTGGGTCGCCGCGCCGGTGGCGCCGCCTTCGTCTCCAACCTCCGAGCACGAGGCGCGGCAGCAGCTGCTCCGCTTCACCGCCTCGGTGCCGCGGCTGCGCGTGAGCTTGCTTTTGGCGACGCGTGCAAGCAGCGGGCGCACCGACGCCCTCTCCTTCACGGCCGAAGGGCTCGAGGCGACGCTCTCGGCGAGGCCTCACGACATGGCGGCTTCGGTCTCCCTCGCATCCATCGCAGCCGTCCTGTCCGCCGCCAACGGCACCTCGGCGCCCGTCTTCACCACGGGCAGCCAGTCGGGGGACGACGTCGCACCGCTCGGCTCGGGAGGTGCCGCGGTCGAGCTGTCTGCGCGCGGGGTGCTGCCAGCGTCACCGCTCTGGCCGACCGTCTCGGCGCTGCTTTCCCTCGACGGCCGGTTGGCGCCACTCGCGCTGCATGTGGGGCCTCAGCTTCTGGCGGCTGCCATCGGCACTTCTGGCCGGCTTGCGCCCCGCCTCACCGCCGCTCTGGCTGCCTCGGCGCTCCTTCGGCCGCCACCAGCAGAGCCGCTGCCGCCGCCGCCCGCCGCCCTCTTTGCTGCGCTCCTCGAGGCCCCTTTGCCGTCATGGGAGCGAGAGGCGGACAAGGACACGGGCAACGTGTGGCTCGCTGCTGCGGCGGACAAGGCGGCACTCGCCGCGAGGCTCGCCTGCAAGCGCCTGTCGCTGCAGCTGCACGAGGCCTGCGAGCTGCAGACGCCCCCGCCGTCGCCGCGGCTGTCCACGAGCTCCCCCGCCTCCGCCGGTGGCAGCGACGAGGGGGCGGGGTGGGTTGGCACCCCGCTCTGCGAGCTCGTGCTGGCGGAGCAAGACGCGAGTATCGAGCTCCGTCAGTCGGGTTACGAGCTGCGCGCGGCTGTGCGTGGCCTCGAGGTGCTCGGGCCGGCGGACGCAGTCTGGGGTGAGGAAGGCGGAGAGGAGGCGGAGGGCGACGAGGTTGGGGATATCACGCCGGCGGTGCAGCCTCACTCGCCAGCGGCCGAGGCGGCCGTCGCGGCTTTTGCCGAAGCCGGAGCTTCTTCGGCTCGTCGCAGCAGCGCCGCCGTGCCGCGGCCTGTGGTCGCGGTGGTGGCGATGCTCCCGAGCGCAGGTCCCTCGGACTCGCTCAGCGACGACGGCAGCGGCAGCGAGGGCGGCGATGGCACGTTGGGCGAAGACGGTGAGGCCGCAGACAAGCGGAGCTTGCTCTGGCTCGCGGCGCGCTCGCTCTCGACGGTGGTGGACGAGGCGGCGGAGCGGAAGGGCCCGAGGCACGAGCACGAGGTGCGGGCTGCCTCCGACCCCGCGCTCAGACGCTCCTTCTTACGCCCCCCCCCCCCCTCCTTCGCTTCTTCTACAGGCAATCCTGCACCTGCGTCCCGTGAGGCTGCTCGCCCCGTTGCCATACGTCGCCCGCCTCCAAAAGTGGCTCGACGTCCACCTGTCGCAAACGGTGGCGGTGGCGGCGGCTGCCGCCGCCGAAGAGGCCATGGTCGCCGCTTCCCAAGCCGTTGCCGAGGTGGCGGTCGCCGCTGCCACGTCGGCCCACTTGCCCATTCGCTTCTCCCTCCACCTCCGCGGCCCGCTGCTCGTCTTGCCTGCGCCTCCCCCTCCGCGCGCGCTCGCGCTGCCGGCTGCGGCCGCCGCTCGGGTGGCACGAGTGGCGGCGCGCCGCGGTGCCGTGGTGTTGCGCTTTGGCGACCTCGTCTTGTCCAACGCCCTCGTGCCGCCAAAGCCGGCGCCGGGCGATGCGGCGGGTCCCTCCGACGCACCCGCGCCGCCAAAGGAGAGCGCGCACGAGATGATGCGTGTCGAGCTCTCGCGCACCGCGGTGTTTGCCTCAGCCGACAGCCGCCACTTGCTGGACGCGCTCTGGATGCCGCGGCAAGAGAGCGAGTCGGGCCGCAGCTCGGTCCACTGGATGCTGCCGCAGCTCGGGGCGACGGCGGAGCTCCAGACGGCGTGCGCCTGTGAACAGCGTCTCTTCACACTTGCGTCTGTGTGAATAGGCGACGGCGGAGCTCCAGCGCGCGCTCACGGCGGGCGACGATAGCGACGGCGTCGCGCGGCTGCAAGTGAGCTTGCGCGCAGCGCCGGTGTCGCTGCAGGTCGCTCATTCGGAGCTGCTCTTCCTCGCCGCGTACGCCGCGGCTGCGCCGGAGGCGCTCGGCGGCGGCGACGTGAAGGCGCTTGACTCGGGCCGTGCGAGCGCCGCGGCCGTGGAGGAGGCGGAGCAGGAGGCTCCGGCGCCGGCAGCGGCAGGCCCGGCGCCAGCGGCTGCGGCAGAGGTCACCCTCCGCGTCGACACACTCGAGGGTGTCTCCGTGACGCTCCTCGACGACGCGGGAAGCGACGCTTGTCTGCCGCTGGCTCAGATCAACATCTCGACCGTGCGCTCCGTCATCGTCGCCAAGCGCGGGGGTCGGGCCGCCGATCAGGCGAACGCCGACCTCTCGCTGACGCTCACCGCCCGCCACTTCAACCCCACCAACGGCGCTTGGGAGCCGCTGCTCGAAGCCTTCTCGCCGCGCCTTCGCTGCACCGTCGGTGCCGCCGCCGTTGCGGTGGCGGCGGGGGCGAGCAGTCCAAGCAAGGGCCAGTCGATCGAGGTCTTCGTCAGCGCTTTTGAGCCTCTCAAGCTCAACGTGACGCACGCTCTGCTTCACTCGCTCGTCGGCGCGCAGGAGCTTCTCGACTCGGTATCCACGGCTCTGGATGACCCCGCCGCCGCCGTGAATGCGTCTGCCGACGCCGCCGACGCCGCCGATGCCGTCTCTGGCGGCTCGCCGCGACTCCTCACGTTTCTCCCGGAGGCAGTGCGCAACTGTACGCCGCTGCCACTTGCGGTCCGGAGCATCCGCGACGCACGCGTCGTGCGCGCCTCGATCGAGCGCGAGCCCTCCTTGCGAGCGACTGCTAGCGGCGTGGCAGGCGGCGTGGCGGGCAGATCGTGGCTGGTGCAGCCGGAGTCCTCCCTGAGCCTCTCGCTCGCGGCGGAGGCGGAGGCGGGCGCCAGCGCCGGGCCGCTCGGGGAGGGCGCTCCACTCGAAGCCGCGCGCGAGCAGCATGAGGCGACGCACGAGGCGTCGACGTCGCATTGTCGCCCGCTCGTGGCTGCGGCGGGCCGTGGCGACAAAAAGCAAGTGCACGAGCTGCTCCGCCGGTACGCCTTTCCGGACTCAATCGACGCGCGCGGCTGGAGCGCCGCACACGAGGCGGCGCGCGGCGGCTGGGACCCGTGCCTCGCCGCAGTGCTGGACGCGGGAGCGAACGCCGACATCGTGTCCGAGAACGAGAGCCTGGAGCGGCCGCTGCACCTCGCGTGCCAGGCGGGCTCTGCGGCATGCGTCCGGCTGCTGCTGCGGTCGAGCGCCGATCCGGCTGCCGCGCGGGCCGACGGGCAGACGCCGCTTGCGTTGCTGACGCCGCTGCAGGCCGAGGGGTCGCTCGGCAAGGAGCTGCGCAAGGCGCTTCGCTCCCGGCTCGCAGGGCCGACCGCGTCCTTCTCTACGGCGGAGATCGCCCAGGCGTCGGCGGGCGGCTATGTAGACATCGTCTCGCGCTGCCTCGACGCGCGCGCCGACCCGAGCTCGTCCGACGGCTCGCTGTCCGCGCTGATGCTCGCAGCCTCTAACCGCCACCTCCCCGTCGTGCGGCTGCTCCTCTCGGCGGGCGCCGTCGTGCAGGCGCGCGCACGCGGCGGCGAGCGGCCCGGCGCCACCGCCCTCCACCTGGCCGCGCGCGCGGGCCCGCTCGTCGTCGTTGAGGCGTTGCTGAGCGCGGGCGCCGACCCCGCGGCGGAGGACGAGGGCGGCGCGATGCCGCACGAGCTCGTCTCGAGCTGGCGCACTTCAGAGGCGACGGAGGTACGCGCGGCACTGCGCGCCGCGCTCTCGCGTGCCGTCCTCGCAGAGGGGTGGGTGACCAAGCTCGGGACGGAGCGGAAGGTGTGGCGGCGGCGATACGCGCTGCTGCTTAACGAGCAGCTGCGGTACTACGGCGACGAGGAGCTGAAGGATCTGCGCGGGGCCGTGCACCTCGCCGACTGCGAGAACGACCCCACCTCTCCGTCGCGCTACCCGGGCGCGCCCGGCCCCTACTCGCTCGAGCTCGCGACGATGACGCGCACGCTCGTCCTCGTCTTTGGGTCCGCCGCCGAGCTCAACACGTGGATGGCGCGCCTCGTCGAGATGAGAGCGCGCCGCGGGGCGCTCGGCGCACTCGCTGAGGGCGGCGGCGGTGCCGAGGCGGCGGCGCCGCTGGAGGAGGAGGAGCCGGGTGAGCGACTGGTCGGGGTGGCGCTGCAGGGATTCCGCGAGGTAATCGTCGACATGGGCCGCCTCGGCGTCTCGTCGCACGTCATGCGGCCCCTCCCGCCGCCGACGGAAGCGAGCACACCGCCGCCGCCACCGCCGCCCCAGCTGGTCGAGGTGTTCGACTTTTGGAACGCCGAGCTGCGCCAGCTCACCTTCCACGCCGGCGACCCGTGGGCGATTTCCGGCGGCGGGCGCGAGGAGCGCAAGGGGCTGCAGTTCGTCGCGCTTGCTTCCGAGGCGCCGGGCGCAGTTCCCGTCTACGACTGGTGGTCAGAGCGACACCGCCGGCTGACGCTCCACCCGCCGCCGGCGTGGGAGGGCGAGACGCGCCGCGGGCTGCAGTTCTACGCCTTTGCGCAGCCGGCCGGGGGCACGGTGGCGGTGCACGCCTACTGGAACTCGTCGCTCAAACAGATGACAGTGCACGCGGGGCCGCCGTGGGGGCACGAGGAGCGCACGACGCCGCACGGCACCATCCTGCACGCCTATCCCAACCGCGCTGCTGCGCCGGCGGGCTCCACGGTCGCGCGAGCTCTCTCAGCCTCCGAGGCGGCGGCGCGTATGCTGCATGACGCCGCCGCCCCCAGTGGCGGCGCCGACGGCGGCGGTGATGGCGGCGGCGGCGGCACGGTCGGCATTGTGTGCGAGGTTGGTGTCTCGAGAGGGCAGCGAGTTCTCACGCTGCGCTCCCCGGTCGAGGTGAGCAATGTGCTGGGCCGGCCTGTGCTGCTGGGGATGGACGAAGGCGCGGGCCGCGAGGCGGGCGACGGCACGGGAGAAGAGGCCAGCGGCGCGGGCGACGTCACGGAGCTCGCCGACGCCGACAAGCAGCCGCTCCCTCTCCCCTTCACCCGCGGAGGCTCCAAGGCAGCCATCGACAAGCTGCGCATCCGGCCCGACGACGCGGGGTACGAGTGGTCGACGCTGCGGCTGCTCGACGATGGTAGCGCCCTTGCCGTGTGCCAGCCGAGGCCGTCCGCGGGTGGCGAGGGCGCAGCAGGCGGCAGCGCCCCGACTGTCCCGTGGCTGTGCTGCGTGCACGTGGCGACCGCCGTGGCCGAGGGCGGCGCGGCGCTCGGCACCGCTGCCGAGGCGGAGCGGCGGCGAGCGGAGCTGGCAGCCTTTGGTCTGCCGCACGGCGAGGTCCTGCTCGAGGCGATCTCGTGCACAGGGCGCGCGGGCTCGGCGATCGTGCCCGCGCCCGGCTGGCTCTACCTCACGCGCTCCTTCCTCTGCTTTGGCTCCTCGATCGCTCACGTGCGCGTGCAGGCGCCGCTGGAGAAGGTGCAGGTGCACGCCGGCTCGTCCGGCGTCCTCGTGGCGCACTGTGTGGAGGTCGTGCTGCCGCGCGGCCAGACGCTCTCCCTCGGATTCGGCTCGCACAGCCGCCGCGAGGAGGCGCTCGGTCAGATGCGGCGCGCACGGCAACGCGCCACCATCGAGGCCACCTCGGGACTCGCGCGCTGGCGACCGCTCTCCATCTCGCTGCGTCCACCGCTGGCGTTGCTCTCGCTGCTGCCGGCGCCGCTGCATGTCACGGTCCGTCGCGCAAACTCGGCGCGCGCAGACGAGCGGCAGCGCTGGGGATCCACGGCCGGCGGCGGCGAGGAGATGCAGCTGCTCGCCGGCGAGCCGCGCGCGATCTTTTCGCTCCACGCGCTCGAGCCCCTGGAGCTCGCTTGCTGGATCGACGAGTCGGCGCCGCGCCCCAACGGCCGCGCCTCCTCGTACGAGCGCGCGACGCTGCGCGGTCGCCTCGCTGCGGTGCGGAGGCCCGCCGCCGGACACGCAGAGTGGCGCGAGCTCTGCCTGCACTCGCCCGCGGCGGGCGGCTCGGCCCGCACGGTGCGGCTTCAGCTCGGCGTCGCCTCGGACGAGGGCGGCTCAACCACGCTCACCTTCGTGGCGCCGCGCACGCTGCACAACCGCACCGACTACCACCTCGCGCTGTACGACGCCGGCGGCTCGCGCCCCGTCACAGATGCGCCGCCCGGCTCCGGACGCCCCTTCTCGCTGCGCAGCGGCGGCGGCTCCGCGCGGCTGGCGCTCTGGAGCCCTGCGACGGCGCGCAGCGCGGGCGCGGCCGGCCCCACGCCCTCCTCGAGGCAGAGCGTGCACGTCACCACCACACGCCCGGGCACGCTGCAGCGCACCGCGCTGTCGGGTTCGGCGGCGCAGGGCCTGTCGACCTCCTTCTCGGTCGAGGCGGTGGGCAACGAGGCGTGCGTGGAGGTGAGCGACGAGCGGGGCGCCGCGATGGAGCTGGTCCTCTCCATCTCATCTGCCTCGGCCGCGGTGGCCGCCGCCGCCGCTTTTGCGGGATCGCCAGCCGCGGCCGCCGCTCCACCGCTCAACGCCGTCGCCCTCTCTCTCCGGAATCGCTTCACGTTGCGGAACCGCACGCGTGTGGTCGTCGAGTGGCGGCAGGCAGGCGTCGCCACCGCCGGCGGCGTCATCGCGCCGGGCTGCGACGCGCCAATCTCGTGGCAGTCGCCCGGGGGGACGCGGCAGGTGAGGGTTCGCCTCGCCGACAGCTCGACACTGTGGTCGGAGCCGTTCGCGCCGGGCTCGGACGGGGAGCACCTCATCAAGCTCCGGCGGCCCGGGCGAGGGAGGAGCACCGAGGACCGAGTCACGGCCGCCGTTCCCGCCACCTACCTGCGCTGCTCGGTCCGCCTCGTCGGGCCTCGAGCGGTGCTGCTCCTTCGCCCGCTCGGCGGGACGCGCCGCTCTGCTCCGCGGCTGCCCTACCGGCTGGTCAACCGCACGCCGCTCCTCGTGGCGGTGCGCGAGGCCGGCTGCCGACACTACGACCTCCTCGGCGCGCGCGAGTCGATCGGGTACGCGCCAGACGTGCCCGGTGCGCCGTGCGTGCTCAGGGTCACCATCCTCGACGCCTCTGCCGGCTCGGCCGTCTCCCTCGACGCGCCGCTCAGCCGCAGGGACATGGGAGGGGGCGGCGCCTCGTCCGAGGAGCGCCACCTCGGAGTGCCGGCCGCCGAGCGCCTAGGCGGTGGGCCCGCCGACGAGCCGCTGCTGCTGGGTGCGCCGTGCGAGCGCCTGCTGTCGGACGGCGAGGGCCATCCCGGGTGGCTGCTGCTCACCTCCGCCTCCGTCTCCTTTCTCCCGTTCGACCCGACGGTGCCAGAGGCCGCAGCGATGCGCGCCACGCGTGCCAGCGCGGTGCAGTGCAAGCTGGGAGATGGCGAGGCAGGCGGTGGGGCCGCCAGGGCGGACGGGACGCGCGATCTCGTCCTCAGCACCTCTGGCGACGGGCTCGGCCATTGGCACGGGGAGGAGGTGCGGCTGCATGGGATCGGCGACGGCGAGGAGGTGATGGCAAGGCTCGCCGTGCTCGCGGCCGCTGCTTGCGCTGGCGAGGAGGCGGCGGCGCTGCGGCGGTGGGTGCTCGGTCGCCGGACGGCGCGGGTGCGCCTTCGCTCTCACACCTCGTGTTTGCTTGATCGTGTAGGACGCTGCCTTCGCGGCAGCAGCGGCGCCCCCTCGGCGACGGTTTCGCCGAAGGTCTGGTCGAGGTGTCCGACTTTTGGAACGCCGAGCTGCGCCAGCTCACCTTCCACGCCGGCGACCCGTGGGCGATCTCCGGCGGCGGGCGCGAGGAGCGCAAGGGGCTGCAGTTCGTCGCCTTCACGATAGCCGCCGAGGCAGAAAAGGGCAGCACGCTCCACTTTACGCTCGATGGCGTCCACGTGGCAGTCGATGCCGAGGAGCTTGTTCCCGTCTACGACTGGTGGTCAGAGCGACACCGCCGGCTGACGCTCCACCCGCCGCCGGCGTGGGAGGGCGAGTCCCAACGCGGGCTGCAGTTCTACGCCTTTGCGCAGCCGGCCGGGGGCACGGTGGCGGTGCACGCCTACTGGAACTCGTCGCTCCTGCAGTGGACGACGCACGCGGGGCCGGCGTGGCGGGACGAGGAGCGGCCCGTCCCTCTCTTTCACGCTCTCCCAGCGCCGCTTGCACGCGCCGCCCTGGCTCGAATTCCGCCGGAGCACCGCCAGCCTGCGGCGGCGCGGCGGCTATGCGCGGCGACGCGCGGCGCCCTAGTCCGTCAGAGAGCACACGCCGCTCGCGTCGAGCGCGACGGGCGAGACGCTCGCCGTGCCGTCCTCGGTGGCAGCGCATCGCTACCGCTCGTCGGTGCTGGCCGTCGGCCGCAGAACTCACCCGCCTTGGTTACCGCGGTGCGGGCGGGCGACCGCTCCGAGGTCGAGTCGCTGCTCGCCGGCGGGGCGAGCGCTGACTCGAGCGACGGGGGGCTGCCGGCGCTGCATGCGGCGTGCATGCACAACCGCACCGAGCTGCTCCCGCTCCTGCTCGCGGCGGGCGCCGACGTGGAGCGGCGCTCTGCCGACGCGGGTCGCGGGACGCCGCTGCACGCCGCGCTCCACTCTCCCCTCGCCTCGGGCGCCGCCGCCATTGTGTTGCTCCTCCGCCACGGCGCCGACCCCACCGCCACTCGCGCCGACGGCCTTACCGCCGCCGCGCTGGCGAGTCGCTCCACCCCTGACGGTCGTCGCTCCCTCCGGCTCTTGACGGAGGCCGCCGCCTTGTGGGGGTCCGAAAAGGCGCCGCGTCCGTCTCTCGTCCACGCTGCTGCTTCTGGCCGTGTCCGCCGCCTCCGCGCGCTTCTGAGCTCGCGTGCCGATCCCGACGCGAGGGACTCGCACGGGCGGCGCGCGCTCGCGGCGGCGGCCGCCCGTGGCGACGAGGCGTTCGTCGCCGAGCTGCTTGGAGCGGGCGCGAGCGTAGACGCTGCGTGTGAGAACGAGCGCGGCTCACGCCCACTCCACTGCGCCGCGGCAGCCGGCTCGGCGAGCTGCGTGGATGCCCTCCTTCGCGCGGGCGCGGATCCGCAGCGCGCCGACGGCCGCGGCTGGCTCCCCGCCGAGGTGGCGCCACCGAGCGGGGCCATCGCACGCAGCCTCCTGATCGCAGCCATGGCCGCCGCGCATGAAGGGGCGACCGAGGCGCGCACCACCTGGCGCCGCTCTGCTGCGGCTCCGTTCCGCGCCGCCGCGGCCGGAAGCCCTTCTGCTGGCTCTCCAGCGACCGTCTCCACGAGGCTGTCCAGCGAAGGGCCTACCGGAGTGCTCGCCATCCTCGGCGGCGGCGGCGGCGGGACCGCCCAATTGCCTCAGCAGGAGGACGCACCGGCGGCGGCAGGCTCGCTGGCAGGGGGCGAGACGCCCGGCGGGGGCGGCGTGCGCTACTCGCTGCAGCTCTCGTTGGCGGGCGTCGGCGTCGCGCTGGTCGACGAGGAGCCGCAGGAGCTCGTCTACTCCTCGCTCAGCGCCGTCGAGCTCAGCGCCGTCGCCACCGACGCGGAGCAGAGCGCCCACTTGAGCATCGGGCACGCGCAAGTCGACTGCTGCGTCGAGGCATCCAAGCACCCAGTCCTCCTCGTTCCGGTCGCGCCGCCGACCGAGGCGAGGGCCGACGGCGCGGCGCCGCCACCGACGCTGCAGGCGAAGGTGCGGCGGCGCATGGGCTGGGAAGGGATGCTCTTCCTCGACTACCTTAGCGTCGGAGTGCAGCCGCTCGCCATCGCGCTCGAGCAGAACCTCGCCGCCCGCCTCTTCCGCCTCGCCGCCCACCTCCCTGCCGCCGGCGCCGCCAGCCTTGACGGCAGCGCCACCGGCGCCGAGGCGTCGCTCGCAGAGCTCTTCCCCGCGGACGCGGCGGCGCGGGACGACAGCGAGCCGCCCGCCGAGATCTTTGTGCGAGAGCTGTCGATCCACCCGGTGAGCGCCGCGATGACGCTGCAGATGGAGCCGCTCTGCGACGACCCCTCCCTCCAGCGGTACCACCCCACGCACGAACTCGTCGGCTTGGCGCAGCAGCTCCTCTCCCTCCGCTCGGCGACGCTGCAGCTCGACTCGCTGCACCTCGACGACGCGCGCTTCGCCTCGTCGTCGACGCTGGCCAACCGCATGAACGCGCACTACCAGCAGCAGGTCGTCAAGGGCATCTACAAGCTGATCGGCTCGCTCGACCTGCTCGGCAATCCCGCGGCGCTCTGGAGCGACATCGGCGGCGGCGTCCGCACCTTCTTCTACGAGCCCTCCTCGGGGCTCGTCACCAAGGGCGCGGGCGGGTTCGCCGTCGGCCTGGCCAAGGGCACGAAGGGCCTCGCGGGCGGGGTCATCGGCGGCGCCGGCGCGACCGTCTTTGGCGCGGCGTCGGGACTGACCAAGCTGGTTGGCGACGCGGCGGGAGAGCTCGCCTTTGACGAGGCGTTTGCGCTGCGCCGGCGCGAGCAGCAGCAGGAGAGCGCGGAGAACACGGGCGTCGGCCTCGTCATGGGCCTCGAGGCGGTCATGGGCGGCGTGGTGGAGGGGGCGACGGGCGTCCTCTCCAAGCCGCTGCAGGGCGCGCTCGACGACGGCGCCAAGGGGTTCGTCAAGGGCCTCGGCCGCGGCCTGCTCGGCGCGGCGGCAAAGCCCCTCTCCGGCGTGGCCTCGCTCGTCTCCAAGACCGCCGAGGGCCTTGCTGCGGACGCCAAGGACTTTGCCTCGCGCGGCGACAAGGCGTTCCTCAAGATGCGCGTCCGCCAGCCGCGGCTGATTGGGCCCGACCGGGTCTTGCTGCCTTACCCCCGCATGCCGCCGCTGCTCAAGCTCAAGGCGGGAGGCGATGGCGCCACCGCCGGCGCGCCTCCCGTGAGCCGCAGCGCGTCCAGCCGGCAGCAGCAGCACATTGCGATACCGCCCAAGGGCGGTCGAGCCACCACGGTCGTCACTGTTGCGGAGGAGGGGTGGACTGAGAGATAGGTCGCGGGGCTGCAGATGTGAAGTGCGCGCGCGGTGTGGGTGTCGTGCTCGTGTGGAACCTGGGGTCGGATGTGAACGGTGTTTCAGGTGTTTCAGTAGAAAAAAGAGAGAAGTCCGGCGGCCCTGGATGTGCGGTTGCTGACTACACTATCTTTGCTCCGGCGAGCTAGGGGTAGGCAAAAATTGCCTACAATTGACCCCGGACACAGAGTCTGATCACAGTTATTGTTATGGTGTTATGGCTCCGTCGCTCAACCCGTCATGCGGCAGGTGGCTTGCTTTGGCTCGCTGCCACCGCGGTGGCTCACCAAGGCCTTTTCAGCGTGCTGCGTCATCACCGCGCGGCGCGCAAGCCACGCCTCACCCGGGCAAAAGGAACGACCGCGCGCCGCCGCCGCCCGCCTCGCCGCGCCGCGCCGCCCCGCGCCTCGCCTCGCCTCGCCTTGCAGCAGCGCACGCGCACACGCACCCACGCGCCCGCGCTCGCTCCGCGAGAGCGAAGCAACCCTCCAAGCGAGTTCCGAACCGGGAGCCAAAAGGTCCCGGCTCGAACCGCGAACCGGTTCGACCACCGCCGCTGGCGGTTCTTGCAAAGGCATCAAAGGCAGTGCCTGATATAATGTGAAATAGTGCGAGCACGCGAGATACTCACCCGACCCACCGTGCCCTCGCGACAAAGATCTCGCGCCGCGCGCGCTCGCACACGCCGCCCGAGAGCACTCCCACCCCCGCCGCCTCGCAAGCTCACAGGTTGATTTGAGGAGAAGCAGCTGGGGGAGGTCAAAGCGGGAGAAGGCGGCACGGCGGCGGCGGCGCGGCCCCCCCCCATCCCCACGCCTCCGGGTCGTGCGTACCGCCTCCGGGCGCGAGTGTCCCCCCAGCGTCTGCTCCGGCAGTCGCTCCGGTAATCAGGCCGAGAGTACCAGGGAGGAGGGGAGAAGAGCCCAGGGTGGGGAAAGGAGAAGAGCCCAGGGAGGGGGGAGGAGAAGAGCCCAAGGCGGCCTCCCTCTCCCTCCCCTCCCACCGGGCCTCCCTCTCCCTCTCCTCCCACCGGGCCTCCCTCTCCCCCTCCTCCCGCCAAGCACCGACAGTCTCGAGGGGCCAGCCGCTGGAAGGGGCAAGCCAGCGGCACGAGGGCTTCAACCACACAGCTACCAAGGGAACGCGACCCACACAAAGCACCAAAGTTAGGCATACCCCCCGGCGCAGTGTCCCCCGCTATGTGTCGCCGTTTGTCGGGGCACGCTATCCTGTGCAGTCAGGGCAAGTGGGGGCGGGGCGGACAGCCCAGAGTCTATACCCTGGGATCTCTCCGCCCAGTCCGGGGGTGCGTCGAACCTTCCATCACCCTGTCGGAAGCGGCGTGCCGGTGGAGGCACGTCCGGGTTTTGGAAGTAAAGATATATTACTTTTATGGTGTTATGGCTCTCTGGGCATATGGGCCCATAACAGCCATAACACTCATAACATGTTATGGGCTGCTATGAGAGAGCCGTCCCGGGTCCACGCACCACGGTGATATGGCCCGAGAGGCCACGCCGAACTGCTCGCCGCTGGATTTCGGCATCGATCGCCAACTGTTCTCTCTTTTGCCCTGAGCCAGCGAGTTGTACGTGTGCTCGTCCTCCGTCGACACAGACAGCACATAGTTGAAGCCGGGAATTCTCTTGAAGTCGGAGACGCGCAGGTCAAATGACGAGGGCTTCTGGCTCTTGAACATCTTCATCCGGTAGGCCATGGCTGGCTGAATGGCTGGTAGTAGCTACCGGCGCGGGGCGGGCGCTCCAAAAGAAGAATTTTATTGCACAAACACCGGGATACGCGCGGGCGGGGCCCCTCCTTTGAAAAAATCCGTGGGACAGAAAGGTCAAATTCGGTTTTGGCCGAGGCATAACAGCTGTTATGAGGTTGTTATGCTGCTTGCTGGCTGTCATAACAACCAGTGGGATGTGTTATGAGTGCTATGAGGTGTTATGAGGTGTTATGAGGTGTCATGGTAGGGTGGGCATAACAGCCATAACAGCGATGGAGGTGTTATGAGGTGTTATGAGGTGTTATGGGGTGTTATGAGCAGCCAGCCATAACAGCCATAACACCTGTTATGGCCGCTCTAACCTTGTCTGGGGTCAAGTAGCTAGTAGGCGGTAGGCGTAGGGCAACGGGCAAGACAAGAGGTTGGGCAAGGACAGAGAGATCAGAGATCTACGCCACCCACGGTTGACACGGGCCTTGCACTTTTGAATGCCGTGGGGCTCCTGCCCGTGTCCGGGGGGGCGTGGAGATGCGAGGGTCGCCCCCCCCTTGCGCCACAACACTTGTAGTGTTGTGTGGGAGAGAGAGATTCCTTCTTCTTTCTTGTTGTAAAATTCTTGTTGTGTGCAGAGACATTACCTCAGTCCTCACCTTAACCTTACGTCACCAACCGATGAATCGCACGACATCTACTGCCCGCGCCACGGTTGACACGGGCCTTGCACTTTTGAATGCCGTGGGGCTCACCTGCCCGTGGCCCCGAGGACCTGGCGGAGGGAGGCGGGCAGGGAGGCGGCGGCGCGGCGGAGGGGTGGGAGGGCTCAGCTCGCTGCTGGCGCTGCTCGGCGAGGCGGGCGAGTGCTCGTCGCGCCCACTGACGCTGGTGAGCAACGAGGGGAGCACTGAGCTGCTGCTGACGCGGTGGACGCTTAGGAATAGAACTAAAATAAACAAATCGCCCCGCAGTTCGCCAGTACGTACATATAGGTGATCCCGGCGTCCCAGTGCGCTGGAAAACCTCCCTCCGCCGCTGAGTGACGACAGGGTGCTGAGATGCTGAGACCTGAGTGGCGGCGCTGAGTGGCGGTGGCTTCAGTGTGGCTTGATCGTTTCGTGCCGGCGGTTGCTCTGCTTTTTTTTTTGAGGGTCAAAACGCGACATGCTGCACGTTCAATATGCGCATGCACATGCACATGCACAACATGCACATGCACGTGCGCATGCACATGCACACGCACACGCACACGCACACGATCATGCACATGCACACGCACATGCACATGCACATGCACATGCACAAGTACAAGTGTGTGTGTGTGTCCCGATGTATCTGCGCTGAGCATCAGAGTGCAGATCAGAGCATCATTCGCACAGTGGAGCCGCCCTGGGTCACTACGTAGTACGGCGGCGTGTAGTGGTGCCAAAGCTCCGACTGCAGACTCAAGAGCTCCGTGAAGCTTCCGCGGACTTGCAGGCACGCGGCAGTCGCGGATATATTTGCGTGGTAGATCTCCGCCACACGCCACGCCACACTGATCTGGATCGTGCTGCTGACACGTGTCGAGCCTACCTCGCCGTGATATCGATGAGCCGCCGTGATGAAGTAGGTTTGCCCGCTCCGCCAATGCGCGAGCATGCTGCCGAGCATCGTCTTCAGCACGCCTGACCTCTCGAACCAGCCAGAGAGGTCGAGCAGACAGCCTCCCTTGTCGAGCTCCTCGGCGGTAATTTGGCAGTGCGCAAGCAGCGCGGCCTCTGCGTGCTTGCGTTGAAGCCGCAGCTCGGGCGCCAGGGCAGCGTGCAATGACCGGCACGACGCGGCAAGCGAGCCGAGACGCACGCCATCCGCCGAAAGCGCTTGGGCGAAAAGGGTGCGCTGGATAACGACGAGCACATCGTTGTCGAGGTTCTGCAGCTTGACTATACGCACCGGCGCCTGGGCCTCGGAGCGCGATGCAACATCAGCTGACGAGATTGCTCGCCAGCGGGGGCGGCCATTGCTGCGTCGCGGCATGGTCCTGGGCATGACAAACGCTGGTGCCAAGGAAATCAGGGACGCTGTGAAATGCATTGCTTTCACGACCGTGAAATCAAGTACGTATCGCAAGAACACGTGGGCGGAAATGCCCCCAGCCCACACGCCCTTGCTGACGACACGCTAGCGACCCTCACGTACTGCGCCTCAGCTCAATCACGGACGTACTTCGACACTACGTACTACTTGTCAAAACAACCTCGAGCGCCCCGCGCCCTCCCGCCCAACGCCCTGCGCCTCACGCCTCGCGTCCCACGCACGCCCCGCGCCCCGCACCCCCTCACCTCGCGCCTCACGCCTCCCTCCCCACCCTCTCAGGCATTTCTCCCCCCCTGCTGCTCCCGACTCCTCCTCCCCCCGCATGACCGACGACTACCCGTCCTTCGGCGACTCCTCCCTCTTCGGCGCCAACGCCTACTACCCGTTCGGCCCAGTGAGGGGCGGGAGCGCAGCCATTCCAACGGCTGGGAAAGTTTCTGAACGGCCGTGCATGCGCCTGCATGCCGGCTTACTAAGGAGGTCCCTCGCTCCCGCTCCTCTCTCGGAAGACGCGCGCCGGCCAGGGGGACTCGCTTGCGATCCCGCTCCAGCCAGAGGCCGCGTGAGGCGTGTGGGACGGTGTACGCTGGGGCTTGGCCCCAAGTGCGCTGGCCTCGCGTCTCGAGGGGAGGGCGGCTCGTAACTGAGGTTCGCCGTCAGAGACAGTCGTCCTCCCCTCCTCGGCCATTCCAACGGCCAGGCCGCTCGCTTAAGGCTGATTGGCTAGACGAGCGGTCTACCTCCAACGGGGCGGTCCGGGAACGCGTGGAACCTGCCCACCTCGGTGGGAGGTGGTTTGGCGCCGACGGACCGCCCTCTCCACCACCCTCGCCCAGGGATCTACAACGCTGTCTTAAGGTCCGACCTGTGGGCTCCGGCCTGCGCTCGGCACCGGGCACCGCCTCGGTATACAAAATGCGCCTGCGGGCGGACCCTCACAGATCACAGATCACTGTCAAAACAGGGACGTACGTACATGCAAGTACGACCTATCCTCAAATTTTCTCTTCGGCTCGCTCCGCTCACTTCTGTGCGCAAGAGCCGGGCCTCGCACGCCGGACGCCGGCGGCTCCTGGCCCTAATCCTGGCCCTAATCTACGCAGAGAACCCAGCCGGGGCGGCCGCCGTAGCCCTCGGCCCAAACGTATCCCTGGCCGTTCACCAGCGGCGCGTTCTCGTCCGCGACCTCCTCAGTCATGCCTTCGGTGTCGCAGTGGTCCGTCGTGGTCCCACCGTCGGTCGTCATGCCGAGCGCGACGCGCTCCTTGTGAGCCGCGAGCCACGCTGCGATTGATGCGTCCGCCCGCTCATTCGCTTCGTCCAGGCGCTTGTTGAAGTCTGCCGCCACCTTCTGCCACTGCCGCTGCCGATGCGCCCGCAGCCGCTGCACAGTCTCGTCAGTCAGCTGCGTCTTCGACTGGCGGTCCTCAATCATGGCCGCCTGCATCCGTAAGAACCAAGCAGACGCTCGAGGGCCAGACATGGTTGGCAAACTGTCGCTCGAAGACACGGTCGTGATTGTGCTGTCTTGCGAAAAAGAAATTCGCTGGCGCCCTTGTTCAGATGTACACAAACAGCGCACCCACGGCGCACCCACCCCACCCACGCCGACCTCGAGAGCGCCCCCCCCCCGCCCCCCCCCACCCACCCACCCACCACCCCACACACGCCACAGCCAATAAGAACGTGCGAGTACCTTCGTGTTTTGGGCAAAACAAGAACGTCATCGCATCACTCGCTAAGGACGTGAAAATTAGTACTCACCCACCGCATTTTCTTCAAAATTTTCTTCGCGCGCTGAGGGGCCCTACGCGCGACTAAATTCACGCCCGGCGTGTGGCCTGCGGCCACTAAGGTTGCCAAGCTCTGGTTCCGATGTGCGTCGAGCCAGTCATTTCCGGCGGCGTCGGCACGCGCTTCGCTGTCGTCAGCACCTATAGCGGGCCACGCGCGCTCGCCTCCTTCGCGCGCAATGGCGCAGCGGCACTGCTGCGTCCGCAGTCGGAGGAAGCTTTCGCGTGGCACGCCGAGCAGCGAGAAGGAGTCGTCCTCTTCGCAGAGCGCTCGGTGCACGGAAATGGTATCGTGCGCGTCACGTCGCACGGCCCTCGGTGGCGGCGCATGCTCTTCGACAGCGTCGAGCAGGGCCTCGCCTACCTGCGAGAGGACGAGAGCGAGGCCGCGCCGGTCCTTGCCAGCTTCCAGTACCTCAGAGTCATGGCCGCCGCCTGCGCTGCCTTTTGCGGCCTACGCCCCAACACGCGTCTCGACTCGCCACGTCTCCTCTGCGTTGGACTCGGCACCGCCGCCCTCCCCAGCTTCCTCGCCGCCGCCTACCCGAGCCTGCGGGTCGAGGCGGTTGAGCACGACCCCGTCGTCATCAGAGCGGCGCGCGAGGTCCTGCACTGCCGCTTTGCGCTGCGCGGCGAGGCTTGCGCCGGCAGCGGCGCCGCCGGCGACGCGACCTTCACGGTAACGCGCGCGGACGGTGCGGCGCACGTGGCTGGGCTCGAGGAGGGCAGCTTGCACGCCGTGCTGTTGGACGCCTTTGACGCAAAGGGGGACACGCCGCCGCAGCTGCTGCAGCCGCCCTTTCTCTCCGACTGCCGTCGGGCGCTCGCGCCGGGCGGCGCCCTCGTGTGCAACCTCTTCAACGGGCGAGCCGGGAGCGGTGCACGGCGGTCGCTGGGCAGCCTCTCGCGCCGGCTCGAGGCTGCTGGCTTCGAGCTCTTCACGCTGCCGGTGGTAGGGCAGGAGGAGAGCGTTGTGCTGGTGGCGCGACAAGCCGGAGGCGGCGCGCGGCCGGGACGCCAAGACCTCCGCCGCGCCGCGCGCTCCTCGCTGAGTGGCGGTCCGGCGAGGGCGTCTGCCGCAGAGGCGGCACGGCTCGCCGGGCGAGTCCGGTGGGCACGGGTGGGGGGACGGGGCGCGGATTGGTCGCTGGTCGAGAAGCGGCCCCCGCGCCGGTTTTCCGCGGCCGCGGCGGCGGGCTGGGACGCTTTGGAAGATGCGACTACGGCGTGCTCGTGGTGCGAAGATGACTGAGAGAACCGCGCTCGTGATACATTGAAAAAATATCACCGCCCCTGTCCCGCGGCGCGCGCCCGGGAGATACTTTGACAATAAATACAACGAGATCAAATTCACCACTCTTGCGTGTCCCCTAGCCCTCGGCCTCGCCGAACGAAAGCCTTGGTCACCCTCGTTCGTCCTGGTTCTGCTGTTGGGGCGGTCGGCGTTTGATCAAGCAACGAGAGCTCGCCATGAGAGGCGTCCGAGACGAGGCTGAACAGAGTGCCCTCGAGGACGTAAGCCGCCAGCTCTTGCAGCTCCGCCGATGACTGCACGTCTCGCAGCCGCCGCGTGGTGCGGCGAGCCGCCTCTGCGGCAGCAAACGCACGCTCCTGCTTGCGCTCCTCAGCTGCGGCCGCATCGTCGAGAACCCCAACCTCACAAGTGGCGTCGGCGCATCGAACAGTCACGGGCGCTGGAGCGGTGCCGTGCCTGGCAAAGGCGAGCTGGGCAAACCAGGGGACGATCCTCACCGGCGGCGCCTGGAGAACGCGACGCACCTCCTCCGACCGCATTACGTCCTGCAACAACTCGACGAGAACCGCCTCTGCTGTGTCACGCTGCGCTCGCCGAGTTGCCGCGTCGCGGGCGACGCCCGCGCCGTAGATCCCTGCCTGACTGCGCCTCGGCTTCGAACGGCCTAGCTGTGTCGGCTCTGGCGGCGGCAGCGAGCGAGGGACAAAGTGCTCCGCCAAGGGGAAGGCCGCACTGCGTAGCGTCGCCGACGGAAGGAACGTCGCTCGGACTCCGAGCAGCAGCCGCGGCGGCGCGGCGCTCGACAGCGGCGGCGCCAGAGATTGCCTAGCGGCGAGAGGTGTGAGCGCGCTGCGCTCTCGTCGCTGCTCCGGTCGTTCGGCAACAAGTTTGCGCGTCCCATCCGCCGTCCTGGTGAAATCGTTTGCGGCAGTCGAGGCAAGCGGCTCGAGGGTGCAGCCGAGCACGAGGTCGAGCGCCTCGGGCGGTCCCGCACCGCGGACGCACACCTTGCAGCAGACGTGCCCCAGTGGCGGAACGCTGCCACCGGACGGGTGAATTGCGACGCGTGACCCGTACAACGGATGGGCGGTGTCCCAAGCAAACTTGCACGCCGTATCGAGCGCGTTGGAAAGGATCAGGAACTGTGACCCGTCCGAGTGCTGCGGCAGGCGACCAAATACGCAGGTGTCAAGTGAGAGACTCACAGGCAGTCCCACCTGTGATGGCTGCAGCAAGCTGCACGGTGGCATGACGCCCGCCTCGCTCGTCGAGTCCACGGGCGCATCGGATGGGTCGTAGCCGTTCGCCCGGATAAGGACTGTGGTGTCCTTGCATGGGCCCCCCCTGGCATGTCCAAAACGGAGCGGCAGAGATATGAAGTACTCGCGCGCCTCGAGCGGGTGGAAGAGCAGCGGCACCCTCGCGCAGCTGCCCGGTGAGATGACACCGGCAGGCTCAGGGCAAGACAACACCTCGAAGCCGAGATGCTTGGAGGTGAACGCATCCAGGGCAGCGCTGTTGATCTCGTACTCTACCGGTACGGCCGAAGGATTAGGAAGCTCGAGCGTCTGGCGCAGGGGCGTGGGCAGCCCAATGGGCGCTGCGCCCAGCCGGATGCCGCCCGACGGGAGGGCGAGGTGGGTCTCAGTCGGCCCGAGCGTCCGGCCCTTTACGTTAAGCACCAGCCGCTTGCCGCACTCGACGACGAGGGTGAGCGGCAGCTCGTACGCGTCGGTGGCAAAGTGGCGCATCGTCAACTCGATCACTTGCTCGTCGCCTTGCTGCAGGGCACCGCTCCGTGGTCTCGCGGAAATGATCTTGCGGTCAATGATGGACGCCTGCTTGACTTGTTCGTCCGAGGGCGGGCCAAAGTCCACCCAAGGCTCCGCCTGCACGTCCGATTCGGTCGGGTACTTGAGGGTCCATCGCGCAGGGAGTCTACTCGTGTTTCGAATGAGCAGCCGCAGTCGCTGCTCCGCCGAAGTTTGGATGCGCGGTGGAAGCACAAGATCGAAGCGACGGAAGGTCGAGGTGGCGGGCGCGTGCAAGATGGGCGGTGGCTTCCCCTCCACCGACATGCACGCCTTCTCCTCTGCAGAGGGCACGTCATTGAGCTCGTCGTTGACCTGTTTCAGCTGTAGCGAGCGCCAGAGCGCCTCTTGCGAGACACCGCTCAGTCGGGCGTCCACTACTTGCAGCGCCGGGTACTCTCCCCTGGCTTGGATGCCGCTGAGGCGCGTCGGCGGCAAAAGCAGCACACTTTCAGCGTCGCCGTTCCCTCCGGGTGCAATGGCGCAGAGGACGTCGTAATGGATTGACCCCCGCGCTAGGGCCTCGAGCTGTACCGTCACCGCCACCGAGTTGCGGGCGGGAACCAGGCCGCGAGGCGCGAGGCAACGGAGGACGTCAGCTTCTCCGGCCTCGTCCATCGCGCAAGCCTCGGTTCGGCAAAAGGAGAGCTCGTACCACAGGTCGACGGTCGACGAGTTGACCAGCGTCAGTGGCAACCGGCGCGGCAGGCCAACCTGGATGGCACCAAAGTCCAGCACAGCCGGCGACACGCTTAGCTGTCCCGACGCCCCGGCGCCGGAAACAGTGAGGACTTGGTTCAGCACCTCGTAGCTACCTGTGCCGCCAGTGCGGCTGTCGACGGCGGACACCAGGCAGGGCACCTTGGCGAGCATATGTCCCGGCGAACTCGGCGAAAAGACCCAGGTGGTTTGCAGCGAGGCCTTGCCACTCAGCACTCCAGCGGCAGGGGAGACGCTCAGCACATCCGCGGCGCTCTCCGGAAGGTCCCACTCATACGCGAGAGGCAGGCGAGTAGGGTTGGATATGGTCAGGCACGCCGTTGAGGAAGCGCCCACGCAGGTGGTTGGTAGGAAGAGCCGGCCGCCGTGCGGTAGACGCAGCGATGCCTCGGAGCCCGCACCAAGCAGCCTCATCTTGAGCGGGTTCGCCTCCTCGCCGTTGAGAACTAGGCTCACCGTGCGATCGTACTGCGCAACCTCTGTGGGGCTAAAGCGCACCGCCAACAGCTGAGTGCCGAGGGCCGGAACGACGCCCGCAGGTGGCACAATGGCAAAGTTGCAGGAGGCGCCGGTTCGCAGAGAAAACATCATGGGCGTCTCGCCCTCGTTTGTGAGCGAGACGGTCTGGTAGCCGGTCTCGCCGACGTGGCACACGGGAAACGAGAGCACAGGGTGCGACAGCAAAGGCTGCGCGATGAAGCGGCTCGCCCCGGGCGCAAAGGTGTGACCATGTGCGCCAACTGCGAGCGACCAGGGTGGCACAAAGTTGTCTTCGGAGACCAGTCGGAAGGAGCGCATGGACTTGAAGCTGGCGACGCACTCGAGGCGCTGGAAGTAGTGCTGGCTGTCCGAGCGTGGCAGGAAGTGCACCTTGAAGGTTGCCGTCGACTCTGGAGCCACGTCGCACGTCGCTGGATTGACCGCAAAGACGGCGCCCAGTCGGTCGAGCGAGCCACCGGATGCGTAGCCATGGGGAAGTGCCCAGCGGACTGCGATCTTTCCACGGGTGCGGTTGGTCAGCCGGAGCAGGCGCGGCTCGCCCACGCGCAGCCGCGACGCGGCGCCAAAGTCGAGGTACTCCTCGTCAAAGGCGAGGGCCGCCGTGGGATCGCAGCAGCCGTGGAACACCTCGTTCATTAGCTCTACCTCATCGTCCTCGTCCTGGTCTCCCTCGCTCTCGCCCTCGCCTTCGCTCTCGCCCTCGCCGGACCCGCTGCTGGCACCTTCCAGCAGTGCCGCCGACCTGGCGCGCTTGGCCGAGGCAGAGGCGTCGAGCTCCTCAGGGCTGAGAAGGTGAAGTCCGCGCCGCGCCCTCGCGCGCGCTCTCGCCACGACGGGGAGCGCGAGGGTCATCGGACGCTTCTTGTCGTTGAAGCCAGTCCCGACGACATCCAAGCAGAGCGGCGCCTGATTGTGCACGAGGATCACGACCCGGCGGTAGTAGTTGCCCGGCTCGGAGGGAGAGTAGGTGAGCCTCAGCGTGTGGGAGAGGCGCGGTGGCACGACGCCCGCCGTGCAGCCGACGGCAAAGGCGCCGTTCTCCTCGACGGCATGCAGTTGGAACGGCACATGCGAGTTGGACCGGTTTTGGAGCTGCACGACCCGCGTCACCGTTCGCCGCGGCTCCTCGATCGGCACGTCGCCAAAATCCACCGACCGTGCGGAGAGCTCGACGATCGGCCCGATAGCCTCTCCCGCGCACTCTATCGCGATGCGGTTGCCCCCTGTCGTCACCACGTCGTAGATCTCGCGCGTCTGCGTGCCTCGCACGTCGGGACGGAAGATGGCGGTCACGGTCTCTGCACCACCGGGCGGAATGACACCGGAGACGGGTGCGAGCGAGACGGTCCGCGCCGCGTCGCGCTCCCTCTGGCTGATAAAGTAGCGCGCGCTCACGGGGGACTGGTTGCTCAGGCGAAACTCGGCCCGGGCCTATCAGCGCAAGTCGGCCTCGTGAAAGTGTGAGCTCGGGATGCGCAAGGGGCGATGCCGGCGCGCCGTGGCGCCCACGAGAACGCGACCAAAGTTGATCGCTTCGTAGTCGGAAGCAAGAAAGGGATACTTTCCGATTCCCTCGAGCGTCATCACGTGCGCGCGGTCCTCGGGGATCGTGCAGACGCAGCGCACGACGCAGACGGTGGCATCGGATGGCGTGAAGCGTGCCGTAATTGTCACGGACGATCCCGGAGGCATAGCACCCGAGGCGGGCGAGAGGCGAAAGGGCCCATCGTAGGACCACTCAAAAGTGATTGGCAACTACGGTCGGGCGGCGGGCGAACGCGTCTTCCTCCGCTGGGCGACGCTGGGAGAGCGGCGGCAGCCTCGCACCTGGCCGCGGTTGGAGATGGGGAAGGTCCTGACGGCAGTCTCATCCACAGGGCAGAAGCCAAAGTCGAGAGTTTCGGGGACCACGGCGGCCGCGGACGGCACGTGCGCGCGAATCGGTATGCAGAAGGTCCCTGTGGGCACCGGCCGCCTCTTGTCAAGTGGGCTTTGCCCTGGGAGCGGGCGCAGGTGGAGCGGGCATGTATCTCCGCGGTGTCAGCTCTCCGCCGCTGTCTGTAGCGGTCGGGCGCACACCCCGCTCGTTCGAGAACTGCACCGCGTCGTCGTACGACTCGAGGTGCACGGGACGGAAAGTGACGACGAGCGTGTGCGTGAGGCCGGGAAGCAAGAAGATCTCCTCGGGAAACGCCATTGAAAAGTATTTGGAATCGGGGAGCCGGTACCGCAGCCGCATGGCGCTGTCGCTCTTGTTGGTCAAGACCAACGGCTTTGCATACTCCCGGCCCGGTACCCACCTGTGGTGCGGGTGAGCGCCGCGTCAATGCGATGGAGGGAGCGCCGCCGATAGAGCGTGTGGATGGGCGAGAGGGGAGAGCGGTTCGGGCGGCACCCCGCTGGCCACTCGAGCCCCTCGCCGCAGTCGACACCGTAGCGCTGCGCGCGCTCCGATCGCGTGCTCATGAGCGGCTTCAGCGAGCCGGTGGGGGAGGCGCCGGCCGCGGAGCAACGAGCGAGGCTTGTAACCGATGCGTGCGCAAAGAAACGTGAGAAAAAACCAGCGGCGGCAATTTTCTTCTTTCTCGGTGCTGGACAGCCCGTGCTCAGGGTTTTCTTTTCGCCAAGCGGATATGGTTGTCATGGGGCAAGGCCGCATATTCCTCCTGCGGGGCAAAGATCGAGCTGCATGTCGATTTCAACTCGATCGACGGCAGCAAGATTGATTGGCCATTGATTGCGAGTGGCATGGAGGCATCACGTCTCCATGCTGCCGTCAAGTCGGAGCCAGTCTGCGGCGACCACAGCGCTCACCGCAGGGATCGGCGAGCTTTTCAGAGTCAAGCATTGCGCGAAATCCCACACTGGTGGATTTTCAGTGAGTGTACTTTAAACAGACAGGATAAGCGCGGGGCGCCGCGTGTCCGTGGACTCACAAACAAGCAGCGCGGAGCTCACAATTGCCTCGTCGCCGTCGCCGTCGCCGTCGATCTGAGCTCACAATGCCACGTCGCCGTCATTCCCGTGCCCGGTGCCGTGCCGTGTTAGTGAGGAGCACTTGGAGCACTTGGAGTGCAGTCATTAACCGCACAACCAGGGCCGGCGGCCCGATTTTCTTGACAGCGCGCTTCCCACACGGACGCGGCACCACGAAGCGGCAGCGTCCTAACACCAAGGGGACGCGGTGGCCTCGCGTCCCGTCTAGCGAGATGGCCGAGAACACGCTACACCTACGCCGCGGGCCGACTACCGGCCGGCTGCTCGCCAAGTTCCGCGAGCGTCTCCCCTCGCTCGAGCCTCGGCCCGGCGCCGCGCCGGACGCGACCCTCACGCGCCACGAGCCGGCCGCCGCGGGCCGGCGGACGGCGGCGCCAACCTACGCCGTCCGTGCGCCGCAAAACCGGCAGTGGGAGGGTACCCGCGAGATGGGCGGCGGAGGCTCGTGCTATGTGCTGCTGCGCGTCGAGCCGCCGAGCGGCCGGACGCCCCGCTCGGTGCAGGTTGTCGACGTTGGCGAGTGGGTGTCCTTCCGGCCGGCGATCTCCTACCAGACGATGGACATCGACGCCGCCGAGCAGGCCCTGGCGCACAACAACTTTGCGGGGGAGCGCACGGCGGCGCGCGTGGCGGCGCTGCGCAAGGGGCGCGGCGGCACGGCGGACGAGGAGGGGGGCGTGGCGGCGGCGGCGGCGGCGAACGACGGCTTTCTGGAGGACGACCTGTTTGACGACGGCGGCGCGGTGTCGACGGTGCGCGAGTGGGAGGAGGAGGACGGGCGGGAGGGTCTCGACGTGGAGGAGGCGATGCTGATGGAGGACGACGACGAGGACGAGCTCTTTGAGGAAGATGACTTGGCGGCGGCGGCGCGCGCAGAGGCGGGCAAGGCTGCGGGGCACGAGGCTGCGCGGGTGCGGCTCGGCCAGGTCGAGGAGGAGGAGGAGGAGGAGGAGGAGGAGGAGGAGGCGACCAGCGGCGAGTGGCGGCGTGCGCAAAAGAAGATGCTGCGCGAGGAGCGGCGGAGGAGGCGCGCGGACGAGTCGGAGGACGACGACGACGACGACGACGATGACGACGAGAGCGGCGGGAGGGAGATGCTGCGCCGGCTGCTCGGCGAGGAGGGGCGGAGGAGCGACGCCTCGGACGGGGACGCCTCCTCTGCGGCCGGAGAAGAGGCCGCCGCCCCGGGTAGCGCCGTCCCGGGCAGCAAGCGCAAGGAGCCGGGCGACTCGGCCGACGCCTCCAAGAGGAAGCGCGCGCGGCGCTCGCCTTCGCCGCTGCCTCAGCCTGCGGTCGCCGCCGCCCCGCCCGCCGCCGCCGCGGCTGCGGCTTCTAGCGCGGCGGCGGCGGCGGCGGCGGCGGCGCAGGCGCAGCGGCTGTTAAGCGAGCGCGACGTGGTGATGCTGCTGCACGAGAAGGGGGCCCTCGCCCTGCCCCAGCTCATCAAGCACTTCAAGGAGGTGCTCCCTTCCTTTGGCGCCGAGGAGAAGAAGTACCTGCAGGACATCATCAAGAAGGTTGCCAAGCTCGACAAGCGGGCCGACGGCTCGTATGCGGTGCTCAAGGACACGACCATGTACGAGTACGGCTTGCGCCGGCCCTGAGGGGGGGTCGAGGCAGGTGAGGTTGGGAGGGGCGTCTGCTGCCACCGCCTCGCCGAGTGCCTGCTCGGCGAGATCACGGCCTGACGCCTCGCACCGTGCGACTCGCACACCGTGCATCTCGCCGGTGTACGGCTTTAGCCCATAGCCGTGCGACTGCGAGGTGCGAGGGCTCCGCGACGACGAACTTGTTGCGATGTGCCGATAATGTGGCTGAAAAGGTTTCATGGAGTTGCTCTGTCAGTTGAGAGTTGTCGTATTGGACTCGACAGGTTCTGCACACAAAACTGGTCTCGTCAGATGTGTGCTGTGTTTTTCGGCTCGCTCGGGGCGGCTCTCGTACCCCTGTCCCACAGACAGGGGCGGTGCGGACCTTAGCTCTCTCTCTCTCTCTCCTTCATTCTGCTGCAAGAGTTGTGGTGCGGCTCTCGCGAGCACTTAGGGCGGACGGGGGCTGCCTCTCAAGGCTCAAGCAGCGCGGCAATGAGAGGGGCACCCGATGGCTCTCCTCGCTCCTCCTCGCCCTGCACCTCTCCCCTCCTCATGGCTCATTTAGTGCCATTCCTCTCCAGGTCCAGCACCGCGACGATGTGGTTGGAGAAGCATGCCGCCACCTTGCTCCCGTCGCTGTTCCAGCAGACCTCGAAGATGCCGCCCTGCCCCGTGTAGCTCTTGATGAGAGCACCGTCCTGGAGAGGGGGGGGGGGGGGTGAGAGGCCGCCTCGCTCGGCGGGGCGGGGCGGGGCGGGGCCCGGGGGGGGGCCTTGGCGGCCCCCTTGACTGCCCAAATGTGCAGCCTGCGGTCGAAAAACCCCAAAGCCAAGTGGCGGCCGTCCCCGGAAAAAGCGACCGACTACACGGGCTGCGAGTGGCGGTCAAGGACCTGCAAACACTGGCCGCTCCGCGCGTCCCAGAGGCGCACCGTCGCGTCGAAGGATGCGGTGGCGAGCAGCAGCGGCGCGGTCGGGTTGGCGGAGCCGCGTCCCGCCGGCGACCACTTGAGCGTGTAGATCTCCTTTTGGTGGTCGCGTAGGTCCTGCAGCGCGCCGTCGCGCTCCATGGACCAGACCTTTGCGGTGTGGTCGTCGGAGCAGGAGGCTAGCAGCGTGCCCGACGGGTCCCACTTGATCGCGTTGACCTCGTCCTCGTGCCCCTCGAGCCGCTTCAGGTACCTGCGGCACGAGGGCGGCGGGCGTGGGCGAGAGATGGAGGGGCGAGGGGCGTGCGCCGCGGGGAGGGTTGTTGGAGGGGCGAGGCCGCGAGACAAGAGGGGAGGGTTGTTGGAGGTTGTTGGAGGGTGTTGGAGAGCTGGCGGGAGGGGACCTCCCATGTCCATGTGGGAGGGAAGGGGCTGCGGCCGGCCGGCGCGCGCCTCTCCTCGCCGAGCGCGCACACGAAGATGACGCGGTCCGTCGAGCAGGAGGCGAAGGACGTGTCGTCGCGCCAGTCGACGTCGAGGGTCGGCTCGGTGTGGAAGGAGAACTGCTGCCGCACCTCGCCGGCGCCGACGTCCCACACGATGGCCGTCTTGTCGACGGAGCCCGAGAGGAGGAACTGGCCAGTCCGGTTCCACTTGAGCGAGAAGATCGGCCCCTTGTGCCGGCTGAGCGTCTGCGTGAGCTGCCCGCTCGCGCTCCACACGCGCGCCTGCCCGTCGTAAGAGCCCGTCGCGAGCAGGCTGCCGTCGTGCTTCCAGTCGAGCGTGGTCACGTCCTTGGACACGTCCTTGGACGCCTCCTTGGAAACGTCTCTCCACGCCTCGCTGCCGCCGACCAAATGAGGCAACACCACCGGCGCGCACTGCCGACTCTTGCCGCTCGGCCCGCTCGGAAGCGACCAGAGCCGGGCAGTTGCGTCACCGGAGCCGCTGGCGAGCTGCAGCCCCACCGGGCTCCACGCGCAGATGAAGACCTAACCGCACGCACCAAGCCTCTCGCCGGGCCGCACTGGGCAGCCTCACCCGCCACTGCGAGGGCGGAGCCGCACCTCCGAAGTATGGCCGACCAGCGCAGTCACCTCGTCTTCCGGCGTCTTGTACTCGCCCGACCGGCCGTCGCCGCCGTCGTCGACGGCCATCGGCTCCGGCTCCGCCGCCCCGGCGGCGTCACTCCCCGACGCCGCCTCCCGCTTCACGTCGGACGGCACCTGCGGCGGCAAGAGGAGAGTGGGAGAGGAGAGTGGGAGAGGAGCTGGAGAGGCCTCGAGGGTTGTGCAGGGCGGCGAGGGGCGGAGTAGGGCGGGGTAGGGCGGGGAGGGGCGGCGAGGGGGTGGGGCAGCGAGGGGGTGGGGTGGGGTGGGGTGGGGTGGGGGGGGGGGGGAGCGCACCGGTGCGCCCGACGCTTGCTGCTGCCCCCCCTGCTCTCTCGCGCTCGCATGCCCTCTCTGCCCCGCCGCGCCCTGCGGCTGCTGCTGCTGCTGCTGCTGCTGCTGCTGCTGCTGCTGCTGCTGAGCTGCGCGTTGCGCCTGCTTTTGCTGCTGCTGCTTGCTTTCCCGAGCGCTCGCCGTGAGCGAGTAGGGCGCCGCTTCGCAGTCGGTGCCGTCGTCTGCGACCGACTGAGAAGGACACGGAACCCGGTCGGCGTGGCGGGAGTAGGCGTGGCGGGCTGGGAGGGCTGGGCAGTGGTGGAGGGCTGGGCGCGGCACAGGCAAGTCGGGGCGCTGGCAAGAAGGGGGGGAGAGGAGCAGTGGCCGGGAGAGAGGGGGGAGGGGGGGGGGGGGGGAAGGGGAAGGGGGGACGGCGCGCGCCCGTTCCAGCTCGGTGTACATGATGCCGCGCTGCACCAGGTTCACGAGCTCGCCTGAGGCACCCAGGAGGCGGCGTTGAGACCGGAGAGCGCCCGAGGCGAGCGGGCAGCGGCCGGCGGTGCCTGGCGCGATCTTGGCGCCGTTGATGTTGCTCTTATTGACGAGCGACTCGCATCCAAACGTGAACGCCGAGTGCCGGAAGCCTGCGCCGCGCCGGGCCCCGGCCTCGTCAGATGCGCGGGAGAGGGCGGCGCGCGGCGGCGGGCGCGGGGTGCGCGGCGGCACGCGGTTGTGTGGGTGCGCGACGGCGGCGGCGCGGCAGTGCGCGGCGGAGAGGAGCGCGCCCGACTCGTGCAGATATCGATAGACCAGGAAGTTGAGCTCATCACTCGTTATAGACATCAGAAGACCGGTAAGCTGCAACAAGTCGCCAACGCTTCGCGCCGCACCTGCGTGAGTGATGCGAGCTGTGTGAGCACGGGCCTTGCCGGGCCGAAGCCGGGGACTCTCTTCGTGGTTCTCTGCTGGTGCCACGTGCCCGCCAGAAGGAGAGGTGTGCGACGCACCAGGCGGTGCTGCTGCTGCTGCTGCAGCGAATTAAGTGGCGCCCCGCTTGTTTTTCTTTTTCTCCGCAGCCTTGTTCCTCATCATCTCGCTTCACCTCCCGTTCGCCCACCACGCGGCTTGAGCGTGCTCGCTGCTCGGAGGGATGTGTATATGCTGCCCTCCACTGCCCGCCCCAGGCTGCGGCTGCGGCTGCGGCTGCTGCTGCTCGTCGCAGTCGCGGTCGCATGCGCCACCGCCGAGCCGCAGCAGTCTCTGGCCCCTGCCTCGCCGCCGCTCCGCCGCCGCCGCCGCGGCCGCTTGAGCGGCTCGCCGGTCCTGCGAGGCACACGGGTGATCGTACCATCCGAGGCGGCGAGCGCGGCCGGCGCGGCGAAGCGGGCGAGGCCCGCACCGAGTGGCGTGCTCGGCCTCCGCGTCGCGCTCAATGTGTTCGCATGGTGGGCGCTGAACGTCGTCTTCAATCTGTGCAACAAGATCTGCCTCAACACGTGGCCGCACCCGTGGGCGCTCGCGACGTCGTACTGGGCGATCGGATCGCTCTGCATGCTCCCGCTCTACCTGCCGCTGCCTCGCGGCCCTCGCACCTCCTCCGGCCGCCGCTCGTGGCTCGCCGTGCGGCAGCTGCCTCGCCTCTCCTCGAAGGAGGTTGCCTCGCTGCTGCCGATCGTGGCGCTCCTCTGCATCGGACACGCGACGAGCACGCTCGCGCCTGCGTACGGCACGGTCGCCTTTGCCAACATCATCAAGACCGCCGAGCCGCTCTTCACCTGCGTCTTTTCTTACCTGCTCTACAAGCGAACCTTCTCGGTGCTCCTCCTCCTCCTCCTCCTCCTCCTCCGTTCCCCTCCGCCTCCTCCTCCACCACCATCACCACCACCTCCTCCTCCGCCGCCTCCTCCGCCTCCTCCTCCCGCCGCCACGCCGCCGCTCTCCCGCACCTCTCACCCAAGCAACCCCACCCCCCGCAGGCTCACACCTACGGCTCGCTGCTGCTCGTCGTGTGCGGCGTCGCACTCTTCTCCACCTCCGACGTCGACTACTCGGTCCTCACACTCACACTCACCCTCACCCCCACCCTCTTCTCCACCTCCGACGTCGGCTACTCGGTCCTCACACTCACCCCCACCCCAGGTCTACACGCTCGTCGCCGGAGTCACCTCGAACGCCGCCTACGCCGTGTACTCGATCCGCGCAAAGCGCGCCCTCGAGGCGCCACCCCCTCTCCCTCTTGCACGCAACCTTCCCTGCACCGCACCCGCACCCCGCACCCGCCCGCACATGGGCATGCACCCGCCCACGGCCCGACCACGCCCGTCCCTTTAGGCGATCGACCACCTCTCCCCGCGAGGCATGTCCAGGACACGTCCAGGTCATGTCCGAGACATGTCCTTTAGGCGATCGACCACCTCTCCCCGCGAGGCATGTCCAGGACACGTCCAGGTCATGTCCGAGACATGTCCTTTAGGCGATCGACCACCTCTCCCCGCGAGGAATGTACGCCCTCCTCACGGTCGGAGGCTGCCTCGCCCTCTCCCCCGTCGCCGCTCTCTTCGAGCTCACCGGAGCCGGGGCCAGCAGACTCGCTAAGTCGACCGCGCCGCCGATGCACGGCTGGAGGCTCGCGGCGCTTCTCGTCTTCACCGGTGCCGCCTCCCTTGCCGCCGCCAGCTGCACCGCCGCCAGCTGCACCGCCCTCACCGGGGACCGCGGGGGAGGAAGAGACCCGCCGCCCCGCCCCGCCCCCGCCCCAGGCTTGCTGCAGCACCTAACCCTGACGTCTGACCCTGACCCTGCGACCCCAGGTCTGATGCAGTACCTCTCCAACGAGATCGCCTTTTGCACCCTCTCCATCATCCACCCGGTGACCTACGCCGTCGCAAACACGCTCAAGCGCTCCATCGTCGTCGCGGTCTCGCTGCTCGTGTTTGGGAACCGGCTGCCGCCCCTCGGCCTCGCGGGGGCCGCCATGGCCATCATCGGCGCCTTCTTCTACTCGCTGTCGATGCACGCGCAGCACGCCGCCGCCACGCCGCCGAGCACGCCCCGAAGAAGCGACGCAGACGCAGAGGCGCAGGAGGACTGCTAAGCCGCCCTCTCTCGCCGGACGTGTCGTACCCATGACATGCTTCCTGGAGCTCACTGTCCCGCAGAGTTGTGTCGGCTCAAACGCGCGTGGCTGCTAAAGCCGCGCACGTATATAGTCCGTAGGCTGCTTTTGTGTTAACTGTGGGCTCCGCCGACATGCGACAACTTTACGTCACGTCAAGCTCAAGGGCCGATTACAAACAGCGTAGTACTCAGATCCGACCCGGCTAGAATACTGAGTTGTTCTCACCCGCCACCGACGGCCAGCGCCACCGTGCACCGACGCACCACTGACCACATCATGACTCATGTGACAGTTCTCTCAACCGCTCGCGTCGGCCTCTGTGCAGACAAACACGGGCTCTCGTGGGGCAGTAGCAGATACGCCCGCGCATGCCGTCCGCTTACGGATGAGAACGCGACTCCGCGGACGCCACTCAGAAATTGTACCTTCCCTCTCTCTTCCGCGCGAGCCGCCGCTTCTTGCGCGCGCGCCGCTTGGCGGACTTTCGCCACGCGATGCGCAAGGAGCGTGTGGAGTTCACCCACTTGCCGAGCTCGGCCTGCGTGATGAAGCGCCCCAATCGCTTGTCCCAAGTCTTGCCGAGCACCCACGCACGCCCATCTGGCGTCGCATCTGGCGTCGCCGCACCGTCCGCGCTCGCATCCGACGCACCCGACGCCGTGCTCAGCTGTCGTGGCCTGCTAGTGAGGAGCCGTGTGGGGATACTATGTGTCACGCGCGCAAGTGCCGACGGTTTAACGGCGCGCAGCGACGCTCGCAGAGGGCGTAGCAGCGAGCCGAGAAGACTCATGCCGCAAAATAAGGAAATCCGCTCCGGGGTATCGGTAACTGATTTGGCCCATGCGCGTGCTCTTCCTCTTGCTCGCCGCGCGCTCGGGAGCCGGAGTGGCGGGGTCGGAGCTGCTGCAACGGCGCGAGTGGCCGCGAGGGGTGGTGCTGGGGCTCTCCAGAGAACGAGGCCACGGCGCGGCGCTCGCGGCGGCGCACGGGGCAGCTTTGAGCAGTGCAGCGCCTCAACAGCAGCTTCAAGCAGTGCAGCGCAACGCCAGCTACCTCTCCAGAGCTGCGCGGCGGCTGGCGGGCCTGTGGGAAAGGGCCGGGCCGCGTGCTCGGAACGCGCACTCGGCTCGCTTGCCGGTGGCCGAGTCAGTCTGGATGGCGAGAAGCGCCAAGGCCTGGCGGAGGAAGCGGCGCCGGAGGCGAGGGTGGCGGAGGCAACGGTCTCGGAGGCGACGGCGGAGGGGGTAGAGGCGCCGGTGGCGACGGCGGCGGCGGCACGGGCGGCGACAGGCCGACGGCCGCCATTTGTGCGGCGAGGGGGATTTCCGGTAAACCTTTTACGACTCCTCCCGGCAGAAGGCGGGCGCACTCGGGATTGGGATTCGCAGGGCGACGCACAAAAAATCAAGAGTCCCCAGAAACCCCGAGGAGTTACAGTGCCTGTTGTGCTCTGGGTTGTGATGCACGCCCTGCGAGCGGGGCGGAGTGCGCGCTGTGGTTCCTCTTTCTTGTCTGGTGTTCGTGCGTCGCCCATTCCTCTCTACATTGAAATGCCGGCTCTATTCTTGAGCACTTGAGCACTGGATAGGGTCGATTCCGCATGGTACGGGACCCCATGAACACCCCTGTGCATGCCGTCCGCCACACGTGGGCTGCCATCGGCATACCACAAGGCGCAAGCTCACCGAACGGCGGGAGGTGTACGCGACCCAGAGAAGAAATCGGGCCGTGTCGTGCTCTATTCAGTTATTTTGCCACAGAGTGTTTGATTTGGGAGAGAGAGAGATATTTTTGAAAACCAACAAGAAAATCACGACTCTCACGTGATTCGGCAGCTTGTCAATCTACAATCAGCCCCCAGCCGAAGCTGGGCGGCCGGTCCCGTAGCCGAGAGAGCCCGCGCCGATTCGACGCGGTCGAGGGGAGAGAGAGGCCTTGCGGGGAGAGGCCATGCAGCGAGTCCCGGCGATCGCTGTACTTGAGAGAGTGTTTGTCAAGGTACAAGGAGAAAAGAAAAGGAAAAAAAGTTAAGGGACCCTGCCGCATGACGGCATGTGTGCTCGACTTGGCTTGAGCACTTGAGCACTTGATAGGGTCGATCCCGCATGGTACGGGACCCCTCGATCGTCTCGCCCTCCCTCACTGGTGTGTTCATTGGGGGGGGTCATAACAAACACGGCTGACTTGGCTGAGCAAGGCCTGGGCGGCGGGTGAGGTTGTGGTGAGATGTGGTTGTCGGTGGAGACTTGTTCACACCGGTATGCTTTGCCCTTTTGGTGCTTCAAGTAGATAGACAGCTATGCTCTTAGTGGACTGTGGATGAAATAAAATGAAGAACAACGGACAGTTCCACTGTGAGATGGGTAAAAAGGAACAGGTCTCCGCCCGTGCGATCTTTGTGCAGGGTTCTTTGTGGGTGTGGTCGGCGACTAGCCAGGGTCGTCCTCCCGATGGGGGCACACTAGCCGTCTTCCACATGGTCCCTCGGGTCCCTGCTGCTCCTAATCTCTTCGTACATCCTCCTGCTGATCTCCGCAACGTCCTGCTCCCTCCCTCGTCTCGCCCTGCGCGTCTGCTCCCCACCATACCCGCGCCCCCCCAATTAGGGGAAAAAAAACACAGGGAGCCAGCCGTCCGACCGCCCTTCCAAGCCCGCCTCACGCGGGCAGTCAGCGCTGCTCCGCACCTGCCGCCGCCGCGCGCGCGCTCGCCCCGTGGGCGGGCGTGGACGATGAGCGAGCCGCGCTGCTTCAAGCGGGTGGGCCCCTACGACCTCTTCACCACCCTCGGCCAGGGCAGCTTTGCGATTGTCTACCGGGGCCAGCACCGGATAAGCAAGCGGACGGTCGCAGTCAAGGCGATCGTGCGCGCGCGGCTCAACCAGAAGCTACAGGCCAACCTCGAGGCGGAGATCTCGATCCTTCAGACGCTGCAGCACCCACACATCGTGCGGCTGCACGACGTGCAGACCACCGAGCGGCACGTCTACCTCGTGATGGAGCTGTGTCCCGGCGGCGACCTGCTGCGCGTCATCCGGTCGCAGGGCGCGCAGACCGAGGCGCAGACGCGCGGGTACATGCTGCAGCTCGTGCGCGGGCTCGCGTACCTGCGGGAGCACAACCTCGTGCACCGTGACCTCAAGCCGCAGAACCTGCTCCTCTCCTCGCACCTACCGGACGCGACGCTCAAGATCGCCGACTTTGGCTTCGCGCGCTACATGCAGCAGGCGGACCTGGCGGAGACGCTGTGCGGCTCGCCGCTCTACATGGCGCCCGAGATCCTCCGCTTCCACAAGTACGACGCCAAGGCTCGCGCCTCTAGGGTAGCCGTAGCAGCAGGTAGCATGCGCCTCTAGGGTAGCCGTAGCAGCAGGTAGCAGGTCAGCGACGGTTCTCACGCGTCTCTCCTCAGGACGCGTCTCTCCTCGGGGGGCGGCACTTCGGCAGACCCCGCCACGAGCCTTCTCGGCGCCCCCCCCCCCCCTAGGCGGACCTCTGGTCGGTCGGCACCATCGCCTTCGAGCTCCTCACAACGCGGCCGCCCTACACGGGCGCTCGCACCCCCCCCGCCTCCGCCACCAGCCGGAGACAGCCCCGACGGAGCCGCGGGCCGCCGCGCACAGGCGCAAACCACGTCCAGCTGCTCCAGCACATCGAGGCGTCCGAGGTGGAGCTGCCGGGCGGCATCTCGCAGGAGTGCGCCTCCTTGCTCCGCTCGCTGCTACGGCGCGACCCGACGCAGCGCCTCTCCTTTGGAAGCCTCTTCACCCACCCCTTCCTCTACCCTCCGGAGCTCAGCGGCGGCAGTCACGCGGCCGACCACGCCCCTCCCTCCCCCGCCCTCGCCCCCGCCCTCGCCCCCGCCCTCGCCGCACCTCTGGCGCCACCCGCCACCCTCTCGCCGCACCAGCAGCCCGCCACCGCCAGAGCACCCGCCGCGCCAGCCTCTCCGTCCACCTCCTCTGCCACCTCCTCTGCCGCCGCCTCTCTCGCCCGGCGGCGCTCGCCCGGCCACTCGCCGCTCCGATCGCCGTCGCCCTCTCCCTCGCCCTCTCCCTTCCCGCGCCCCGGCGCCGCACCCTTGCGGAGGGCCGCGCCCTCGTCGAGCGAGGCGCCGGCGGCGAGAGAGGCGGCGAGAGAGGCGGCGAGAGAGGCGGCTGCTTCGCCGCGCGAGCCTGGCCGCGACACGCCCCGCCTCTCTCCGGCAAGACGCCTCTCTCCGGCGGAGCAGCCCGCGTCTCAGCTGGCCGGGGCAGTGCCGCGAGAGGTGCCTGGAGCCGCGACATTGCCGGCCGCCATCCCTGGCTTCGCCCTGCCGGACGCTGTCGCCGCAGCCACCGCCTCTGCCTCCGCCTCCACCCCGCGGCCAAGAGCAGCCTGCGGGAGGGCTCCGCCCCTCCACCCGACCTGGTCGCCCGCCGGCAGCCGCCCTCCGAGCTCGCCCGCGCTCGGCGGAGGCGCCGGCAGCCACACGCCCCCCTCGCCAGCCTTCCCCGGCGGCGCCGCGCCGCCCTCTCCTGGCGTCGAGCCTCCCTCTCCTGGCGTCGAGCCGCCCTCGCCGAAGAACGGCCCCTTCGCGACCCGCAACGCCGCCGCGCTTCCGACGCCGACGCCGCGCCAGAGCGCCGCCTCGCCCACCGCTGCCCTGCTTGCAACTTCGCCGCCCAGCCACCCGGCGCTTGCCTCTCCCGCCCTGCCCGTCGACCTGCCAGACCTGACGCTGCCATCGCCGTCGGCGACGGCCGCGCCGGCGCGGACTGGCGGCGCCGGGTCTGCCCGTTCGCTGCTGGCCAACGCTCCGCGGTGTGCGCCGCACCACTTGCAAGCGCGAGACTCCGGGGCCTCTCCCTCCCACGACTTCGCCGCGGCGCCGCGCCGCGGCGCCGCCGTTCTCGCGCCGCAGCTACAGCCGCCGCACGCGCCGCACCCGTCGAATCTTCCGCACCCTTCGCTCTCGCCGTCGCCCTCGCCCTCCCTCGCGCCGCACCTCCCCTCGCACTCTGGCGCTGCGCTGCCGGCGCTCGCGACTCGACGGCAAGTGCTTCCGGTTGCGGTGCGATACATCGCACACCACTCCCGCGCTCGGACGCACCCCCTCGCCCCTCGCGCCCTCGCGCCCCCCGCTCACGCACTTGCGGGCCAGTCCAGGTGCCGCCCCCCCTCGCGGTGTACGACAAGTCCCTGGACGGTCCAGACAACGAGTGAGAACCCTCCCTAACCCTAACAAGTCCCTGGACGGTCCAGACAACGAGTGAGAACCCAAACCCTACCCAACCCTAACCCTAACAAGTCCCTGGACGGTCCAGACAACGAGTGAGACTCCGCCGAGCCCCCGCCCTACCGCCACCTAGCCCTAACCCTAACCCTAGCCACACCCCTAATCCTAGCCCTAACCCTACCGCCACAGCCCTGAAGCCCCGTCCGCCACCTGCAGCCCTTCAGCCACACCCCTGCAGCCACCGCCCCACCGCCACAGCCCTGTAGCCCCTTCTTCCGCCACCACCCCTCTGCTGCCCCACAACCCCTCCGCGGGAGAGGCGCCTCTACCAGGCGAAGCCCCTCCCCCACCAGGTACGTACTCGTCAGCCAGCCCTCCTGCACGCGCGCCGCCGCTGCAGCCGCGGCCGCCGCGGCCGCCGCGGCTGCCGCCGCCGCCGCCGCCGGTTCCGGAGGCGAAGACGCCACGCTCCGGACGTCGGACGGGCGCCGGGGGCGCGGCTCGCTACAGCCGCCGGCCACCGGCGACCCAGCTTGGCTGGCTGCGACAGCGCCCGGGCCGAAGCCGGCGTCAGAGTCGCAGCAGCAGCTGCTCTTCCAGGCGCAGCAGGCGCAGCGGCATCAGCAGGCACAGCAGCAGCAGCAGCAGCAAGCGGCGCAGGCGCAGGCGCAGGCGGAGGAGCAGCAGCAGCAGCAGCAGCAGCAGCAGGCGCAGCAGCACCGGCAGCAGCTCCTGGCGGGTCGCGCATTTGCCGTGGCAGAGCTGGCGGCGCAGTCTGTGGACGGCGGCCTCTCTTCCACCGGGGAGTCGTTCTCTCTCGTCGAGGCGCCGCACAGAGAGGAGGCGCATGGCGCCGCTCGGAGAGCCCTCTCACCCTCCCCCCCCCCCCCCCGCCACCAGGACCCGCCTTCCCTTCAAAGGCGCTCGCGCTGCACGTCAAGGCGCTCGACTTGACGCAGCAGGCGATGCAGCTCGCGCCGTCTCAGGCGCCGACCGCGGCAGGCGGTAGCGAGGCCCTGGCCCCGCGCGACGAGGCGCACGAGGACGTGATGCGCGAGCGCTTCTCGACGCTGCTCGAGCGAGCAGAGTGGATCCGGCAGCAGCTTCGCCTGACGGCGAGTGAGGCGTCGCGCGGCGGCGCGACGACGGCGTGCGTCGAGGAGCTCCTCTACCGGCACGCGCTCGGGATGGGGCGGGAGGCGGCGGTGGACGAGATGGTGGGCAAGTGGGCGGCGAGCCGCGCGCTCTACCAGCGGGCCAAGCTGCTGCTCGAGCAGCTCGCCGAGGAGCCGCTCGTCGGCGCCGCCGACCGCGCCGTGCTGAGCAAGTACGCCGCGGGCTTCGCTTGGCGGCTGAGGGAGATTGAGGAGCAGCTCGCCGAGGAGCGAGGAGGCGACTGACGCCCGGGCTCACGGGTTGGGCGGGGAGGCACTAAGCGGCAATCGCTCTTCGCCCGGACCGCCCGCGTGTTGGTGTCCGTTTGGGGGGCGCGGCTGAGCCGGGTGCGCCCCCGCGGCCCTTGTTCATCGATCTCGGCGCTCGGCGCGTGTGCTGAACTCTCTCATTTATGTGGAGCATGATGAGGCGCGTGGGTACTTTCGCTGTCGGCGGCTCGGAGCACTTGGAGTGCGGTTTTTAGTAGCGAGCCGAGCTCGACGAGAGAGAGCCACAGAGGATCCGCCTAAAAGAGAGTCCTCTATATATACGAAAAGACGGTCTCGCACGTGAGCTTTAAGTCAAAGTCTCTGTGTGATTTCACATGTTGTGCTTGATTTTGACGTGTGGCTGTGGGGCAGTGGGGGGCACGCTATACGCTCAAACACAGGTGGCGCCGGCTCTTTTTCCCCACACCCCTTCTCCCCGGTCCCCGCATTCGGTCGCGTATCGCGAGGATCAGCCATGGGATCAGCCGATCGATCGCGTCACCACGCTGCGGTCGGCTACATCTGGCTACACACCCGGCGACCCGGCACCCGGCCTGGGTGTGTGAGAGACTGTCTTTGTATGGTCTGTGTCGTTTTGCTGCGCGCGGCGGCCCGGCGGCGCCCCCCTTGGCCTGTCCCCCCCGCCCCGCTTTTCCTTTTGTTGCACATGGGGGTCAATCTCACTCAGAGTCAGACTCACGACAGATAGAGATCGAGATAGGAACTCCTCCGTTCTGTTCCTTTCCTTCTTTCCTGTCAGTCGAACCTGTCTGTGAGACGGAGAGTTGTGTTTTCTTTTGATTTCGCTCGGGGGCGTTCCGGCGAGGGCATGTGGAGGGGGAGAGGAAGAGACTAGGGAAGAGAGCAAGGGCGAGAGGGGGCAGGGCCAGGGGACAGGTGAAGGGACAGGTGTGGTCGCCTGGCATTCTGGCATACTAGAGGGGCAGGGTAGTGGGCGGCGACCACCGCGTGCCGTCCCACGGCGGCGAGTAGCGCTACGCCAGCGCAGGGAGGACAATCAAGGACGTCGACGTTCAGCTGCTGTTGTTCGGTCGTTCGGTGGGTTCGGGAAGGGGGTCGGCGAGATCCTCTGGAAGGCGGCGAACGTGCTGCCGAGAACAAGCTGACGCGGGCCCAGACCCCAGAGCCCAGTACCTCGACGAATAAATAAATAAATAAAACGGTCAAACTCTGAGACGAGATGGGATTTAGGGACATGTGTCCCCGCCCTGCACGATCTTGGTGTGAGGGATCTTCAATCCCCGTGTCCCCTCACCCCTCGTCACACCTCGACGAGGTGACTTGGACCACCAAGATTTGGCTAGGCAGCCTGCAGAAGCACAGCGTATCTCGGTCGTTCTTCACACGGCCATCCATGGCATATTGTTTTTTGTTGTCGCAGAGCAACTCGGTCGCGCCTCAATTCTTTTTCGCAGTACTGTGCGAGAGCTTATTGAATTCTTTTTCGCAGGTTTGCCTGGGGGCAGGGGCGGCTCAGGATCACAGACATCCCTCTCAGGATCACAGCACCGGCGGGGGCGCGCCTCAGGGGCGCGCCTCAGGATCAAGCACCCACGGCAGGGTCTGTGAGGATCAGCAGACCTGGAGGGGGCGCGCTGAGGATCATAGGCCTGAGAGGGGTGCTGTCAAGATCACAGGGCTGCAAAGGGTGGCACTCGAGATCAGAACCACAAAATAGGTGCAATACAGATCAGCGGCCGGAAGTGTGGGCGCAGATCACGAGCGCCGGAACGGGTGCAATATAGATCATGAGGGTTTTGTGGTCTGTGCGCGGACGGCCCGGGGAGCCTGCGGCGCTATTTTAACCTGCCCCGACAGAGTCTCTCGATACGGCGCGCGGCGGCGCCGCACACAGCAAGCTGGGGCCGCTCCTTACGGACTCGTCGCTGCGCTCCTCAAGGCAAACACGGAGCGCGCTGCGCGCGCGGTCTACGCCGAATACTGGGCCGCCGTCACGACTGCCATCCTCGGCGGCGCCGAGCGCGCGAGCGGCGCCGATGACCAGCCCGGCGCCACCTCCCAGCGACAAGCGCACTGTGATAGTGCTAGCACGCGCCAGTCCACAGCCACCTATAAATAAATAAAACGGTCAAACTCTGAGACGAGATGGGATTTAGGGACATGTGTCCCCGCCCTGCACGATCTTGGTGTGAGGGATCTTCAATCCGTGTCCCCTCACCCCTCGTCACAACCCGACACGGAAGAGCGGCAAAAGAGTTGGGGCTGCGGCTAGGGCTGCGGCTACGAGAGCGGAGAGGGGCCGGGGTCGCGGGAGAGCCGCTGCGCCGCGTGGACGCGCCTACACCGCTCTTGCTCCGCTCGCCACCTCTCGCAAAGGTCCAAAGCCATAGCCACCACCTCCTCCGGCAAGTCCTTTCGCCGTATCTCGCCGTCCCTCCACGCCTGGAAGAGCTCGTCGTCATAGCCGCGTATTGCATCACAGCCCCGCAGCCACCTGTGTCAAGCCTGTCTATAAATAAAAGGACACGCCAACGAGGGGTGGGAGAAGGACAGGGTCCCCACCTGCACGAGCAGGATCTTTGTAAGGGCGATCAGGGACACAGGGGAACGGGAGCGGGGAGCGCATCGCGACACGGAGGGGGGCTGGGCAGGGTTCACCCACACGACAGGCGAGGGTCCCAGGGATTCCTCTCTCGTATAGGACAGGTTGCACCCGACGGCACGGGGGCAGGCGCGGGCCTCCTACTGGTTGCGCTCTCCTAGTTCTCCTCTGCTCCTGACAAAAGGGACAGCGACAGGTTCGCAGCACGGTGGACTCCCTATTCCACTGGCGATCTCTCTCGACTAGCGACCTTCCTCCGGCTTCTCACTGGCAGTCTCTCACTACCACGGGCACTCTGACAGGGGCGGCCGAGGCACACGCCGTGCGTGGGTGGCAGGAGCGGTGATAGCTGATAGGAGTCTGTCTCCCACTCTGTGGGCTTGGCTAGATAGATCCTAGAGGCGCGGCCTGCGCATGCCCTCGTCCTTGAGATCTTGAAGGGGAAGGGGAGGGGCTGTGTGTCTGTGCATGTGTGCGCTGGTGTCGGGAGTTCTTTTTCGCCAGTGCGCGCCAGTCCCGTGCCCAGTGTTGTGCGAGGGAGCTTGGTTGTAAAATTCTTTTTCGCACAACACTGGGCACAGGACTGGGCACTGGACTGGCGCGCACTGGCACTAACACAGGTACACCGGGGGTGTAAAATTCTTTTTCGCCCTCTGCACACTCTTGCTCTCGGCGCGGCAGCGTTGTCGACAGCAGCGAGAGAGAAACGCCATGCAGGGCATTGCCGCAACCGGCACGACACGCACGGAGGCGCTGCGCAAGCGCAGATCCGGCTCCGCGGCCGAGCCGGAGCCCGAAGCCGCCTCGTCGCACATCGCAAGTGTCGTGAAGTCGCTCGACGTGTACCCAAAGACGCTCGACGACTTCAAGGTGTGCACCACTCGACACACGCGGCGCACTCGCTTCTCTCCGCGTCCCGCGCCGCGCGGCGGTGCTGAGGACGTCGCCACCACCGAACCCGCTCCCCTCGCTCTGCTGTCTTAGGAGCGCACCGGCTCGGGCGCGGCAGTCTCGGTGGTGTCGCTGTCCATCATATTTCTGCTGGTCATCTCGGAGTTCTACGCGTACTTGACGCCGACGACCACCGATCACCTCTATGTTGACACCAGCCGAGGCGCGGGACCGCCCTCCGCCCGCCGCACTCACACTCTGCACCTCCTCGCCTTTGCTGCACGTCCGCCGCCGCACGCCTCCGCCACGCACGCCTCAGCGAGCAGGCGAGCGGATACGAGTCAACCTGAACCTCACCTTCCCAAACATGCCGTGCGCCGGCATGAGCCTCGTGGCGATGGACGTCGCGGGTGCGGCAGCGGCGGCGGCGGGCAGTCGGCGGCTCCGAGACTGAGGCGTCTCTCTCCTCCCCTCCAGGCGAGCAGCAGATTGACGTGGTGAGCAACATCATCAAGACGCGCCGCCGGCTCGACGGCTCGAAGATCGGCGTCGAGCTCGACGACGCGCACTTGCGGCGGCAGATGGCTGGCAAGTGCGGCAGCTGCTTCCAGAAGCGCGCGACAAGCGGGGGGGGGGGGTCGTCGCTCGGCGGAGCAGGTCGGTGAGGGGGGGAAGGAGCTTTGCTGTGTAGGCGCGACGAGATGCCGGAGGCGGAGGGGCAGTGCTGCAACTCGTGCGCCGACGTGCAGTCGGTGTACCGCGCGAAGGCGCCGCGTGAGGCGGGTTAGGGTTAGGGTTAGGGTGAGGGTTAGGGTTAGGGTTAGGGTGAGGGTTAGGGTTAGGGTTAGGGTGAGGGTTTGGGTTAGGGTGAGGGTGAGGGTTAGGGTGAGGGTGAGGGTGAGGGTGAGGGTGAGGGTTAGGGTGAGGGTTAGGGTTAGGGTTAGGGTGAGGGTGAGGGTGAGGGTTAGGGTTAGGGTTAGGGTGAGGGTGAGGGTTGGGGTGAGGGTTAGGGTTAGGGTTAGGGTTAGGGTTAGGGTTAGGGTTGGCCGCGTGAGGCGGGCCGAGGGGGCGAGTCGTCCCCCGCCTCTGACTCCTCCCACCGCCGCGCCAGGCGCTCAAGCGGTTGGTGTGGGAGGACCACCCGCTCTGCCAGCACGAGGCGAGGGCCGCGCCAGCCGCCCCTGCTCTCCCCCCTCCTCCTCCCCTTCCGACCCCCTCTCGCCCCGGCCTGCGATGCTGCTCGAGCTTGCGCTGTTGACTGGTACTCTCACCATTCACCAACAGGCGATGCTGCTCGAGCCGGCCCGGCTCGCGTCCATCCACGAGGGCTGCAACCTGTTTGGCTTCCTCGAGGTCAACAAGGTCGCGGGCAATGTCCACCTCGCGCCGGGCAAGGCCTTTCAGTCCGCGCAGGGCAGCTCGCGCACCGGCCTCCCTCGGCGGAGGATCGCGGCGGCACACCCTTCCCCCCCCCGTGAGCAGGCCAGCTCGTCCACGAGTTCAAGCCCTTCGACTCGCACGGCCGCCGCGCGAGTGCTCTCGCCGCCGTCGCTTGTCGACGCCGCAGTCAGCTCGAGACACGCCCGGTCGTAGGCTACAACATCTCGCACGTCATCCACTCCCTCTCCTTCGGAGTCCACTACCCAGGCGCACTATTATTATTATTATTATTATTTATCCCTCTCCTTCGGAGTCCACTACCCAGGCGCACCACACCCTCCGCCCTATATATGTATATCCACTCCCTCTCCTTCGGAGTCCACTACCCTGGCGCACCACACCCTCCGCCCTATATATGTATATCCACTCCCTCTCCTTCGGAGTCCACTACCCAGGCGCACCACACCCTCCTGACCCTAACCCTAACCCTAACCCTAGTCCACTACCCAGGCGCACCACACCCTCCGCCCTGTCAGCCGCCGCCCGGCGCGAGGAGCAGGCCGCCAGTCTAACCCGAACCCGAACCTAACCCTAGGCCGCCAGTCGCCCCTCGACGAGTCGACCATGATTCTGCACAACGGGTCCGGCGTCTTCCAGTACTACCTCAAGGTAGTCCCCACCACGTACGTCTTTGCGTCGGGCCGCAACCTCACGTCGTGCCAGTGCGCCGCGCAGCAGGGGCACGTCGGCAGAGGACGCGGCCAAGACGCGTCCCGACGGCCCGCCCAGGTACTCTGTCACCGAGCAGTTCAAGTCGGCGCACGACCCGCGGAACGGCTTCGTGCTGCCCGGCGCACTCTTCGCCCCCGCCGACGCGAGCCGCGAGGAGCGCCTCCTCAGCCCGCCCCCCCTATAAGCAGGCGTCTTCTTCATCTACGACATCTCGCCCATCATGGTCACTTTCCGCGAGGAGCGCCCCGCCTTTTCGTACTTTCTCACCTCCCTCTGCGCCATCGTCGGTGGCGTCTTCACCGTCGCCGGGATCGTCGACTCGTGCATCTACTCGGCATCCGGCGGGCCCGGCCTCAAAATGTGAGCCATTCGGAGCGTGCGTGAGAGCGGGCCATGGTAGCGGGGGCGGGGCGCAGGCGAGCTCGTTTGCGTGTTGCAGGCCGCGTGAGACGGTGTCGAGAGATATTACAGATATCCGGCTGGCCACCCCAATGTGGCAGACCGTGCGCTGCAGCGCTGGCGGCGGCGCGCGCTGTGCCAGGACGACCGAGCTGACTCGTCTATCGGCCTTTGCTTCGCCGCCACACACCATTATATGTGGTTATAGAAAGCCGTACTATAGAAAGGGCCCACACTCAAAAACGAAAAAGTGTTCCTATTCCCATTACACACTGACATGTGCGACTCAGCTCAGCCCACCACACCAGTGCTGCCAGTCCACACTGTGCACAAAAGCAGCTCTCGTATCTCTCCCGGCTCTCGCTCGTCGCTCGCTCGCCTCTCGGTCTCGCCTCGCTCTCCCTGACCCTCTCCTGCCTACACATACACACCACATCAGCCTCCGCACCTAAAGAGGCCCTCAGGGCAAATCGTCGATCGACTTCTTGGGGGGTAGGCTGCTCGGCTTCTTATTCTTCTGGTAGATCCCCCCGCTTTGGACCCAGCTAGTCGACTTGGCTGGTGGCGACACGACCGTCGGCGAGGCGACCTACAGAAGCAGCGCAAAACCGTCTGAGAACTGCAACCTGAGCCGGTGCCGCCGGGATTGCTGCGCTGCCTGCTCGTACTTTTGTGCCAGGCCCTTTGTGGAGTTGGGCTTAGGCTCGGGCGGCTTCCCAAAGTTAAGCGTCTTCTTCTTGATGCTCGTCGGCGAGACCTGCTTTGGCGTCTCGGCCGCCGGCGAGTCGTACTGCTCGCGAAGAGCTTTCGTGATGGGGGAGGTCGGGAAGCCAGGTTCCTATCGACGAGATACACTCGGGGTTGTGGACAGACGTTAAATGGTAGGCGAGTGCTAAGGGTCCAGCATACCTGCTTGACGGCTTCGTAAGTCGACGACTTCCGCAGCAGCTCCGGAGTGCCTAGGGGCACACATCCCTGGAATGAGCGCGAGGGACTGCGCGTGTCGCGCAATCACGAAACAGCAGATCGACGCGCGCTCCAACACCTCATCCCCCACCAGCCGCACCTGTGGCCACTATGCAACGGCACGGGCCAAGAGGGGGAGCGCGCCTTGCGGTGTGCCCTGCTCAGACAGGGTGAAGGTGGCAGGAATGGAGACCTTACCAACCGAAGGCTCCTCGGCGGCGTGGGTAGCCGGCGCCACTGCTGGCCCAAAGCACTTGCACAGCCGCAGCATATCCGGGTGAAAAGCGCGCGGCCGGGTTTGGGGTGGCGCGTACCAGCTCAGCGGGCAAATCTTTTGATTGTAACCGATATTTTTGAAAAGAAAAAACCGTTATCCGTATCTGCCCTTTACAAGCTAAAGAGTGTGTTTACGAATTACTTCTTTTGCTTCGATTTTTTGGCGCGTGATGCCTAGCGGAATTTTACTCACGAACCCTTGACGGCTCGCACGCGTTGATGTCGAGCTGCAGCGTCGGTCTTTGTAACCAGCGGTCAGGATGCCATCCGGGGACATGCTGTCAGCGGAGGTTCGAGCAGAGGCTGCACGGCGGTGCCTACAACCGCACCTTGTACACGCAGCATCACACCGAGCCTCCCGCACTGCTGCTGCTGTACCACATTGAGAAGACCGGCGGGACGTCGGTCATGACGTGGCTGGAGCAAAACATCGTGCGCAAGACACCGCGCCTCGACGCCGTCGTGCCGTACCAAGAGTCGGCCGCCTTCATATGTGCAAGCTTCGGCGGCCTCCTCGGCCGCAGCTGCCGAGATGGGATGGGCCGGGGCCTAACCATCTGCGATCGCCATGCCGCGACGCCTCACGCCTCGCCGCTGCGGGCTCGAATCGCTGTCGAGTTTCACGCGATGGGATGGATGGCATTCTTCCTCGAGACGGTCGCGCCCGCCTTGCCTCGGCTTCGAGAGGTGTACGCCGCCGCCGGGGGCAAGGTGCTGACCGCCACGGTGGTCCGGGAGCCGCTCTCGCACATCTTCTCCGCCTACAGGATGTGGCCTCCGCAGGGCTTCCCCGGCGACTTCATGGGCTGGGCTGAGGGCGTCGAGGCGGCGCAGGCGGGCCTGCTGGTGACGGAGCGGGCCGGCGTGCTGCACACGCGCTTCAGCCCGAGGCGGCGCGGGATGCACTCCTCGGACGTGACGCTTGGCCGCCGCTGTTCGATCTTGCCCGAGGCTCGCGCGCGGCTCAGTACGTTTGACGTGGTTGGCGTGACCTCCTGCCTCGCATCCTTCCTGCGAGCCGTCGAGACGGGGCTGCGACTTCAGCCGGCGATCTGCAGGTCGACGCAGCAGTATAGCCTCTCGCCGGGAGGGGGCCTCGTCTGCACAGACAGGAGGGCGGCGAGCTGGAGATCTCGCGGCCTCCAAGACCCGCCGCTCAACTACTCGCTGCGCAACGTGCCGAGCACGACGCTTACTGGCCCGCGCCTGCGCCCGGCGAGCCTGCGCGCGGCCCAGCGCGCGAGGATCGAGGAGATCACCAGGTGCGACGCGCAGCTCTACGCTGACGCGGTGGCGCTCGCCGTGAGGAACGTGGGCCCGGAGGCTCCCACCTGTCAGCCGGCGCGATGGAGTTGGCCTGTCGAGTGAGCCGATCGTTGAAGTGGGATTGATTAGTTGAATTAGTCTACTCCACTCCGTTTTCGGGTAGTACCTGTGTTGAGTACTTCGAGCACTTGCGACTTGGAGTGCGGTCATCAACCTCACCCTCACACCATGGCCAAAGAATGTAAGCAAGCGGTGTACTAAAGCGTAAAGCTAGAGCTGGGTCGAGGACAGACCACATCAGGGCCAGCGTCGAGGGCGCCAGCGAGCCGGGCTTGGAGCACTTGGAGTGTAGAGTTCACTTTGTAAGAAAGAAAGAAAGAAAACAGACAACCCATGGGAGGACGGCACGCCGCCACCACACAGGGATTTTAAGGAGAGGTGTGTGGTGCGCTAGCCGTCGCCCGCCACCCTAGGGAGTCTGCCTCTTCCTATCTCTCTTCGCAGTCTCTCGCCGCTTCTCGCTGCAACCTTCATGCACTTTGTAATAAATAAATAGAGCAGTCATCTCCCGTAGAGATGGGCGACGCACAAACACAGAGGCACAGTGCGCACCCCGCCCCGCTCACAGGGCGTGCATCACACAGGTGACTGCTGTGTGACTCCTCGGGTGGGGACTCTTGACAGAGGTGTGCTAGTCACTATAGTCGGACGGTTCCGACATGTCCGGCGGGCAGTTCGGGCTCAAGTGATGCACTTTGTAGCATTTGGAGCACTCACTCGACGAATTCTTCTGCGTACAGCAGGCGCAGCGGCGGTACACCGTCGGCATACACCATCGCAACTGGCTCGCCCTCGCCGACGCCTTCGTCAGCGAGGCATCCCGGCGGGGCGGCCGCTACAAGACTGGCAGGTGCAAGAACCACAAGTGCTGGCGCGAGGCGATTCGGTTCGTCGCAGTCAGCCAGGAGGGGGCTGGCGCCTTCCTGAATGCGATCCCCATGCGGGATGATATGAAGATGGAGACGTGGGCGATGCGCATTACAGTTCAGCGCCGCCTCGGCCTCCCGCTCGATGTTGCCTGCCAGGCGGTGGAGGCGGGCAAGAAGGCGCCAAACGGCAAGCCGCACGAAGAACTCGGCGATGCCGCAATGGTCAACCCGCGTGCGAAGCATGCGACACGACACAAATACCTGCTCAAACGACTCGTCAAGACCCTTCGCTCGGCGTGGGGCATGCTCATCGAGATGGAGCCGACTGCACACCTCAGTTACAGTAACCCAAAACAACCTGACGTGGCGGCGGCGAACATCGGCAAAGGGCATGTGCGCCTCGTTGGCGACTTGAAACTCACGAGCTCGCTTACGTGCAAGGGTGGCGATCGGCTCGGCTGGAAGGGGGCTTTTGTCGCCTTCGGCAACACCGAGCGGGCGCTGCTCGACTTAGTGTTAGGGCATGCTGCATGGCCGCGGCCGGAGGGGGGGGGGGAGGGGGGGAGGGAGGCGGAGGATGCAGAGGCGGAGGCGGCGGCGGCGGAAGAGGAGGAGGGGGAGAGTGAGGGGGAGGCGGAGGCGGGGGCACCTGTGACGGCCCCCTACAAGAAGGGCGACTACCGGTTCGCGCGGGAGAAGAATTGCGACCTGCGTTTGCTCGACTTCGAGACGTTCGGCGGCTTCGGGGACGGCGTCCGCAGAATTCTTCGGCAGGCGGCGGACCAGCTGAGTAACAAACTTTCGCACGCTCAGCACCTCGATGAGGTCACATGGACCACCAAGAACTGGCACGGGCTGCAGATGCAGCGCTTGTCTGTCGTTCTCCACACCGCCGTGGCGTGGCAGACGGTGAACGAGCTAGCGTGCGGGGACAGCGGCATTGTGCACGGAGCGAAGTGCATTGCCGTTCTTAACGGAGTCGCTTAGGCGGCTCCGGTGGTGTGCCGGTGATAGTACTAGCACGCGCCAGTTCGCACCTGTGTCGAGCCTGTGTGCTGTGAGATAGAGTTGCGTTGTTTAAATTCTTCTGCGGTGAGGGCTGCTTGTGGCGTGTTCATGGCGCCACTGGTCGGCAAGGTCGTGCGCGTCATTGGAACGCAGCGCGCCGACCTCAACGGGCAGGAGGGGCGCGTCGAGTCCTTCAATGACGCCACCGGCCGCTACAACGTGATCCTGCGCTCGGGCGAGCTGGTCGCACTGCTCCCGGCCCGCTGCCAGCCCACCGCAGGCGGAGGAGGAGAACGAGCCGGCGGTGGCCGTCAAGGCTTTGACGTCCGGGGCCTCGCAAGGTCGCTACCTCCTCCGCACCAGCTCGCGGCAGGCCTGGCGGCCGTGCTCTGCCTGGTGTCGGGATGGTCGATGGGCAATGCGGCGCTCGCAGCCCTCGTCCTCTTTGTGGTGATGACCGCGGTGCGCGACCCGGGCGGGCCTCTCGCGGCGGCGCGGTCTGCGGCGAATGCTGCCGCGGACTCGATGGAGCGTGTCACGGGTCAGCGCTTCACTCCTGCGCAAGTCACCTGCCTCCTGCTCAGCACCGCCGCATTCGCGTACTACTTTTGGCTCGCGCCGGCCGCGACAAGCGGTTACGGGGGGCGCGGCAGTGGCTACCGCGAGCGGGGCGGCTACGACAGCGGCGGAGACCGACGCACAACCTATGGCGCGCGGCGTCGAGGCAGCGACAGCGGCGGCTGGTCCGGCGATGGGTACGGCGGATTCAGTTCGTCGAGCTGGGACCTCGGTTACCTCCTCTCTGCCGGGGTGCTGGGCCGCATGGTGTGGAGTCTCGGCGGTGGAGGCACGGCCGCCGGCGGCTCCGAGCTCGGGCGAGCGAGCCCTGGCTGAGCTGAGCCTCTGCGGTCGCAATGCAGCGCTGCGGTCGGTGCAGAGTGGCCGTGTGCGTACGGCGTCGTACGCGCACGGCCGCTCTGCCTCAGTGTCGTGCGGCTTGGGCCAACTGAGGTCGCTCTCCGACCTCGCTCGCCGAGCTCACAATCCGGCGCGAGCCGCATCGAGTGGAAGTTCGACTTCAGCTCCCGCGAGTGGATGCACTGCCTTGTCGAGTGCAAGCAGTTGGGCTCCGCCGGGAGCATGTGGTGCAACATGTTCTCTGGGCGCCAGCAGACGCGAGCGCGCAAGCGCGTGTTGAACCGGACGCTCCATAGCAACACTCAAGATACACTCCAAGGGGGGCACACGTTTTTTTTATTCGGGTTTCGTGGGTTATAGTGCACTATGACCGACGAAACCGAAGCGGGTTGGCCCCGGGGTGGTTTCACTGCGTGCATACTGCCAGCGCTGTGTCGTTGCGTGTAGCTGTACCGTGTTGGGTGCAGAGGCCAGAGCGGTTTGTGCACACTGCACACCTCTACTACTGCTGCTGCTGCTCCTGCTTGAAAAAAGAAATAATAAATAAAACCGACAACCCGTTCCTTTTGCCCATCTCACAGACACAGTAGCGTTAGAGGTGTCCGTTTTTATTTATATTTACAACCCAAGCGAGGATGAAAGGACGGCACGCCGGCAAGGGATTTTACTAGGGATTCTGATTTCGCCTTGGGGGATGCCGTTTGATACTGCGGTGGTGTAATGCACCGTCAACCTGTTATTTTTCGCGGCCTCGCTGGGCTCTCGCCTGGCCTCCACTTCCCCTCCCGCGCTCCCGAGTATGCAAGACAGTTGGAATGTTCCCGCCACGCCGGGCCTGAATTCGTTCAGCGAGGACGATTGCAGCATGCCCGCCGTTGACGAGTGGCGCCCGCGGCCGCGGCGCCCACTCGCCCACCCGCAGCGCTGCGACGGCTCCACAGTCGCTCTATTTGCGTACGCAGCGGCCCCGCCGCGCAGTTCCACGCCTGCGGGCGCGAGGGCCGCGTCGCTGCGACAGGACGACGACGGGCGTGCTCGCTTCTCCGGTCGACTCCGCTATTACCTGCCCGAGGGCTGGTGCTCGTCGTACAAGTTCACCGTCTTTGAGCGCTCTTACGTGGTGCAGCTGGACTCGCACGGCAGCGAGCAGTTCTGCCTCGCCCGCCCGGTCACCGCCAGCCTCGCCGACGCCGCGCGCGACTTTGAGCTCGTGTGGCCGGCGCGGCAGCGCCCTCCTCTCTCCCCCCCCCGAACCTCTCCGCCTCTCCGGCCCTCTCTGGTCCGTGGCCCAGAGCACCGTCCCTCTCCTCTCTTCCGCAGGTGCCTCTCGAGCCCAGCATCTTGGACGCCGTGGCGCACGCTTGCGACGCCAGACAGGAGCCCACGCCGCCCACTCTCCAGTGCACGGCAGCTGCGCACGCCCGCGCCGCCCGCGCACCCCGCACCCCGCGCCCCACGCTCGCCCTCTCCCCTCCTGCTCGCCTACAGGCGACCAAGCGAAAGCCGGAATCTGCAGCCGCGGCGGAGCTGGCGAGTCGCCCCCCCCCCCCCCCCCCCAACCACCCAAAATGAGATCCCCTCCTCACCCCCCCCCCCCCCCCCTGGCCCTCTCCCCTGACCCTCTCCTCACGCCCCCGCGTCCGGTGGCGGCAGGGGGCACTGTCGAGCATGCACACCAAACTGCGACGGCTCTCCGTGGCGAGCCATGGGCCGCAACCACCGCAGCTGCACCCGCAGCCGCCACAGCCGCAGCACCACGTGGCTCGTGGCATGTGGCACGTACCCGGCAACGCGCTGCAGTGATCTATCTATTAAGAGCGCGCCGAGGCGCTGTCTCCTCCTGCGCAGCCGTATACGTCGATCGTCGTCCCTTGCGATACGATACAAGAAAGAAAAAGCAAAACGCTCACACCTTGCGCTAGGGCTGGCGGAGAGGACAAGACACACACACACACGCGCGAGAGACAGAGTCAGAGACACGAGATTAATAAATAAATAAATAAAACGGACATCCCAAGCTAGGGCTGGGTCGAGGACAGACACGTCCCCACCTTTGCAGGAATTTGCAAAAGCGAGGGGGGAGGGCGGCGCATCGCCGCGCGGAGAGGGCTGGGCACAGGGCACACAGGGGATCCTCTCTCGCACATAGGATATGCACTCGGCGGCACGAGGGCAGGGCTGGGCGTCCTATTTGTGCTCCCCCCTGGACCCCTCGCTCTCTGGCACTATCCATCTGACCACTCATCTCGTCATCTGCGGGGCTTGGCGAGCGGCCGCGCTGCGGGGCAGGGCTGGTGAGAATGGGCTCTGGCCACTCGCCCGTGCGGGTGTAACCGCGCATCAGTCGACACGAGATTGACAACGAACCCAAATGCACATTTCCGCAAATTCTTTTCGGAGTGCTAGCACGCGCCAGTTCGCACCTGTGTCGAGCCTGTCTGCTGTGAGAGAGAGTTGTACTTGGTTTTTTCAATTCTTTTTTTGCTTGGGGCGGACAGCATGACGGGGTAGGTAGGGTAGGTCTGGGCCCTCCCGTCGGGTTTTGCTTGGGGCGGACAGCATGACGGGGTAGGTAGGGTAGGTCTGGGCCCTCCCGTCGGGTTTTTCCTCTCTTCGCGCCGGAATTTTCACAGCAGAAAAAGAAATTTTCCGCGGAAATCACAAAAACGTTAGAGTTGTTTGGTATTGCTAAAAATCTCTCCGAAATCACGATGTCAACCCTCCCCAAGTGGGTGATCTGATGCTTGTGTGGCCTTGAGAGTGGCCTGCCATGCCACAGGAAGGACTGTGGTTGCAGCAGGAGAGTACCACCAGCCATCACTTTAGTTGGTATAGTAAAGAAAGAAAGAAAGAAAACAGACAACCCAAGGGAGGGATGGGAGGACGGCACGCCGCCACCACACAGGGATTTTAAGGAGAGGTGTGTGATGCGCTAGCCGTCGCCCACCCTAGGGAGTCTGCCTCTTCCTATCTCTTTTCGCAGTCTCTCGCCGCTTCTCGCTGCAACCTTCATGCCACCTCGCGGTCGTCCCACTCTCGTCGTTCTCTCCCTTGTCACTTCCTCCTCTGTCGCGTCGTTCTCTTCTGCCTCGTCCTGCGGCGCCGCCGCCTGCCGGTCCCTTGTTCTCGCGGCTTCTTTGAGAGAGAGAGAGACCGCTCCTCCGACTCCTCCTCCTCCGACCAAGACTCATGCGGCTCCGGCTCCACTAGCGAGGCGAATGACATATTTTGACCCCAGACAAGGTTATGAGAGCGGCCATAACAGGTGTTATGGCTGTTATGGCTGGCTGCTCATAACACCCCATAACACCTCATAACACCTCATAACACCTCCATCGCTGTTATGGCTGTTATGCCCACCCTACCATAACACCTCATAAAACACCTCATAACACCTCATAACACTCATAACACATCCCACTGGTTGTTATGACAGCCAGCATAACAACCTCATAACAGCTGTTATGACTTATGTGTCCCACGGATTTTTCTTTTGGAGCCCCGCCGCGCGCATCCCGGCTTGACGGTAAAATTCTTCTTTTGGAGCGCCCGCGCCGTAACATGTTATGGGTGTTATGGGCCCGGGCCCATAACACCCATAACACCCATAACACCCATAACATGTTATGGGCTGCTATGCCCCGAGAGCCATAACACCATAACAATACATGTAACTGCGCCTGGGGACAACATTATTCGACACCCTCGAAGACCATCTCCGGCTACGGTTCCGACGGTTCCGACGACCATCTCGGCTACGGTTCCGACTCCGGCTCCGGCTGGTAGTCGACAAGCTGCCGAGCCCAAATCACTCTGTGTGCCACATTTCTTGTTGGCTTCTTTCGCCTTTCGGCGCAACTCCGTCCTCCTCGCGGCGTATCCTGGCCCCTCGATCATTTGCCAGTTGGTATAGTACCCCACCTTCACCCCGCACGTGATTTCTTTTTTAGTTCCCATAAGTAGGGTAGGTAGGTAGGTAGGTAGGTAGGTAGGTAGGTAGGTAGGGGCAGGGCAGGGGCCGGTCAAGATTTTCCATCCTGCTGTCCGCCCAAAGCAAAAAAAGAATACAGGGATGCGTCGTTTCAGAGCGATTTCCGACGAGGATCAGGCGCCTGCCATCAGGTCTCCGCGATCGCGTCGTGTCGTCGCTCAGTGTGCCTGTGTCAATGCTCTCTCTCGTCGTGTCGTCGTCGCTCGCTCTGTCACTGCCTCGCCGTGCCGTCTTGTCGACCGCATTCGGGACCGCATTGGCGATTCGGCCTGCCTCCGCCACCGGCGATCTCATTGTCGGCGGCTCGCCGGTCAAGGGAGACGAGAGCATAATGGCACCAAAAGCGCACGGTACTAGCGCGGCTCCCGTGCAGGGAAACCTCAGGTGGAACGTTGACGTCGAGAACGCCGATCGGATCACCAACTACAACCGCCGCTTCGCCGAGTTTGGCGGCTACTGGAAGCAGACCGACTTTCTCAAGGAAGTGAGCCGCACAGAGCCTACCACCTACTACGACTCCGTCACGGGCAAACCGCTGTTCCGCGCTCCGATCGGCCGCTCCATGGACGAATTCCTGGCCGAGTCCAACCTGCACGGCTGGCCCTCCTTCCGCGACCAAGAGGTTGTGTGGGAGAACACGAGAGTGCTCAAGGACGGCGAGACGGTGTCCGTGACGGGGACGCACCTCGGTCACAACCTCCCGGACAGGGCTGGCAACAGGTACTGCATCAACCTCGTCTCGATCGCCGGCCGGCCGGGCGGCGCGCCCCAGTAGACCGCACGTTCGTCGTTTGTGGCAAAGCACTTCCCGCGCCTGTTTAGTATGTCCGTATGTGACACTGTGCCGACGGCAAGGTGGTCCGGAAGCATTGCTGTGTGTCCGCGCGGAGTAGAGGGTGTGAGCTGTGACTGTGCCTCGGCGCCAGCGCGAGGCACAAGGGGCGGAGAATGATGAATGTCGTCGTGACTCGTCGGACTCCGACTCGCGCGCGCGCTCCCGCTCGCGATCGCTCGATCGCTCTCCAGACAGAGAGCGCGAGAGACCCACATCGCACATGGCGAGACCTCTGTCTGCCTTGTACGATCGTACTTGATTTGCCACTAGACACCCACTTGACCGGCTGCAGCTCTCTACGCTTTTGGACCAATCCCTCCCGAAAACTCAAAACATCTTCTCCCTCCCTCTGCGGTCGTGCCTCAAGCTTCCTGGGAGCTGCTTCCGCCGTCGGCGCCGTCGACAATGTCGAACTGGCAGAGAGGGCAAGTCTTCTTCTTCTTCAACCACTCCTCTGCGCACTGCGCGTGGAAGGTGTGCAGACAAGGCAGCGTGCGGACGGGCTGGCCGGCGCAGACGTCCTCGAGACAGACGCAGCAAGTGCGCAATTCCTCGGGCAGCTTGCCGACGTCGGTCACGGTCCACGCTGCGGTCCTCTGCTCAATCTCGCCCGCGCTCGCCCCGTCGCGCGACTGCTGCAGGTGCTGCTCGACAAACTCGCGCAGGAGGAGCAGCTCCTGCGGCGCGCGAGGGGGGAGACGCGCAGAGGTGGAGGGTGGCGGGGGAAACGGGAGGGGAGGGAGGGAGGGAGAGGACGCGCGCGCAGGGGCCTCAGGGGGCGACGGCGCAGGCGGGGAACGCACCAACGGCGTGACCTCCCGGGCCTGCAGCCGGCGGATGACGCTGGTTGGCGCTGCGCTGCTGCTGCTGCTGCTGCTGCTGGGCGCGTTGTTCAGCGCCGCAGCGAGCGCGCCCAGGCCGGAGAGCTGTTGCACGCCGCCCGCCGGCAGGGCCACGCCGTTCACAGCCGAGCAGTACGGGCAGCGGCAGTGCAGCGAACTGCTAGATGACTGGAAGACGCCTCGGCACTGGAAGCACCTGACCTGCGGCGCATGCGGGCCAGCGCCTGTCACCTGCAGCCGAGCGGCCTGCGGGGATCGGCTGCGGTTGCCAGGCTCGTCGGTCGTCGAGGAGGCGTTGCCCATGGTGTCTTTGCCTGGAGCGTTCGTCAAGCCAGCCGAAATCGCAGTGGTGTCGGCCGTGAACTGTATCGTCGTCGTCGTCTCTAGCCAGTCACTCTAACTCTCAGAGATGGGCTAAAGAGGATCCGGAGCGCGGTAAGACTCTGGGGCTCTCTCCGAAGGGAGCGTAGCGTACGCGGAGGGAGCTCAGAGTTTCCCCGTTCTCTGGAACCTCTTGGAGCAAGAGGAACTCGCAAGAGACGAATGCGATTCGATCGGGCGGTAGATGAGGGATGGTGGTGGGTCGCTTGAGAACTGGTCGATTGGCGCCTGTCTGAGCAGGAGCCGACGCTAGTCGGGAGCTGTGTCAAGAGCCTCGTGGCGCTCGGAGGTCCCGCGCACAAAGCGGCGGGCAGCGGCGGGCGCGGGGGTAAGGGTTCCCGCCCGCTAGGCGCTGCCCTCTGCGCCGAGGCTCGACCCGCTTCTCCTCAGTTCACTAGCACAAACTGAAGCTTGTTTATCATGAACTGTATCGTCGTCGTCGTCTCTAGCCAGTCACTCTAACTCTCAGAGATGGGCTAAAGAGGATCCGGAGCGCGGTAAGACTCTGGGGCTCTCTCCGAAGGGAGCGTAGCGTACGCGGAGGGAGCTCAGAGTTTCCCCAATCACCGGAGCGAGGGAAGGAGCGATCCCGGGGTGAGCGACTCCAAGCGTAGCGCAGCGCGTGAAGGATCCCCAAATTGAGTGAGTGACGGTCCTATTCGGTCTCGCCCTCCGAGCTCGGGGATGGGGCGGCTCAGTGCGCGAAGCGGCACTTGTCTCCCTGCCTGCAATAGCCGGCAGCGAAGAAGCGGCACCGGGGGACTCCGGTCTGCTTGCTCGTGGAGTCGTCGCGAGCGCTGTCGGTGTCGCAGTCGCCCGACTCGGAGTCGTCAGGCTGGCTGCCGGACTGGTCGTAGCCGTCCTCGGCGTCGGGGCCGTCATGCCGTCCTCGGCGGTGGCGAGGGAGGCTGGTGCTCCGGGCTCGTCAGCGGTTCACCGCCTGCCGGGCGGGGCGACGCTGCGGGTGAGCGTCGTGTCGCGACCGCTCTTGCCCGGACTACCGTGACGGTATCATGTCGTGCGTGTTGCGTCGAGGCGCGAGGGCCGGTGTCGTGTCGGGTGCCACGAGGCTGGCGTAAGGGCCGCGTCCGCCGCTCCGCCGGCGGGCTTCCGCCGGCGGAGGGGGTGGGTGCCGCTTGGCGGGGCCGCGCTTGCGGGCGAGGGAGCCGTGTCCCAGTACTCACCGGTTCGCCGGGTCATTGTATCGTGTCGGGGCGCGAGGGCCAGGGTCGTGTCGGGTGCCGCGGGGGCTGGCTCGAGGGCCGCGTTCGCCGCTCGGCCGGCGGGCTTCCGCCGGCCGAGGGGGGGGGGGTGATCGCCGGGTCATCGTGTCGTGTCGAGGCGCGCGGGCCAGTGTCGTGTCGGTGCCACGGGGGGCTGGCTCGAGGGCCGTGTTCGCCGCTCGGCCGGTGGGCTTCCGCCGGCCGAGGAGGGTGGGTGCCGCTTGGCGGGGCCGAGGGTTCGCCCTTGGCCGGAGGGATCGCCCTCAGTACTCGCCGGATCGCCGGGTCATCGTATCGTACGTCAGCCGTGTGACGGAGGGATTCGCCCTCGGCCCTCGGAGGGATCGCCCTCGAGGGCCACGTCCGCCGCTCGGCCGGTGGGCTTCCGCCGGCCGAGGGGGCATGGGTGCCGCTTGGCGGGGCCGAGGGTTCGCCCTCGGCCCGAGGGATCGCCCTCAGTACTCACCGGATCGCCGGGTCATCGTATCGTGTCGAGGCGCGAGGGCCAGTGTCGTGTCGGGTGCCGCGGGGGCTGGCTCGAGGGCCACGTTCGCCGCTCGGCCGGTGGGCTTCCGCCGGACGAGGGGGGCTGGGTGCCGCTTGGCAGAGTGGGGGGGGTGGACGGTCACCTGGATCGTTGAACTCGGAACGTTGGCTGGGGCTGCAGACGAGCGGCGCGGGGGGCGACGTCGGCTCCGCGACGCCGTCGGCCCGGGAGCAGCCGCGCGCGGGGATGACCTCGTCGTCGCCGACGAGGAGGCTGCGCAGCGCCTTCTGCATGGAGGAGAGCATTGACGTTGCCGGCATCGGTAGTCGTTCGGTTCGGCCTGGCTGCCCTGCGCGCCGGGGCGCCTGCAGCGTGCGTCGCTGGCGGGCCGGCGGGTAGCGCCGCCTCCGCTCGCTTGAGAACTGGTCGATTGGCGCCTGTCTGAGCAGGAGCCGACGCTAGTCGGGAGCTGTGTCAGGAGCCTCGTGGCGCTCGGAGGTCCCGCGCACAAAGCGGCGGGCAGCGGCGGGCGCGGGGGTAAGGGTTCCCGCCCGCTAGGCGCTGCCCTCTGCGCCGAGGCTCGACCCGCTTCTCCTCAGTTCACTAGCACAAACTGAAGCTTGTTTATCATGAACACGCCGGCCTTTTCTGACCACGCACGCATCATCCCGCGGCCTCGCGGTCGGCGGGATTGCAACCAGTCTTCGCGTGCCGCCTGTCGTTCGCTCGGGCGCACTTGGGCGTCGGGGTGGCGAGCAGGGGACGCGGCTCTGAGCGCCCAGCGACGCGTGCCGGATGGAGTCCGGCCGCGGGTGACTAGGGAAGTTCGCTCAGGATGTGTGGCAGACCTGGCAGTCAGTTTGGCTGAGTGTCTTGTCTTGTGGTTCTGTGTGTCGCTCCTGTGTGACCGTCATCGCCTGTCTAGCGTCCACCCATACCGCGTTGGTGTCCCAGTCGTTGGTCGGACTGTGTTTCGCCTTCCCATCAATCAATCAATCCTTTTCTCTTTCAAAAAACGCACAATTTCTCTTTCACCAGAGGTTTGAATCCCTGTGTGGTGGTGGCGTGCCGTCCTCCCAGATTCCGTGCTGCCGGCTCTCCATGCTCGATTCGGCGGGTCGCTAGGAATCGTATCCTCCTCGTGGGGTTGTCCTTTGCCGTATCAATCGCATGATCAGCCGCTCGAAAACGAGAAAAGTTTGGCGCCGTGAAACCGCTCCGCCGAACCTTCGCGCGAGTTCCTGCTCGCGCCCCCGCCGCTCTGCCTCCGTCCGCTCGCGCCGCGCGAACCGGCACGCGACGCCGAGCGGTTTCCTGCAGTTCCCGAATGCCCCGCTGCACCGGCCTGCAGGTCCGCGCGTCCCAGGCCGTGCACCGCCGCTTCTACAGCGTATTTGCAGCCTGGGGCCGCCTTCTCTCGCGCCGTCCATGGCTCATCATCCTCGTCTCGCTTTGCGCCGCCGTCCTCGCGTCCACGAAGCTCCTCCTCTCCTTTGGTGGCGACGGCCTGCCCTACCAATCCAACGGGGACAAGCTGTGGGTGCCGGAAGATGCCGAGGCGTCCAAAGACCAGGAGAGCTTTGACGCCGCTTTCAACCCCACCGGCGCCTTCACGCGGCAGAATTTTGTATACTTTCTTGCCACGTCTGGCGGCACTGTCCTCACCGCTCCCATCCTGCAGGAGGTGTACCGTTTCCGCGAGTTAGCGAGGCGCAACCTGACTGCGACGGACATTTGCGACGGTGGCTGTAGCCCCCTCACTCCTTCGGCGGTGGGCTACTCCGAGGTGTGCGACCGAGCGGCCGGCGACGCGTCAAGCGAGCTGAGCCAGTGCCTGACCTACGGCTCTGCCTTTCCTCTGTTCGAGGACGGGTCCGGGAATGTCGTTCTCGACCTCACGGACGCTGAGATTCTCGAGATGGTCGAGTCCGGGACCGGAGTGGCGGGCAGCCTCTACCCCCCCGGCGGCAACGTCACCTTTGACGTGCGGCGCGTCTTTGGCGGCCTCGAGTACGACGGTGCCGGCAAGCTGGTCTCTGCAAAGGCAGTCAAGCTAGGCCTGCCGCTCGAGGGCTACAAGAGCAGCGTGGACGCGGTGAAGGACCAGCTCGAGGCTGCGACGGCGTGGGAGGACCAGCTCAACCTGCTGGTCGGAGAGGAGTGGACCAGCGACCCTCCGCTCTCCCGCGGCTCCGCCTACGGCGACGCCATCGCCGTCGAGTGGGAGTCGCCTCTGGTCGACGCGTATCCAAATACTGCCGGCGCCATCGAGCGCGAGCTGAGCGGCAACATCAGCGGCGACGTCATCAAGATAAACATCGGCTTCATCCTCATCGGCGCGTACGCCCTCGCCGTCTTCTTCAAGTTTGACCCGCGCCGCTCCCGCTCCGCGCTCGCCATCGCGGGGCTCGTCTCGTGCGCGCTGTCGGTGGGAGTGGCGTACGGCTTCACCACGCTCATCGGCTACGAAGTCAACCCGGTCGTGACCGTCCTGCCCTTTATCCTGCTCGGCATCGGCGTGGACGACATGTTCGTGCTGGAGCAGGCGCTCAGCGCGACCGACAAGACCGCCCCGCCCGCCGAGCGGATGGCGGCGTGCATGGGCTCCGCCGGCGTGAGCATCACGGTCACGTCGCTGACCGACCTCGTCGCGTTCGCCCTCGGCTCCACCTCCTCCCTGCCGGCGCTCGCGGCCTTCTGCTGCTTCGCGACCATCGGCATCACCGCAGACTACCTGCTCCAAATCTCCTTCTTTGCCGGCTGGATGGCGCTCGACGCACACCGCGAAGCCGCCGGCAAGCCCGACTGCTGCCCCTGCTGCGGCCCTCTGGACCCTTCGGTCGAGTCTGGCTGCTGCGGTTGCTTCGCAAACTCATGCGCCGCCGTCAAGGCGCCCGAGGAGGGGCTCCTGCGCTCCGTGCTGCGCCGCCACTACGCGCCGGCCCTCGCGCGCAAGCCGGTCCAGGTGGCAGTTGTCGTCTGCATGGCGGTTTGGGCAGCCGTGTGCGGCTGGCAGGCGTCCAAGCTCAGCGTCGACTTCGAGTACCGCTGGTTCGTCGGAGACGACGCCGTGCTGCAGCGCACCTTCGACGTCGAGGACGAGTACTTCGGCGGGCTCCCGCTCGACGTCAACCTCGTCACGCCCTCGTCGGCCGCCTTCGACTACTCCGCCGTCTCGAGCCAGCTGCTGCTCGAGCAGCTCGCGGTAGCGGCCGAGACGGACCCGTGGGTGGACCGCTCCTCACTTGTCTCCTTCCAGCGCGCCCTGCTGGCCTGGGCTTGGGCCGCAAAGGGAAGCGCCAGCTTGGAGTCTGCCGCGGGCGGCCCGCCCTCCTCTCTGGCGGACGCGCTCCTCCCTCCCGCCGACTACTACAGCTGGCTCAATGAGTTTGTGACTGCGTCGGAGGGGGGCGCTTTCGCGAGGGACGTGCTGTGGGTCGACGCGGCAGCGCCGGGCCAGGGCTTGTCGGCGGCGAGGCTGCGCGCCACGCAGCTCCCTCTCACTGAGGTGTGCAGCTCCGCCCCCACCGCCTCTCCTCTCTCCGCGTGCTCACGCCGCTCGCTCGCGCGTCTCACCCCACCCCTCGCTTGCCAGGCTGCCGACGAGATCGATGCGATGGACTCGCTCCGCGCGAGTGTAGCCTCGGTCCCGATCGAGGGCGCCTACGCGTACGGCTTCCAGTACCTCTACTACGAGCAGTACAAGGTCATCCAGCGGGAGATGCTCACCAACCTCGGGCTCGCCATCGCCGCGGTGCCACCCCCCCCCGCCCCGCACCTCTGCCCATGCCGAGCCGATTTCCCCTCCCCCTTCCCTCCCCCTCCCCTCCCCCCGCGCCCCCCTCCCTCCCACCCGCCCGGCCCCCTCAGGTCTTTGTCATCGTGCTGCTCATCCTCGCCGAGCTGCGCACCACGCTGCTCGTGATGCTCTGCGTGCTGCTCACCGACGTGAGCATCCTCGGCGTGATGCAGATGTGGGGCCTCACCATCGACTCGGTCTCCGTCGTCAACCTCGTCCTCGCCATCGGCGTCGCCACACCCCCCCCCACCCCCCCACCCCCCCCCCACCCCCCACCCACCCCCCCCACCCACCGGGACCATCCCTCTCATCGGCAGCCCCTTCCCATAGGCCTCGCCGTCGACTACTCGGCGCACGTTGCGCACGCGTTTGTCATCGCAAAGGGCACGCACACAGAGCGGATGCAGTCCGCTGTCAGCGAGATGGGCGACTTGCGCTGCTCGCCTCACCGCACCCCGCCCTCGCCTCTCCCGACGCGCTGCGCCACCGCCGCAGGCACCGCCGTCATCCACGGCGCCTTCTCCACCTTCCTCGCCGTCCTCGTCCTCTCCGCCTCGCAGAGCTACATCTTCCGCGTCTTCTTCAAGCAGTTCTTCTCCATCTCCGTCTTTGGCGTTGCACACGGCACGCACGACACCCCGCACGACTCCCCGCACCACACCTGGCCCACCCCCACCCGGCCCACAGAGGCCTCCTGCTCACCCCTCACTCCGCCCCCCGCCCCTCACCGACCAGGCCTCCTGCTTCTGCCCGTCCTCCTCGTGCTCGTCGGACCACCAGAGATGCCCTCGGACGGCGACGCGGAGGAGCCGAAGGGCGGCTACCCGCCCGCCGTGCCAGACGTGCCCGAGACGCAGGCGTCCGCGCGCGTCGCTCCTGGCCTGCCGGCGCAGAAGGCGTGAAGAGGGCCAGCCGACCATTCATGTGATGCCGCAGCAGAAAACGCGCGATTCGATCGGCCGGCTCTTGAGGTCGCCACGAGAGCCGACCATCACGCCGCCCCGCCCCGCCCGCGGCTGCCTCTTCCGTCCCCTCTCCGCCTTTCTCGAGTTGGCCATCGCGCTCCCTGTGCGCTGATAATTGTCTACGCGTGAGGCCGTGGGCCTCTGACGTCTGAGGTGGTGGTGGAGTCATGGGTGGAGTCTCAGCGAGTGGAGTGCCCCCCCCCGCGCGTGACCGTGAGCGGGTGTATGTGGGCAGTGGGGTGACGCGCACCGCGGTTCCGCCGCCCGCGGTAGGTACGTGTACATGTGTGCTCTTCTAGACCGGGGTGCGTGGTGATCGAAAATCGTACATGTACACTGCTACGCCGCGACGCGACTCTCAGAAAACCCCTCGCAGCCGGCCACGCTCTCTGGCTTTCCGGACCGGATCGAGCGGTAGAGCGCGTCGATCGCAGCCACCGCCTTCAGCCCCTCGACCGGGCCGGCGCCAACCTCGTACTCCTCCCCGCGGCAAGCGGAGACAAAGGCGTGCAGGCTTCCCGGGCCAGGCCCCGCCTGGTCGAGCGACTCGAACGCAAACGGCGCCCCGGCCGAGTGCGCGCCGTCGTGCCGCCACACCTGCAGCCGCGCGCCCTTAGCCTGAGCCGCGGTGACAGCCGAGGCGCGCCGCGCCGCCGCGGAGCCGTCGCCGTCGGCTCCGGGGGCGGCGGCGTCCGAGCCGGCGAGGCCGCCGTAGTGGAGCATCCCTCGCGTCCCGAAGACCCAGTTGGCGACCACCTTGAAGCCAGCGTCCGGGGCGGTGCCGGCGCCGCAGACGGCGATGACGGCGCCGTTGGTGCAGGTGAGGGTGAGGGCATCGTGGATGTCGGCGCCGGTGCTCTCGGAGTGGACCGCGGCAGCGAAGACGGTGGCGGGCGTGAGCCCCGTCACGCCGAACACCCACGCGAAGGTGTGCGAGAGCTGGCCCCACCCGAAGCCATTCCCACGCATGCTCCCCTCGCTGCGCGACCAGCGGACGTGGTCCGCGCCCTCAAAGAGCCAGCCGAGCGGCGCAGCGAAGACGCACGAGACGGAGCGGACCTCGCCGAGCACGCCCTGCCGCACCGCCTTGCGCGCCTCCAGGAAGCCCGGCTGCCAGTTGGCCGTGTTGTTGACGAGAAGCGCCAGCTGCGGCGAGGCGGCGGCGGCGGCGGCGAGCGCGCGAGCCTCCCCGACATCGGCGCACATGGGCTTCTCGAGGAGGAGGTGAAGGCCCGCCTCGAGAACGGCCAGGCCCAGCGAGCAGTGGTGGCCGTGCGGCGCCGCGACGAGAACGCCGTCGAGCTCGTCTCGCCGCTCCTCGAGCAGCGCCTGCAGCGTCTTGTAGCGCGGGACGCCGTATCGGGCCGCAAGGTCGCTCATCGACTCCACGCGCCCGTGCAGGCAGCCGCCGGCGCCTGGATCGTCGGCCGGATCCACCAGCGCGACCAGCTGCGCGTCGGGGCGGTTCGAGATGTTTGGGAGGTGCCAACCTTGAGCCCAGCCGCCGCAGCCCACCACGGCGATGCGCGCGCGCCGGGCGGGAGGCAAAGCGCGGCGGCGGCGCAGGTAGACCAGCGCGGCGACCGCCGCGGCCGCACCGGCGAGGAGCAGGGCCTTTGGAGGAGGAGCGGCGGAGAGCATCTCCAAGAAGCTCGGAAGCAGCCGCAATATATTGTTCTCAGCGGGCAGGAAAAAAGAATTCCGCCGGGCCTTGGGGTGTCCGTTTTCTTTATTTCTTTCTTTCTGGAATTTCTGTTTTCTTTTTTCCGGTTTTTTCAGAGCTCCACAAGAATCATACGTCATACCTACTCCGCATGCGCGCCGCTGGGCCACCGCCGCCCTAGCCACCGCACCCCTTGCAGCACTCCTCGTTGCAGCACTTGCACTCGTGGCAGGTGAGCCGGCCTTCGCCGCTCGCCGCCTTGCTCCGCTCGAGGTTGGCCTGCTTGCTCCACATGGACGCGTACAGCCCGCCCGCCTCGAGCAGCGCCTCGTGCGTCCCCCGCTCTGCGGCGACGCCGCCCTTGAGCACGAGGATCTCGTCGACGTTGACGATCGTCGACAGCCGGTGGGCGATCGCGAGCGTGCAGCGGCCGGCCGCCGCCGCGTCGAGCGCGTCCTGCACCTCGCGCTCCGTCTCGGTGTCGAGGGCGCTCGTCGCCTCGTCGAGCACGAGCACGGAGGGCTCCCGCAGCAGCGCGCGCGCGATGCCGAGCCGCTGCTTCTCGCCGCCCGAGAGGCGGAGGCCGCGCTCGCCGACCGCCGTGTCGAGCCCCTTCTCGAGCCGCGCGAGGTACGAGTCGACCCGCGCGAGAGCGCACGCCGCCTGGATCTGCGCGTCGGTCGCGTCCGGCGCGCCGTAGACGAGGTTGGTGCGCACGCTCGCGTTGAAGAGGACGGTGTCCTGCGGGCCGCGGGCCGGGGGGCGTGTCATGGACGTGTCCATGGACGTGTCCCGCGTCTCCTCGCGTCGAGGGGGGGCAGCCAGGAGGGGAAACAGCCGCCTGGCTGGCGCAGCTCACGACCGAGATTACCCGAGATTACCCGAGATTACACACAGGTGCCTGGCTGACGCAGCTCACGACCGAGATTACCCGAGATTACCCGAGATTACACACAGGTGCCTGGCTGACGCAGCTCACAACCGAGCGGAGCGAGTGCTGCGTGACGGAGCGAACGTCGACGCCGCTGACGAGGACGCGGCCGGCGTGCACCTCGAGGAGGCGGCACAGGAGGCGTGTGCTCGTCGACTTTCCGGAGCCGCTCGGCCCGACCAGCGCGACGCTGCCGCCCGGCCGGATGCGCAGCGAGAGGGAGGAGACGCCCGGAGAGCTCGGCCCGGCGTACCGGAAGGAGACGGCCTCGAAGACGACGTCGCGCTGCTCGCGAGGGCAGGAGCTCGCCACCGCGCGCAGGTCGGCCGCGCCTGGCACGTCCACGACCTCGACGGCCGTCTCGAGCAGCTCTGCCATCTTCTCGACGTCGGTCAGCGACTGGGTGAGCTGGCGGTAGTTGCCGCCCAAGTTTGAGAGCGGCCGGAAGAGCTGGGTGATGTAGAGCTGGATCATGACAAAGTCGCCGACGCTCATCCCGCCGCCGGCCGTCGCGCCGCACGCGACGAGCAGCCCGCCGAGCATGCCTGCACGGGGCGAGCGCGTGTCTGTGGGAGGGCGCCGAGTCGACTCGGGCTGGCGAGCGGGCGCGGCGAGCCGAGCTGCATCGCTCCGGTCTGGCCCCAGTTGAGGAGGGAGAGCGAGTCCTGCGCCTTGACCTGCAGCTCGCTGAGCGCCGTCGTGAAGCCGCCGTACCGCCTCGCCTCCGTCGCCTCCGCGGCGAAGAGCTTGACCGTCTCGAAGTTGAGCAGCGAGTCGACGACCACGTCCTGCGCCCTCTTGCTTGCCCCGTTCACCTCGCGGCGCTGGCCGACGCGCATCGTTGTCAGGGCGACCGTGTACCACGTGTAGAGTGCCGCGCCGCCGACGACGCACAGCGAGATGGCCGGCACGCCGATCTTTGCGAAGACGGCAGACGTGAGGACAAGCTCGAGCAGCGTCGCAGAGATGGAGAAGGTTGCCACCTGGCGGGGCAACAGGGCTGTACAAGCCAATGCCGGCACTCGGGGGCGCGCACTCGAGGGCAGCGTCTTGCTGGGCAGCGGGTCGCCAGCCTCCCAGGCCCACCTGCAGTAGCGTCGCGACCGCGCCGACGCCCTGGTTCATCACGGCGAGGACCTCGCCCGTCTTGCGGTTGAGATGCCAGCGGAGCGACAGCGCGTGCAGGTGCTCAAAGAGGCGAAGCGAGACGCGCTGCGTGATCCGAAAGGAGAGGCGGCCCCAGAGCGCCGACTGCAGCTGCGAGCAGCCGTCGGAGCAGATGGTTAGGCCGCAGTAGAGCAGCTCCAGCGGCGCCGTGGCGGCTAAGTCCCAGTTCTTCTTGATGGAGAAGCCGGTACGGTCGTAAAAGACGGCGAACTGGGCCTGGCCGGGCGGCAGCTGCGCGATCACCCTCTCGATCTCGTAAAAGACGGAGCGCACGCTCGCCTCGAGGTCTCGCGTCGCCGGGCCGAACTTGCCGCTGTGTATGAGGACGAGAGGCCGCCCGGCGGCGTCAGTGCCGCCCGGCTCTTTGTCTTTAGACTTTACACACAGAGAGAGACACACAACCCCCTCTCTCTTTTCTCCCAGTAAGCTAAAAGTACACACAGAGCTGGGAATCAGTGCCCTGGGAGCTAGGGAGGCACAGAGTCGGGCCTATCACGTCGCCGCTGGGGCCTCGCCGACCGCCCGCGCGTACGCCACCGCCGCCTCCACCGCCGTGGCGAAGGAGCCGAAGGAGACTCTCCTTCCGTCCACCTCTCCCCGCGCCTCGAAGCGGCTCTTGTCCGCGCGCACGCCCTTGTAACCGGTGCTGCTGCTGCTGGAGAGGTGCAGCCGCAGCCCCTCCGCCTCCTCCGCGTTAGCCCCCTCGCCGACCGCCCCCTCGCCGACCACCCGCGCGTACGCCACCGCCGCCTCCACCGCCGTGTCGAAGGTGCCGAGGCAGACCTTCCTTCCGTCCACCCTGTACTCCGCCTGGAAGCGGCCAGACTGAATCTCACGCACGCCCCTGTACCGGGTGCTACTGCTGCTCGAGAGGCGCAGCCGCAGCCCCTCCGCCTCCGCCACCGGCGGCCGCGCCAGCTCCGCCGCCGCGGCCTCCTTTTGGCGCGCCGCCGCCGCCTGCGCCGCGGCGTTGATTGCGTCCCAGCCGGCCACAAACCGGCACCGCGGCGGGACCGGCATGCCGGCCACGAGGGTCTGCGTGCGTGTGAAGCCAGCCCTCACTGTCGCGCCCCGCGCCTCGCCCTCTGCGCGCAACCTGCCGACATAGTTGCCCAGCACCGAGTCCATGAAGGCGCCGCTCGCCTCGGCGTCGTCCGGATCTGGCAGCTCCAGCCTTTCGCTCACCGCTCGCAAGCGGCGCGCCTCCGCCGTCCGCAACCCCTTTTGCGGCGGCAGCAGCGCCTCGTGCCGCTCTCGGCGCCTCGCGGCGAGCTCCCTCGCCCGCGCCTTGTGATCCTGTTCGCACGCCAGTGCGGCCTTCGCCTTGCGCTTGCCAGCGGCCTGCGGGCGGCGGCGGACGGCCGCGGCGTGCGGCGTGCGGCGCGCGGCGGGCGGGGTCTCCTCCTCCTCCTCGTCCGTGTTTTCGTCCGAGCCGTCCGTGTCGCTGAAGAGGTCCTTGTCCAGGCTCGACAGGTCGGCCCCGGGGCGCGGCGGCCACGCCGCCTGTGAGGACGAGCCTGCAGCGGCCGAACGCCTCGTCGTCACGCACGGAGCGCCGCTGCCGCGGCTCTCCTCGCCGTGTCGCATGCCCCCGCGAGGCGGTGTCCAGTCCGGGTCCATCGAGCTCTCCTCCTCAGGGTGAGGGTGGCCGCACCTCCCAGCGCAAATTTGGAGAGAGAGAAAAAAAACGCTAGTCGGGCTCACGGAAGGCGAACAAGAGGAAGAACTCAGAGGAGGGGGGGGCCTCCTCCGGAGTGAGGATGAAGACCCCGCGCGAAGGTGCCCTGCGCGTTGACGAAGTGTGAGAGTGCGTGTCGTGTTCATGTCTGGTGTTCATTATAGCTCCGAGTAGAGGGGGCGGTCTGCTGCTAGGGGAAACCCGGAGCGCGGAGCTAACCCTCGGAGACCCGTGTTTACTTTAAGGCCCTTTCCCTGCGAACGCGCACCCCCGGGGCTATGGCTCTCTAGCCCGTAACCCGACGCCAATCAATGTATCCATGTTTCCTCGCGCACCCCGTCTCGTTTCCTTTCCGTGTTTCTCCACCACAGCACCCTCTCGTTTCCTCTCTGGTTTCCCGAGGAAACTCCGTGGAAATCCAAAATCAGCCCAGGCGGCAAAATGAGTCTACCTGGAAATTACCCTGCGAGCGGCTGGGTATTTTGCCGAGTTCCTCGGTTTCGCCTCAGATTTTGCCCCAGACCAGCTCTCAGACTCAGGGAAACTCCAGAGTTGCCAGAATGGAGCACCAAACACCCTCTAGTTTCCCTGGAAATTTCTGGAAACGCAAAGTGCTGGGGACCCTCTTCTAGGGTACCCATGCCGTAAAGGCACTACCCCGTTAGGCTTGGAGGGGTGGCTCGCCTTTGGTGCCCAGAAGAGGTGCTAGGCACTACCCCGTTAGGCTTGGAGGGGTGGCTCGCCTTTGGTGCCCAGAAGAGGTGCTTGTGCCCGACTGTCATCCCCCGCGGCGCCGCCTCCCAGCGCCACCCCGCATGCCAGGCAGAGTCCAGGCTGCCGTACAAGGTCTCGAGGTGCGACAGCGCCTTCTTGCAAAAGTTGCTGAGCCTGTGACGCTCGAGCGGGCTTCCGCTCACCCTGTGCCAGGACCGGCCGGCCTGCAGTGGTGAGCGCCACGCCTCCCCTGAGGGGGCAGCGGTCGTGTACTCACTGGCCGCGTATCCAGACGCGGTTCCCACCTCCCGCAGCCGCTTCTTCTTCTTGCCCTTGTCCTCCTCCGCCGGGGGACGGAACAGGATGACTGATGGGTCGTTGCACTGTGTGGCGGTGATGGACGCTACCACCCTGTTGCCACGGAAGCAGTACGACACCGAGAGGCGCGTTGCGCCAGCAGACTGAATCGAGGCGCGGATCCATCCGCCGGGGGTCCCACATTGAAATAGACGTCACTGCCCGCTTCCAGCTCGATGCCATCCGGTAAGGGTAGGCCATCGGATGGGACTCCGTTGACCATGGCCCGGAGGCAGGCGCCCGTCGGGGGTTGGGCGTCAACGTTAAAAAGAATTTTACAAGATGAAGAAGAAGAAAAAAGTTTCAAAAATCTCACAGTTCCCGAAATGAAAACCGTCCCATTCACCAATCGACCTGCGACAAAACAAGCATGGAAGCGCCCAACGTTCGCGGCACCATCGCCTACTTCTCCCCCGAGAACCTGGAGGATGGGAAGGCCGTCATCAGCCGCGCGAAGGACCACCTCGAGGTGGGGCACACGATCGTGATCCAGGGGTGGGGCACCGACTCCACCTATGACAAGAACCAGCGGCGAGCGAACGCCTTCACACCGCGCCGCCTCTCTGGCGCTCCACACCATCACCGCCACGCACCCCCGTGCCGCAGCAAGGCGCTGTTCCGGCACTACGTCGACCTCTTCGGGCCCAACGGCCACGCCATCATCGGCAAGCGCTTCACGAAGGACTCGCGCAACAACTCCCCGAACAAGGTGGTGTGGATCCAGCGGCTGCAGTGAAGATGACAAGCAGCGGACGGTGAGTAGCCGCCGCCACCGGCTGCTGGGCAGGCGGTGCAGCCTCCCGCACCGGCCTCGCCCCGCCGGCACTAACACCAAACGCACACGGGAGAGCTCTAGAGCGGAGAGGCCACAGGCCGAGCCGCGCTCGCACCCCCGCACCCACCAGTAGCCCCGGGCCGTGTGAGTCTCCTTTTTTGTGATACAGCCGTGAAAGAAACCTCACGTCCCATATCTCTCCGTCAGACACAGCACACATACAGCGCACACACACCGCCATAGTGATTCTCTCATTATTCCTCTCGCAGTGGTCTCAGCTCGCGTCCGGCTAGTTTCCAACCCCGCCATCGGCACTCTTCCACACACCTCGGCACCTGGACAGCAGTTTTCTTCGAAGACGATGACGACTCGGAGGGACTGCTCATCGTCGACTGAGGCGAGGCCGCAGGGGGTGGGACGGGCATACCGACCGTCGTCGAGAGGCAGCACCGAGGGCAGCCGCAGGCAGCGCGATAGCGCGAGTGGAGCGAGAGAGCGGCGAGGGCATGTACCCGCGACGCGACGAGTCCCGCGTTGCGACATGGGAACGCCTGGAGCTGCGGACGAGTCGGTGGAGAGGGCGATATAGGACACTGCCACTCCCCTCTTTGGACGCATCTTTGTCGATCGTGAAGGCGACGGCTAGCAACACACCTTTCCTTCCAGTGAAATCCCTGTGAGCTGTGTGGGAGAGAGAAGTTGGTTTGTTTTGCTGTGTGGTGGCGGCGTGCCGTCCTCCCATCCCCTCTTTTGGTGCACTTGGTTGTACGTTTCGTCTACTTCCTTCCTTCCTTTCTCCCTCTCCTGTAGGAATACACCGACAGGACTGCGTGCCTACCCGTCTTTGTAGCCTGGCGTTTGCGCCCCGTTTGTGCCGCGAACTAGCACTATCTTTCTTTTTTGGGCGGCATGAGCGGCGCCACCCTCCCAACCCAGCTCGCCGACCTGGCTCGGGGCGACCTTGCCTCGCTGCGCGCTCTCCTCTCCGGGCAGGAGACGCGCGGCACGTCGCTAGCGGCCCAGCTCGACGCGCGGCACGACACCGAGAAGCAGGACACGCTGCTCACCTGGGCCGCTCGTCACGGGCAGGCCGAGGCGGCGCGGCTGCTGCTCGAGGGCGGCGCGAGCGTGGGGGCGACGACTGGCGGCGGCGCTTCCGCGCTGCTCGTCGCGTGCTATCACGGCCACCTCGAGGTCGCCCGGCTGCTCCAGCAGGCTGGCGCGGTGGTGGCTGAAGCAGACGCTGAAGGCCGCACGCCGCTGTACCGCGCGTGCTGGAAGGGCCACCTCGAGATCGCGCGGCTGCTCCTCGAGGCTGGCGCGGCGGTCAACCAAGCCGCTGAGGACGGCGTCACGCCGCTGTCCATCGCGTGCGAGAAGGGTCACCTCGAGATCGCCCTGCTGCTTCTCGAGGCGGGCGCTCCGGTTAGCCAAGCCTGCAACGACGGCTCCACGCCGCTGTTCGCTGCGTGCCACCAGGGCCACCTCGAGGTCGCCAAGCTCCTCTCCTCCTACGGCGCCTCCCGCGCCGCTACGCCCTTCGGCACGCCCCAGGAGGCTGCAACCGAAGAAGGCCACGCCGACCTCGCCGCCTGGCTGGTCGCCAGCCGCGGCTGGACGCCGCTCGCGCACCTCGAGGCGTGCCCCGAGACTAGCGGCTGAAGACGCGTGAGAGCATTGTCCTCACACTCACAGTCCCTCTTCCCGCAGGCGCTCACCGTCGACCGGGCGCGGGCGCTGCTGCGCGGCGGCGCGGACTCTTCGGCCGGCGAGCCGTCGGCCCTCGAGCGGGCGCGCGTCCTCTGCTCGTGGGGCGAGTCGGATCCGACCGCTGCGGCCCTCGGCTCCACCGTCGTGATCCACTCTCTCATCTCGCGGCCTTCGATGAACGGCAAGGTTGGCGTCGTCGTCTACGTGTTTCGCCCTCTCGCAAACGCTTCGACGGGACGCTTCGGCGTGCGCGTGGCGGGCGAGGCCAAGGCCCTCGCGCTGCGGCGCGCTATGCAATGGTCTCTCCCCGACTCGCCGGATCCTCTCTTTGACACACCTCTGCCCTCCCTCAGGCCGGCCAACCTGCAGCCAGCGGCCGAGGCGGTGGAGGTGGGCAGGCTCATCCTCAAGGCGGCGGAGTGGTCGCCGCAGTCGCACGAGCTCTTCCCGACAGCGGCTCGCAAGCGGGCGGTCGAGGTGATGCGGCTGGGCTACCTGATCGCTTGGGACGAGGAGCGCTTCGATAGCCGCGAGGGAGCGGCTCCGGGGCTGGTGGACCTCTGGCGCAGCTTTGTGCTGCCAAGGGTGGTGGTGCGATGACATGATGACTGCTGTTTTAGCCCCCGCCACCCAGGTGTGTACCGTTCGACATAGAGGGGGGCCATGACTACGTTTACGAAAACATAAGTAGTCCCGCGAGGTGTGACTGTCGTTGCTGTCTCTCCCTTCTCGAGACTGTCTGTGTGCTTGTGCGTCTTCGATCTTGGGTCCTCGTGTACGTGTTTTTCTGTCTAGTGTCTGCCTGGTGAATTTGCGCTCTGTCTAGTGTCTGCCTAGTCGTTCTCTGCGACGCC